GATCCTGAAAGATTTAAAGATAAAGAAAAGAAATGCAAAATTTCTGAATGTTTAATCGATAAACAAACAAAATGAAGGAAAAGAAAAAGAATGGAAAAAGAATAGAAAAAGAGAAGATGAGCTCATCATTTAGATAAGCGTTAGAATGGAGGGGAAAATGTCCCCACCCACTTCTCATCAGTCTCTCTCCATTTACGACCAAAATTTTATTAGCTGAGAATAGAAGGAAATGCTTGGAAGTTGCTAGATTTGAAAATAAAAGGAAATTTAATTATAAAATGAATCCTGACGTTTTCAAGAGTAAACTCTATCAAGTCTTTCAAGCGAATCAAAATCTAGGCCTAGATCTGACTTCTCGTCTTGTCTGATCTACTTGGCTTAAAAATTGCTTTTGAATTTGAAACCTTGAAATATATGTTTTAAATGGTTAAGCTAGGAACCTTTAATAGCAAGATTATGATCTGAAATGGTTGATTTTCTTTTAAATAGCTTTTAAATAGCGTTTAAATAGCTTTAAATAGCGATTTAACCATACCATATCTCCAATCGGTGAATCCGATTCATCCTCGTAGTCATACGAAGACAAACGGCTGCTAAATGTTCAACATTATTCTGCGCTCTATCAAAAAATTATAGACGCTATTTATTTAACGATTTATTCTATCGATAATTGTTAATTATGTTTATATTTTTTATTTTCAGAAATGTCAAATGGAAAACAAATGGATGTGGTGAACAAAACCGCAGCAATGTACTTCACACGCTTGGTCACTCAAACAGAGACATTGCTCGTCGCATTGCTCGTTCTGAGAAGTGTATTCGAACGTATCTCAAGATCAAAGTGACTCCTAAAAAGAAAGAAACACGGCGCCGGAAGAAAAAGTTGACTGATCGAGACGAACAAGCAATTACGACGCCTTTCCAACACGACGACATCGCTCAAAGAGCTTCGCAAGAAGATGAAGCTTCCGGTCACTTGCCAAACGTTTGACAATCTTGTCAAACAATCTCCAATACTCAAGTACAAACTCATGAAGCAAGCTCCACGACTTACAAAAGACCATAAAGTCGCCCGTATCGAATTTGCTGAAAAGAACCAGAAGACCAAATGAGAGGAGATTGATTTAATAGCAATATCTTTCTTTATATCATTTGGAGGAAGTACACCTCAGGGGGGGTTTGGAGGTGAGGGGCAAGCCGGGCATGGTCTTGGGGGGGGGGGGGGTGGGGGCCTTTAGAGAGTGCTGGTCCGCTTAGAGTTCATTTCGACCTGGATGACACAGTCGAATTAACAACTCGGGCACAATAAGCACTTCACTTTTATGCACAATAACGCGAGTATCCATGCGTGCTGCACAAGAGATTGGCTGACAGCGCACAAAATCGGCACTGTGCTTGGTCCGCTTGCAGCCGACTTGAATCCTATTGAGAATGTGTGGGGCCACTCGTCGAGATGTTTACAAGGCAAGCAATATCCGTCGTGATGAACGAAAATCATTCAAGGGTCGAACCGTTCAGCCGACAGCTTTCCAAAACCTCAATGGTGTTGATGATTTTGGAGGATACTGAAGGGATTCACAAAAGCCGGGCATGGTCTTCAGCACGAGGAACTTTTGAGGTGGATTATGTATGGTCTCTTTGATACCGAGACGTCTTTTTAAAGTTAGGGCTAAAACAAGGATGACCTACAAATTATTAATTTATTTTGTTTTATGTTTTTATTTTTATTTTTGTTAACTTTTTTCTTGATCAAATAAAAGTGCGTCTATAATTTTTTGCTGTGTATTTCTGTGTAGTGTATTGCTTTGATTTTTAACCTCGGTACATGTCCAATCATTTGTGGTGAGGTGACAGCACTTGGCATGCACATCATCTGAAAATTCTATTGATTATTATTGGTTTTCATTGTAAATTGCCAAGCATAACTACCATATTCTCTCTAATAGTAGTGGACCCTGAGCGTTGCCTAAATTGCTTGAAATCTCGACAAGCACTTATCAGAACCTATCGATGTGGGGGCGGAAAATGCAGCTGACGATGAGATCTTGACGGTGATTAGAGTCTTGAGCTTCTGCAAAAGCTTGGAAACCGTAAAATAGTCATCAACTCGGCTCACAACAACTCCACAACAACTATTAGAGAGAAAACGTTAATCAAAGTAAATATTCGTGCAAAAGCAAGCAAGTTTCGTAAGAGATTAGCGAGAAAAGATGATTTTTTTTTCAATCTATCAAATCATCCTACTACTATTAGAGAGAAAACGATAAATCCAAAAATCATTGAACCATTTGTGGTATAACCGGCTGTCCATTTTGTCCCATTTGCATCGGAACCATCACGTACATTGGTTGTTGATTATAATTTTGCTTATAGACATTTCTAAATGAATCAAGAGAAATTCAAGTTTAAAGTCATTTTTCTACCTAGATGGTTGACTTTTATGTCTTTCTCTTTTCTGTTCTTGTAAAGTGACATTGCTTTGTCGACTTGAGAGATTTCTCTGTCGACCACGAGCCATACCATAAACCTGAAATGATCATTTTTAAAAAGGTCTAACGGGGGTGGGACAAATGCGACCTTTTTTTTTGCGCACCTGGACATTTGCGCACCTTTTTTTTTGCTGGAAAAGGCCTTAGGCAAGGTCGTAGAGCTTCGAAAATATTTTCATATAAGGGAATCGTATGCGTAGATTCCGAATTTCGACAAATCAGACCTCGCTGACACGTCAAATTTGGGCTAAAAGGCAAAAATTGCGGAAAAGCGTTAAGTTGCATAGTTTTTGCCTTTTAGCCCAAATTTGACGTGCCAGCGAGGTCTGATTTGTCGAAATTCGGAATCTACGCATACGATTCCCTTCTATGAAAACGTTTTTGAAGCTCTACGACCTTTCCTAAGGCCTTTTCCAGCAAAAAAAAGGTGCGCAAATGTCCAGGTGCGCAAAAAAAAGGTCGGATTTGTCCTACCCCCGATCTAACTCTTTTTCAAACCTCTTCATTATCACCATTCATTTTGAAATCATTTTCATAGATCTAAAGAATCGAATGTTTGTTTATTTCTTTTTTAAATACCTGATAATATTTTGGATTTCCATCGGAATAATGATTATTCTCTTGATTGATATCATTTCTTTGAACATAATCATACGCATCACTACTTCCATAACCATTTGATTCAGGTGGATTTGCTTTTAAACCCTAGAGATTGGATAAATAATCATCAATAATCATCATCTTATTATCAAGAACACAATTCAATTCTTTCTAATCGCTCAATTCCCATTTTCTCATAATAATGCCTGCATAAAAGATTTGTTTTTAGTCTAGAAGACTACTTTATATTCAAAAAAATCTTATCAATTGTCCAATTTTTATTAAGTAAATCAACTGACATTAACTCCTCCTTTAATCGACGCAGCGATAGTCACATTCGAGATCTTTCGCTGGTCATAATCTGGTGGAATCACCTGAAAGAAATGAAAATGTTTGTACTTTTAAATGAAATTATTTATGATTGTATTATATGTATTGTATTACTTGTATTGTATTACTTGTATTGCATTACTTGTTGAAAAACTTCATCCAAAAATCGATCAACATCTCCATTCTCTCTCGGAACGGGGATTCGTCGAATTCTCGAAGCAACCGAGAGATTCGAATATTCCGATGGAACACGATCACAACTTGTAGCTCTTTCTGTTAAACGGGAAGAGGCTGGAGTTTGTTGGATCTAAAATCAATACAAATAACAGTCTTTTCTAAACAGTCAAATAACAGTCTTGTCTTAACACTAATCAATACAAATCTTGTCTAATTCTAAAATCAAATACCTGATCACTTCTGTCATCAATCAGTGAATCCTTCGATAGATCTCTTGCATGCCAGGGTTCTAAATCCCATATAAATCAAACAAATCAAACTCTCACTCAAACTCAAACCTCTCTGCACAGTGATATTCCCATAAATTGGTTGTATCATTTGTTGATTCATTCCATTCGTTGTCATCATTACAGGCATCATTGGCATGTATTGCTGAATAATAAAGTAAAGAGATTGGCAAGAAAAGAGTTAAGATAGCGACAAGAATTTCTTTACCATTGTTGTCTGCGGGACATAAATTGGTTGGATCATCGGTTGACTTTGAGCGAATGTTTGCTGAGAGTCATGGTATCTGAAAGAAAAGTCTCGAGATTTCAATTCTCATTTCAAACCTGCGCAATGTATTCTGCGAAGGAGCCCTTGATCCAGGCCGATGATCTCTAATCGTCTGAAATTGACTCAATTCAAATGGTAGATATAGTTTAAAAATGATTCATCTTCCAGCAAAACGAGGATTCGTTTGCTTTTTGCTTTTTGCGTTTTGCTAATCTTAAAGTTTTAAGGAGAAACTTCTCAGTTTTCATCAAAATTAAAGTCATTTTGTGAAAAGGCATTCCAACAAAGAATTAAAGGCTCTTTTTGGCTTGCTCTTGTTGTTCAAAGTTTAGCTAACTTACCCTAAAGTCTCGAGTATAAGTTCTGCCTTAATTTACATTCGCTTTAATTGTTTTGAATTTCTTTTTGTTGGGTTTTTATTGTTATATATGTCGTAGCCGATTAAGGATTTCAGCCGAAGAAGTCTCAAACTTCTTCGGCTAGCCGATTAAGTCTCATACTTCTTCGGCTAGCCGATTAAGTCTCAAACTTCTTCGGCTAGCCGATTAAGTCTCAGACTTCTTCGGCTAGCCGATTAAGTCTCAAACATGAAATCTTGAGTTATGTATTGACTCAAGTCAATACCACAAACTCAAGCTCTCTAAAAGGCGCTTAAAAGCTAAAAACGCATTCTAAAGAGTGCGCATTTTATCATACTGTAACCAAAGGCTATGAAAGGGCCCTTTTCGCCATTTTCTATCTGATTCGTCATTTATTTGAAATAGAATTGTTTGTTTTTGTAAGTCAATTTGCCCCTTTGTTGGATCATCGATAAAACTTATTTACCACTAATCTGTTTATAATCGAACATAACCCCTGATTTCAATCCTATTTTTTCTTTTTGTTACTGTGCATTTTTTGTTTAAGCTACACTAATTTCTGTTGATCGTTAACCGGCCAAAGAGCTCCTCGTTCTTGACGACTTTCTTAGGTTTGTCCAAATTGCCTTTGATCCCATGATTGTAAAGCACCTCTTGATTCAGTTCAAGAGAGAATAGCACTACAAGTTTTTAGTTTTTAGGGCCTTTTAGAGAGCTTTTAGAGAGCGTTTTTAGCTTTTAAGCGCCTTTTTGAGAGCTTGAGTTTGTGGTATTGACTTGAGTCAATACATAACTCAAGATTTCATGTTTGAGACTTAATCGGCTAGCCGAAGAAGTCTGAGACTTCTTCGGCTGAAATCCTTAATCGGCTGCGACATATAAACTTTTATTATTGTTCTTGGAGCGCGGGATACTACAGGGTGACAGCCTATCACCATTGCTATTTGTTATATGCATGGATACATCCAGACGATAGTGTTGAAGAAGACGCTGGAAAGCATCTCTTTCGACCGTCGACGTGGACTTTGGCCGGATGAAGAGGCCAGGGAGGGATCCATAAGACTGAGCACCGGAGAGGAGCAGGGCGGACGCGCCGAGCCACGCCCGGAGCAACAAATAACAGCATAAAATTGCTATAACCCTCAATAAATTTACTTCTATTATTGTTCTTAAAAAGCAAAAAAGTTATGCTGCAGCGGGGTTCGAACCCTCGACACACCGCACCGGAGACAGCCGTCAATTTGCATGCGAAAACCAAACAGAACTTATACTCGCGACTTTAGGGTAAAGGCTCTTTTTGGCTTGCTCTTGTTGTTTAAAGTTTGGCTAACTTAAAACTATTCTTAATCTTTTTGAATGGCTGAAGACATTAGAGTCAAAGATTGGAAAAAAAATGCTAAGTATATCATCAAAGCTTTCAAAATGTATAGTTGAATACGCGATTGGGAATTCAAAATCTGGAGGCACCGGGATTCAAATCCTTGATCTCTGGCAAAGCTCTGGCTTCCCGAACGAATAAGCTATGGCTTCCCAACGAACACTCTACCAATAAGCTACACCGATAGATATTCTATTTGATTAACTTACATCATATTCATTTCTTCGCTCATCTCTTGTCATACTTTCTCTTGAAACACCTCGAGGATCCTCTGAAACACCTGAAAAGTTCAATTACAAGATAGAAATGTTTCGCAATTGATTAAATCATTCATTAATCATTCATTAATCATTCATTAATCATTAATTTTAAAGTTTTAAAAGAATTAAAGGCTCTTTTTGGGTTGCTCTTGTTGTTCAAAGTTGAGCTAACTTAAAACTATTCTTAATCGGTTCTTCTATTCGAAATTCTCGAGTTCTATGGTTATAAAGGTTATAAAGATGTGTTTGAAGTTTAAAAATTCTTTTCTTTCGCTCACTTCTTTGTTTCATTTCGCCCTTCCACGGCATCGCATAGCTGTAAATCTCTTTCCCAATCTCTTCTTGACTTCTCGGTGATCCCGATGATTCATCAGTGCTTGTATCTCTTTGTTGAGCCGACAAAATCCTTTCTCGTCGTTTTTCCACCGGTGAACTTCTAAACTTCATACATTTCTTATATCAATTCTTTTCTTTACTTTGTCCGATTCATCTCTCCATTTGTCAAGACTTTCTGTTGATTTTGTCCTAATCCAATATTTGAATACTTATAAAATATCGATCGATCACTGTTCACTCCTTCGATTTCACAAATAACATCATGAAAGAAATCACCTGAATTGATATTTCACTTGAATTGCAAAATTCATTTACCGGACATCGGTGCATAAATCGAATCATCAATCTCAATAGCCACAGTCCAACCATTGCTATTAGAAATTCCTCTAAACATTAGCTATTTCTTACCAACCATTGCTATTACAAATCCCTCTAAACTAGCTCTTTTTTCTTCCAACCATTGCTATTACAAATCCCTCTAAACATTAGCTATTTTTTTATGATAATTATTCTAGAATTTGATAATCTTTCAATTTCTCAGTGTTACGAACTTTTCTTTCAACACTCTAGCTGCCAATTCATTGGTTGTTGTCCACGGTTGTGCTTCAACAAGAAATGAGTCTCCAATTCCAGGCAAATCCACTTGAACAGCCATTGTTTGTCGACTCGTGAATGATAGCTGTTCAAGCTTATTCGAAGCATAGTTTCGAGATGCCTAAACTCTATAGACTTTCAATTGTTTCATGAATTTACAGTAGGATTTGTTGTTTTGAGTTTTCGCAATAGCGATTCCATTAACGAGTTTTTCAGGGGATCTGATTGAGTGGAGAAATATCTGAAAGGATTCTTTTCTAGAACACAAATTAGAGCATTTACCCAAGCAACATTGCGAGCACGTTAATCGATGGTGGAAAAGAGTTCAACGCACACAACATTAGACTCCAAACTCTTTCACGATTTTCTCGATTTCGATTCTGATACGTTTGATTGGAAAGTTGAACGAAAAGCTCGTCGCGAAGATGGATGTTTGAGATTGCCTAAATAGTCTAAATAAGCTCAAGAATATAATTCTATTCTTTCTAATGGAAAAGCTTATGACGAAGATGGATGTTTGAGATTGCCTAAATAGTCTAAATAAGCTCAAGAATATAATTCCATTGTTTCTAATTCAATTCTTTCTAATGGAAAAGCTCGTCGCGAAGATGGATATTTGAGATTGTCTAAATAGCCTAAATAAACCCAAGAACACAATTCAATTCTTTCTAATCGCTCAATTCCCATTTTCCCATTAATAATGCCTGTCTAAAAAGCTTGTATTTACTCCATTTACACAAAAAAAAATTCATTACTAACCATTTGAATGATGAATTTCGCCAATTGATGTAACTTTTCCGTTGATAAATTCGGATCATTTGAATATTTCAATATTAATTTAAACATTGAAAGTGATAGAGAAAAATCAGCTTCACAAATTTTCATCAAAAATGGAGTTGTGATTGGCGAGCGACGGACTTCAAGTAGATGACCCTGATTTGAAATAATTACATTGGGAAAACTCGTTTAACTACCTTGAAATTCTTCTCCGCAAATTCCTCAATTGTTATCGGTGAAATCAAAGGTTTAATGAATTGTTGTGGTGTTGAAAGGTAATGATGAAGTGTCCTCGTTTCTTTCTTCTTCCCTTCCAATCCACTCTCCAATGTTCTCATCACTTCTTCTCCCAAATCCAAATGATCGATTGGACCAAGAGAAAGCTGAGAAATGCTTTTGAAAGTTATTCAATTGTTTTCAACTTTCCAACCTCATTTTTCATCATAATTTCTCCATGAATCATTTCATGATAAGCCAATAAACGTTTGTTTTTTCGGGCTTCTTGAGTAAGCGTTCGATTTCTTGTTTCCAGCTTTTCCAAATATTTCTTTCTAGAATTTTAAACAAAATAAAGCTTTTCAAAGTCAAATCAAGTTTTTTTAGCTTAAAATTAAACTCTTCCAAGTGATTTCAAGCTATTTAGCTTAAAATTAAAGCTTTTCCAGATCAAATCAAGCTCTTTATCTTAAAATTAAACTCTTTCCAGATCAAATCAAGCTCTTTCCCTTCAAATTAAACTTTTCAAAGCCATTTCAAGCTCTTTATCTTAAAATTAAACTCTTCCAAGTCAAATCAAGCTCTTTACCTTAAAATTAAACTCTTCCAAAGTCAAATCAAGCTCTTTAGCTTCAAATTTAACTTTTCAAAGCCATTTCAAGCTATTTAGCTTCAAATTAAAGCTTTTCCAGATCAAATCAAGCTCTTTAACTCAAAAAAAAACTTTTCCAAGTCATTTCAAGCTATTTAGCTTCAAATTAAAGCTTTTCAAAGCCATTTCAAGCTATTTACCTTCAAATTAAACTTTTCCAAAGTCAAATCAAGCTATTTACCTTCAAATTAAACTCTTCCAAGTCATTTCAAGCTATTTAACCTAGTTTTACCCTAGTACTTTCCAGCAAGACTTTTTAACGATAGTTGAGTTAGTTCTTAAAAAGTTTATTTCTCTTTTAGGCTTGATTTAGCTTTTAGATTTATCAAAATTACTAAAACCAAGCAATTTATTAGACATTTAACATTTGATTTAGACTTTTAGAACACAAAAAAAACACTTTTCCCATCCCCTCACCTCTCCTTCCATCCTCGAAATGCTGCCTGTATCCTAATCGATGCTTTCCTCTTCTTTCTATATTCTCTTCTTGCAATCAATCCCCGAATCGTCTTTTGCAATACAATGACCGCTTCATCAATGACATCTTCTCTTTTCATCTCCAATCGATTCGCCAAACGATCGCTCAAAAAGACAAGAGTTGAGCCTGAATTGAGCTTGGGTTAAAAAATGATTCAAATCTTTGCCATCTTTTGAATCCATTAGATCCATTAGCTGACATAACTAAAGATCAAAGTCTCCATGATAGCTTTTCTTGTATGTAAGATAGCTCTTAATAGCTTACTGTCAAGTACTGCTTTGCTAACGCTTCTGCTTCTGCTTTGCTTTTGCTTCTGCTTTTTGCTTCTGCTTTGCTTGTACTCTTATAAATGCACTCTTTCTAGCGCATTTGTTTTATTGTTTTGTAGGATTTTGATCGTTACCAACCAATTTTGTAGTGTTGTTGAAAAGAAAATCCTTGTCCAAGCAAAACATCATTAATAATTTCCTTGATTTTCTGATGAATCGAGATCATTCCAGGGAGAAGGCAACGAAAACGACGCGCAAAATTGGAATATTCAAAACGAATCGGGAAATTCGAAACACGGAAACGAGTAGTGTCTAGGACAGCCAAACACTAAAAGACAAATTTTGATTGATTTATTTTTTGATTAGCTTACTCTTAATTGCCGGGAAACTGTTGGTAAATCGAATTTGGCCACGATTCGTTCAGCATTTCCTCGAACACAGCTCACAAAGTGTATGGTTGAGCTAAAAGGTTTTTGGTTTGAAGAACGAAATCAAATCAAAATCAAATCAAAATCAAATCAAAATCAAATCTTTACTTATTAAGCTGCTCAAACAATAGCTGCATTGATCGAACGTGTTGTTGACCGGAATATTGAATGAAATCGCCGAACTCTCGGCCACAAAGTGGACGAAAGATTTGTTGGATGATCTGTAAAACATTGAACAATAGAACATATAGTTGGCTAGACTTGTTGTAAGTAAAATTAGAGGTTTTTGATCTAGGTCTATTTGATAGATTCAATTAAATGGATATCTTCAATAGATTCACCGACTCTGAAAGCCCCCAAGTATAAATTTCTTGCTAAATAGCTTCTTTTGTATAGTAAACCTTTAGAGAAACAAACAAAAAATGTGTTTTTTTGGGGGATGGGACAAATGCGACCTTTTTTTTGCGCACCTGGACATTTGCGCACCTTTTTTTTTGCTGGAAAAGGCCTTAGGAAAGGTCGTAGAGCTTCGAAAATATTTCCATATAAGGGAATCGTATGCGTAGATTCTGAATTTCGACAAATCAGACCTCGCTGACACGTCAAATTTGGGCTAAAAGGCAAAAACTACACAGCTTAACGCTTTTCCGCAGTTTTTGCCTTTTAGCCCAAATTTGACTTGTTCTTTGGGTGGCCGATCACTCGCGATCTGGCAAATCGCTTTGGTATAAGGTGCTTTCCTTTTGGAATCAGTAAAGGGAAAGGAGCTGGCTTTACCATTAATATGCCCAAATTCATGAGAAAGATTTTTGGCTTAAATTTGGCAATATTTTACAGCAAAACTTCTGGATAATTCGATGTGAATTAAGCGTTTTTTTTTCCTTGAATTTCAGAATTTTGTAGTCGAACCAAACTCTATTTTATCATTTGAAAGCCTTAGTAAGGTCGTTTGGAAACTAGATTGGAAACTAGATTGGAAACTAGATTGGAAACTAGATTGGAAACTAGATTGGAAACTAGATTGGAAACTAGATTGGAATCTAGATTGGAAACTAGATTGGAAACTAGATTGGAAACTAGATTGGAATCTAGATTGGAAACTAGATTGGAATCTAGATTGGAAACTAGATTGGAAACTAGATTGAAACAACCGTAAACCTTCGTTGTATATTTCAAGACTACTTTCAGCTAGCTATCATGAATTTCTCGATTCCCACCTGATTATGACTAAAACCGAAAGCATTGAGGATTCCCATTGGAACAGCTCGTCGATTCGATCGAATATAATCGATCACCGAATACCAAACGGTGCCACCATAATGACGAACAGAAAATTCGCATCTTAAAGGAGAATTTTCGTCATTCAAATATTTCAATCGAGCACAAACTTGTCTTTATTCCGGCTTTTCCCATAAATACTTTTATCTAAATGATTTAGATTTGTGTGCTGAAGATAGGTTTCATCAGTGGCCTAAAAATCTCATAAATCTTTTCAAATTCTCAAACTTCGCTTTACTTTTGGAAATTTACACTCATCATCAAGCAACGGCAATAAACCAGACGGTTTTTTCATCAACATTTCCACCACATTTCCATTGTCAATCTCAGAAAACTTAAAAGGAAACAATTTCTACAACAATTTCTGCGTCATAATTATTGCAACAAGAGTTCAAAGGCCGTTTGTGATGTCAAGAATGTGATGTCAAGAATGTGATGTCAAGAATATGATGTCAAGAATATGATGTCAAGAATGTGATGTCGAGAATATGATGTCGAGAATGTGATGTCAAGAATGTGATGTCAAGAATGTGATGTCAAGAATATGATGTCAAGAATGTGATGTCAAGAATGTGATGTCATGAGCGTGTAAAGCCAATAACAATCAAAATTGAACCTTCATGCAAGATGGAGCTCCCGCTCACACGAAGAAGACGGTTCAGGACTGGTGTGTGGCCAACTTTCACTCACCAAGGATGAATGGCCTTCAAACTCACCGGATCTCAATGTGATGGGCTTTTCCATTTGGGCAATCTTAGAGGCTAATGTCTGCTCTCGAAAACACACAAGTTTGGATTCTTTGAAGAAGTCTTTGACCAAAGAATGGAAGGCGACTCCTCAAGATGACATTCGGGCCGCAGTGGAGACATATCCGAACCGATTAGGCATATCCGAACGGGCTGTTATCAAGGCAAAAGGCGATCATATCGAATGATCTCTTGGTTTCCTTATTTTTTACTGTTAAATAAAGCTATTTCTGTTTCAAAATCTTCTTCCAGTGAAACTTCCAGTGAAACTCGGTGTGCAATGCCTTGAGTATCTTGTTGCAATAATTAATGACGCACCCTGTCTATTCAAAAACATAAAATCACCTCAAAACTATGCTCAATTCTTTCGCTTTCCATCTCATTTAACGGCTCTTCAAAGATTTTCTTTAAATAAAATCGATGCATTCTTTCGTTGACTGTATTTATAAATAATTGATGAAGACCATTTGAAGCATATCTCTTTAAGAAAAGCTTTAATTAATAGTTTTACTTTCTTTCCTACCTCAAATCCATACATATCGATGAATCGAAGAATTCCCTGAGCATTTAAACATTTATAATTTTGAGAAATTCTTCCCAAAATCCAGGCAAACAACTCCTCGTATAAGAGTTGAGCAATCGAATCTCTGAAATTGCTTTTTTTATCAATACCCTCACTTTAAACCTTGTATCCAATGCCTGCTCAATATTCAGACTCATCGATTGGATTCCATTCTCTGTTTTCTAAATATTTTCCAATCACTTTCATTCATTCTTTCACTAAACCAAGAAACGATTCACAAAATGTGATCCCCATTTTTGTTCGTTCACTTCAAGTAAACGAGAAGTAAGCGAGATTTCTCGTTCTGATCCAAATTCAACACCATCTCCACCATCAGGTAACTGAAAATAGGGGAATTCGGATCGAGAATCGATTCTGCTGATTGGGATCAAGAATCGATTCTACTGATAGGGATCGAGAATCGATTCCAATTGCTGATAGGGATCGAGAATCGATTCTGTTGATAGGGATCAAGAATCGATTCTACTGATAGGGATCGAGAATCGATTCCGATTGCTGATAGGGATCGAGAATCGATTCTGTTGATAGGGATTGAGAATCGATTCTGCTGATAGGGATGAGAACCGATTCCAATTGCTGATAGAGATCGAGAATCGATTCCAATTGCTGATTGGAATCAATTCTTGATTGAAGATTGATCAAAACTTGAAGATAAATCAAACCAAACGTACTCAAGTCCTATTTCGAAAGCTGAATCTTTAAGACACTAATCAAATCATTTTCATTATCATTATGTTCTTTATAAACATAAAAACATAATTCATAATGCTTATTTTTTGAATTATTATAGATTATTGAATAGTGAGACTTTATAGTCTCTTTAGCATAAGTAGTCAAAGGTTTTTATTCAAAAATCTTAACCAAACCTTTCTTTGACGAAAATAGATATTTCCTAAATGAAGGATTGATGCAAGTAATCGATAAATGAATGTCCGTTGATCTTCTGAAAATCCAAGAGTTTCAAGAGATTTCTCGAGTTTCACAAAATTCGATCCATCACTCGAATCAATCGATTCTCCAATTCCCTGAATTCAAAAAAAGCTTAAGAATTTCGGTTATAGAAATAATCAAACCTTTGTTAAATAGAAAAACTTTTGCTGATCCCTGAAGCCAAATTGTTCCCTCAAATTCTCCGGGAGTCCCGAGAGTAATTCATAAAAAACATTAAAATTTCTCTCATTTGATCGAAGCGAAACAATTCGAGAGACTTCCAAAGGGGAGACTATTTTCACAGAAAACCCTTCAATATTATTACTAAAACTGTTAACTTTAAGAAAATGAATTTTCATTAAACTCTTTGAAATTGAAATCGATCGAGTAGCCAAAACGAGTTGAAATTGGGTTTTTCGAGGTGCGAGCGGTTGCGAACGAGTGAAAAATTTGATGTAAAGCTTCCACCTAAAATATATTCGATTGAGCAGTATATGTTGATTGATATCTATTGATTGGGATCTATTGATAGATATCTATTGATTAATATCTATTAATTAATATCTATTGATTAATATCTATTGAACAATATCTATTGATTGATATCTATTGATTGATATCTATTGCTTGATATCTATTGATTGATATCTATTGATTAAACAATATATATTGATTGATATCTATTGATTGAAGAGTATCTATTGATTCATATCTATTGATTAATATCTATTGAACAATATCTATTGATTGATATCTATTGATTGGGATCTATTGATTGAACAGTATCTATTGCTTGATATCTATTGCTTGATATCTATTGATTGGGATCTATTAATTGATATCTATTGATTGATATCTATTGATTAAACAATATCTATTGATTGATATTGAGCTTTTTTCGTAAATCGTGTGACTAAAGTTTGGAATGCCCTTCCCGATAAGTTGCGTTTGATCTCCACCGTGTCTGATTTTAAAAGGGCTATTTCATTGCATTTTAAGTGACTTTGTCATCTTTTATCTAGTACATTTTTCATGTCGTTTTTGCACTTTATTTCTTTCTGAATAAAGTATTTATATATATATATCTATTGATTGAACAATATCTATTGATTGATACCTATTGATTAATATCTATTGATTAATATCTATTGATTGATATCTATTGATTGAAGAGTATCTATTGATTGATATCTATTGATTAATATCTATTGAACAATATCTATTGATTGATATCTATTGATTAATATCTATTGATTGATATCTATTGATTAAACAATATCAACTTAAACTCACATGATCTTCCGTAATCTTTCCGCTCTTCGATGGCGCATTCTTGACAGCAGCACGCATCGCTTGAAAGCTATTGAACGATTTGCCTGATCCAGTTTCACCCCTGAATTCTTGTCTTTATTTATTTCATTCTATAATGTTTAGAGTTTATTCTTCTATATTTTGATATTAGTTTTGAATAGAAATTCACCGAAAAATGATAGTTTCATCGATTGATCCCTCTCGAATTCTCGCAATTATATCGCGAACTGTAGCAAAAATATGACTAAATCTTATTAAATAGTTTCTTTTAAGCTCTAAATCTCTATCTACCCTTTATCATTTTTATTTTTAAAGATTTGATTAATAACGGAATGATCGTAGATTGGAAGATGTTCATTTGGATTGATGAAAACGAGATCATTTCCAAGAGAAGTCTAAAAAGGATAACTTTAAGTAAAAGGAAGGAAACTTTAACAATGAAACAAGTAAAATATTGAAAAAATGGGCTAACGGACTGTTCTAGGTTGCCAGAGTTAAACATACATAAATTCGACGATTCCGAAATCGCTCCTGAAGTGCGTAAAGAACGTGAGATTCTGACGATTCACTGGAAGTTAGTTATCAATGTCAAAATCAATGTTTTATTCTTTCTAATTATTTACCTTAATTCTAAGATATCTTGCACATGAATATTCGATTCTTTTCTCAATGATAGACGGGATGGCTCTTCGACGATCATTTTTTGTCCCTAGAAATCAATCACAGTTGTACTCAATCACAGTTTGTATTGTTTGATCTATAATCTAAAGTCGAGTCTGAAGAAAAATCACACTTATAAGTTGTAAGCTAGAATCAAAATCAATTCTAGACAAAAATTAACCCTTTAAATACGAAATTTACCGATACAACTGAGGAAACGGTGAGCGGATCTAAAATCTTGACGATCACTGGTACAGAGTAGCCATGACCGGTGTCAAGCCAACCGGCTTCGTTCTAAAATTTGGCTAGTTATTGTTTAAACCTTTTTATTCTTTATTGTTTCTCTTCTAATAAAGCTATCGTATCGTTTAATCATCAATTCACCGCTAATAGTTACCAAATGACTTTAAAGTTAGGGCTTAATTGCTTATAAAAAAGATATTTTCAGAGAACTTTTTCAATTTTTCAATAGACAAATAGAAATACAAGATAGAGTAAAATAAAGTAATATAAAGTAATATAAAGTAATAGAATCTACAAGATACAGCAAAAAGCAAGTAACACAATGCAACATAAAGTATTGGGTTGATGGAAAAGCTCGGATCCTCGGTTCCACATCTCTTTTCTCCGGAAGCGATGTGAGGTAGCTGAACTTTTTCTTGATAGGCACATGAAAACCCGAGGTCAGGATCGTCGATTTATTCCTCGGATAGTGACAGGTGACGAAAAATGATGTCTTTACGTGAATGTGAAGTCAAGGAAAGAATGGGCTGATTTCGATCAACAAGCAACTCCAAGGGTAAAAGCAGAACTTCACCCAAAAAAGACAATGCTGTGTGTTTGGTGGGACCATCAGGGCATTCTTCAACAAAAAAAAACAAGAAAAACGAAGGAAAATCGCGAAAAGCGGCGGAAAGGCTATTGATCTGAGGGTCGCTGGTTCGACTTCCACCGGTGACAATATTTTTCAAAAATTTTTTGCTAAGATTCTGAAAATGCGTGTCTAGGGGTTATTTTTGACGCTGATCACGAAACACATGTTTTTAGCCTAGGTTTCTGCACGGAAAACTAACGAAACGTGAAAACAGCTATTTTTTGGCTCTGCCGCCCTTTACTAAAATAGCTGTCAAAACTTTTAAAAAAAGAGATATCTCAAAACGGTTTTTACCAATCGATCCGTCTTGAATTCAGCTTTAGGATGAGCTATAAAACGTGAAAATTCGACCGATTTAAGGTACTCTCCCAAAAAATCGGAAAGGACTTTTCCATCAACCCAATACTTCGAAGTTCAGAGGTGCCAACATCTCGGCAGAATCGTCGTTTTCGTTTTCAACTCTCTAGAATTGCCTACAAATCAATTCTTTTAGTTTTTTTTTCACTCTTTAGTTAAATTTAGACAAATATCACAAAAGAAATGCATTAGCTTTGCAAGACAGCAAATCGGGAATCATTTGTGGAGTCACCAGTGGATACAATCACATAAAGTAACAGAAAATAATATAAAGTAACATAATCTACAAGATACAAGAACATAAAGTAATATAAAGTAACATAAAGTAATATAATCTACAAGATACAGTAACATAAAGTAACAGAAAATAATATAAAGTAAGATAAAGTAACATAATCTACAAGATACAATAACATAAAGTAATATAAAGTAATATAAAGTATCATAAAGTAACTTAATCTACAAGATACAGTAAAATGAAGTAAATAATATAATCAACAAGATAGTAGACATCAAGTAAAGTAGTAAAGTAGACAAAAATAAGAAATCACTTACCACTTTTAGCATCGGAAGGCTAAAAACAAGAAGAATAAGTAAAAATGAAGAAAAGTACAAATGGATTGGATAAAGAATTGAAAAGGAGAGTGATTGGAAAAGAGAAAAGGGAGTAGATGAGAGAAGAGATCAAAGAGAGGGCCTAATTCTCCCATCTAGAGGATTTCGGTCATACCCCAGTCTTCCCCCTTTCCATATCCAAGTGATAACGATGAATCGACCCCTTTTCTCATCTTTCCTTTCTCTTCGTTCTTGTCTTTGTCATATCCTTTTTCCCATTCATTTCTCTTGCATTTTCCTGGATCCTGGAATGCTTTAAACGATAGCCTGGTGTTCCTTTGAGAATTTCAAAATTGATAAACAAATTAAGAGTTTCATTTGTTTTCAGTTTCGAGTTTAATTTACAGCTTTTACTTGTTGAATTACTAAATTGATATGAGTGATTGCTTTACTCTAGCAGCCTATTCTTTGAGTGATTGCTTTACTCTACAACTTTGTCTGTATTCAATAAGAATCATAGAGTTTAATTACTAGATTGATATGAATCTAGTAATGAAACTCTATGATTCAATAAGATTCAATTCAATAAGAATCATAGAATTTAATTACTAGATTGATATGAGTGATTGCTTTACTCTACAACTTTGTCTGTATTCAATAAGAATCATAGAGTTTCCTGGATGCTGAAATGCTTTAAACGATAGCCTGGTGTTCCTTTGAAAATTTCAAAATTGATAAACAAATGAAGAAAGTTTCCAGTTTAATTTGTAGCTTTTACTTGTTGAATTACTAAATTGATATGAGTGATTGCTTTACTCTAGCAGCCTACTCTTTGAGTGATTACTTTACTCTAGCTTACTCTTTGCTTTACTCTTGCCCGTATTCAATAAGAATCATAGAGAAAAACTTCAATAATTTTATTCATCATTGAAAAATCGATCATTTTCATAAGATTCATTGTTTATATCATCATTTTGAGAGATGAGATCATTTTTTTGAAAAACTATTACAAAAATCAATGTAGAGATCAACGTTATCATTCCACCAATAATCAATTGCCAATGTAAACGAAGAATCGATCCATAATAGAATGGAAAAGTTGAGGAAAGAGTCTAAATTGGGTTTCATTGGTTTCATTGAATTTCATTTAACAAACCAAGAAAAACTGTTGTAGAGAAAAAGCGGATGTGATCGAATCTCCATGAAAAATTGATCCAATCAATGGAAAAACCTGAGTTTGCCAACACGAATCACCAAAACCAATCAGAAATGAGGTGAATAAGGCAAGATCGAATCTGTAAAGTTTTGTTTTAAACGAAAACGAAAAGAAAAGAAAATAAACGATTTGAAGGTCACTAGAAAGCGTTTATTTACGAATTTTAGCATAAAGTACTTTAAAGTTAAGTTTAAAGTTAAGGATTTTTGATTGAAATCTTGTTTTCCAAGTTACCTTGGCTCAATGAGGCCAGTGGAATTCGTTTTGTGAATCGGTGAATCGTTTGGCAAATTGATGAAAGTAAAGAGATAAGCAAAGAGAATCGACAAGCTTCCTACGGAAATCACATGCTTTTTGCCGAAATTTTTGAGTATTTTGAGATCAATACCAAACAGAAGACCGCCTTAAATCAGTTTTTTTTTTGATGAGAATTATTTTCTTTGAGCTCTTTTACCGAAAATCTCTCCAATTCCAATGAAGAAAACACTGTAAGCGATCGAGATCTCTTTTCCATCGTTGAGCTTTGTTGTCGCTGAATTGATTCATTAAACTTTTGCTGGTAAATGATAAGTTTATAACTTTAAGATCTCTTCTCCATTGTTCAATAAAAGATTTTGAGTCTTTCATTCAAATGACTCTAAAAGATTTGACTACCGTAAATACTGTAATAGTACCCCAGCCCCATAATGACGGTGCAGAGTGTTGCGTAGTCTAGCTTTGAACGAGTTTATCTCGACACTGGTTTATGCTACAATGCGCGCTTAGGTATTAAAAAATGGCTCTGAATTTCAGCTTTCATTTAATACTTAAACGAACACTGTAGCATAAACGGGTGGCGAGAAAAATGCATTTAAAGTTAGACTACGCGATGCTCCGACCGGCATTATCAGGGGGGGGCTACTATTAAAGGTATTACGATATTCTTTTCTTAGTTTAGCTTAACCTTTATCTACTATAATTCAATTTAGAACTATAATTTAAACATACCGTAAATCCTGTAATAGTACCCCACCCCCATAATGACGGTGCGGAGTGTTGCGTAGTGTAGCTTTGAACGAGTTTTTCTCGACACTGGTTTATGCTACAATGCTCGCTTAGGTATCAAAAAATAGCTGAAATTCAGGGCTATTTTTTGATACCAAAGACGCATTTGTTGAAAGTACGGGCGCTTTGAAAAAAATGAAATACTGAAAATCTTTTGCGACTACGCGACTTTACGAGGGCGGTGGGGTACTATTACAGTATTTACGGTAATTCTTAGATCTTTAGATTCTTCTAGTATCATCATCTCTAGTACCCCTACTATTACAGTATTTACGGTAGTTATTTCACAAAACTCAAAATCAATCAAAATTAATGACTAAAAGCTAGTCAAAAAGTGTTCTGAAAAGGTAAACTTTATCAATTTTAGCTTTTTCTTTTGAATTGGTTCATTTTTAAACACTTTAAACAGTTTTTATCTAAAAATTCTACTCTAGAAATGGGTTTTCAAAAAAAACAAAACTTTATAATAATCTTATGTTTTTATTTAAAGAATAATCAATTTTTATCTAATTTTTAAGTTTTAAAGAAGCTTTTATTTAGTTTTTAATAAACGAATCTAGTTTCATTTTTTAGAGTTTTCAGTTGTTTAGAGTTTAGATTTCGATTCAATTTCTATAACTCGAGTTACAGACCATCTAAGCTGATCAACTTTTCCAGGTAGGTAGTTCAAGTTACTTTGACGCAAATTTTCTCTATATTCTTATACCCGAGTGTACAAAGTGTAATAAATGAATCTACCGTAAATACTGTAATAGTACCCCACCGCCCATAATGACGGTGCGGAGCGTTGCGTAGTCTAGCTTTGGACGAGTTTTTCTCGACACTGGTTTATGCTACAATGCTCGCTTCGGTATCAAAAAATAGCTGAAATTCAGGGGTATTTTTTGATACCAAAGACGAATTTTTTGAAAGTACGGGCGCTTTGAAAAAAATGAAATACTAAAAAAACTTTTGCGACTACGCGACTTTACGAGGGGGTGGGGTACTATTACAGTATTTACGGTAGTTTACTTTTTTAGAGTTTTCAGTTGTTTAGAGTTTAGATTTGTTGTTTTAGAGTTCTTTTTGAGTTTTCATTCACCTAATAAACAAGATGTGTAGATTGAAGATAAGAATGATGTCTCGATACCGATGAAGAGGAAAATGACAAGTAAATATCTCATTTTCTTTGTTTTCAGCAGAGAAAATGTGATTTCTAAAAGGTTTTCGTTAAAAGAAAGCAATCTTTGTTTACTTATTGCATTGTTTTCTTCAACTTCTTGCTCATTTCTTAATAGAATTCGATTCTCGGGTAGAAATGCAAAAGTGATGGCACCAAATAAACAAATTGATCCAAATATTGAATAAGCGAGTCGATAAGATGAGATGAGATCTCTAGAAAAGAAAAGGAAATAAATTACCAGAAAAAGAAATAGTTACCAAATAAGAAAACTGTTTTATTTAAAAAGTTTACCAAGCTTTTACGGGATAGACTACTTTGCGCCAAATTTTTTGCGCAACTCGTCATAACTTTCTTCTAAGTCGGCCAATCTTTATGATGTTGGTTTTATTTTGTAGATCTCAATAAGTGCAACAAAATAAAACCAACATCATAAAGATTGGTCCGCTTAGAAGAAAGTTATGGCGAGTTGCGCAAACGACCCAGTTCCGCAAATGACCCTGTTGCACAAATACAGTAGGGTCCAAAAGTTTGGAACAATCCGGCAACTTCAACTCGATGTAGCTTGCGTTAGATAAATCCAATTTTGTTACTTTAAAAACTATTTTTGTCGCATTTTTTGTGGACTTTCTGAATATCAACTTGATTTTATTTCATATTTGATCTTTTCTTTTTGTCTTGCGCTTTTTCTTGGAACACCCATTTTGTAGAATGGCGGAAATTAGGATACCCCGCTTTTACTAGACACTAATTTCTATTTGTTTAGATTTATAGAGAAAACAAAAGAACTCTTTGTATAAAATTTGAATCTAAGCTGAAATATGATTTGTGAAAGATAACAATTTCAATTTTCTAACTCAATATCGATTTTTGTCTCTCATTTTAGCAACTCTGACTACAGTAAGTTTCTTAAAAAGTAAATTTATAAACTATTCTTTATTCAGATTCTATTTGATTCTATTGATTCTATTAATTTACTTGAATCCCATTCATTTCAAAGTTCGACTCTGAATCGAATAAAATCAACAAATTAAATGAATCAGACAAAAAAAATCTCAATGATTACAATAGTTTTACAAATTGCAAACGCTTTTAGAAAGCGAATTTATCTACATCTACCACAAAAGGTTTCATTTTCGAATTTGTGCTTTAGTGCTGGACCATAGAACTTTTGTCAAAAAAGGTTTTAAGGTAATTTGGAGGAATTTGAGAATAATCCATGTAAAAACATGGAAAATTTCTTCAAATTCAGATGTTTGGTCGTTGTCAAACTGTCAAAAAATAGCCCCATTGGATAGAATCGATTTTAAATGTTTCAATAGAAATTGGTTTTACTTTAACACGTTCGGGACGATTCGGTCCACCGGTGGACGAAGGCTATCTGGCCCCTGGGACGGTTCGGTCCACCGGTGGACGAAGGCTATCTGGCCCCTGGGACGATTCGGTCCACCGGTGAACGAAGGCTGTCTGGCCCCTGGGACGGTTCGGTCCACCGGTGGACGAAATTTTTGACGCGCTATAACTTCTCGACTTTTTAAGATAATTTCAAAATGTAAAAAGACTCGATTAGTTCTTTTTGAGGCAGCAATATTTTCAAAATATGATTAGAGATTCGGATTCAGTATGAAATTTTACATATAGGTGGTGTATTTCGGGGCTAATAGCTTTGCAAGACACCCCTCGTCCACTGGGGCAGTAACGCAAAAACGCAAAAACGCCTCGTCGCGAATGTGTTAAATAAAAATTTCATATACCTATTTTCTTTTAAATAAAAGGGTAATCCATATAAAAAAGATGGGAAATTTCTTCAAATTCAGATGTTTGATCGCTGTTAAACTGCCAAAAATTGCCCCATTGGATACAATCGATTTTAATTTTTTCAATAGAAATTGGTTTTCTTTTAAATCAAAATTTCATATACCTATTTTCTTTGAAATAAAAAACAACTCACTTATTGAGTAGAAGAATGAAGAGAAAAAGAGCACATGAGAGTTGAGATCCTTGATATAAAGACCACATTAGGCACGAGTTACGAGAAAGATTCTCTTCACTCGAGTTTAACACCAGGAAATTCCCATTTGAAGTCCAGAGAACTGGAATTTTCGTTGATTTCGTTGAATCTTTTGAAATATTCATTCGTTTTAGACATTTTCTAAAGCATACAAAGTCTTTAAAAGTTTCTATATACCGTATTTTCTGTAATAGTAGTGCGCACTACTATTTTTTCAATCCCCCTCCTGCCTGCATTACTATTACAGACTGCACTACTATTACAGAAAATACGGTAACCTTTTTGAGTGAATAAAGTCAATAAATGAACTCACAAGCTCCTCCAATTCCCAGAAGAGATGATAGAAAATAGAGACTGAATGGAGATAATTTGAGAAAACCGAAAAGATAAATTGATTGGCAGAAAGCACCCAATGACATACACCACTGAAAATCAGATTTCAAATCCTTTTTAAACCTTTTTTTAAATTTCACTTTCGCTTTGAGTTTTTTGATAAAGAATGGCAAGATGAGGGTGATGAGAGCTGATGAGAAGTTGTTGATCGCGAGACTGCAAGATTCAGGTTTTGTTTTGAATTAAGCTTTTTGAAAAGCTTTAGACAATCTTTTAGAGAGAGAATTCTTCACCTGTAATACCCGGAATTCCCAGAGATCCCCGTTTCTCCCTCATCAGCGATCGTTCGAAGGACAGCGATCTGGAAAAGAATCGCATTTTTCACTTGGCACTAAAAAAAAGGCTGATTATTTCTTTTGAAAAATCACTAACATCTAAATGAAGATATCATGAAGGTATTTACCGTATTTCTTCGAATAGAAGACCGGGTAAAGAGTACGCAGTGCGCAGGAGTACGCAGTGCGCAGGAGTACGCAGTGCGCAGGAGTACGCAGTGCGCAGGAGTGCGCGATGATACTCTTTACCCGGTCTTCTATTCGAAGAAACAGCCCTCTTTAAAATTTCTTTTCTGCATAAAAGCTTTCAATCAAGTGCTATAGAGCTGGAAAATGGCTCAAAAAATACCACATGAGATAACAGATAACAGAGCTAACAGAACAGAAAAATCTGTTAGCTTATGTGGCATTTTTGAGTGATTTTCCAGCCCTATAGCACTTCATTGAAAGCTTTTATGCAGAAAAGAAATTTTAAAGAGGGCTGCTACGCAGGAGTACACGATGATACTCTTTTACCGGGTCTTCTATTCGAAGAAATACGGTAACTCTTAAAAAAAAGCAATCATTTAACCTCAATATATCCTTGTGAATTGATGGCTGATGAAACGAGAAATAGCCCAAATCCAAGCTGACCAATTCTCCATTTTTCGCTCATTTCATCACTATATAATTCAAATTTTCTACAAAAAATCTTTAAAATTCGATGTATTTCAAAGAGATTTCTCTTTTAAGAGAACGATTTTATATAGCTTTTTATTCAATTTATTCAATTAACCCATTAAGTGACATCATTTTTTTACCGAGCACCACAAAAATCACAGAACTGGAAGATGGAATGGAAAAGGAGAAAAGGAGAAATGCAAATAGTCCTGATTCAATGCCTATACATTTTATTATTAATTAAAAAGTATTTCAAGATTTTAATCATCAACAATTTCCCCTAGATCTGCTCTCTCTTGCAATCGCCAATACTCGAATTGATCGAAAGCAGCGAAAGCGAGAATTGAAGTGATTGAAATTATCAACAATTGCCAGTGAAGAGAAAGAAGAGAACCATAGAGAAAAGCCACTCCAGCTGACATTGCCTGCAATATTTAGAGAAAATGAATTATGTACTTTGGAGTGGAATTATGTACTCATTTCCTTTATATTTATCTTCTAGAATGTTCTGAAGAAGAGCAGGTAAAACCTGAGCTAAATGTCGGCCTTGTTCAAAATAAAAACTTGATCTTAACAACACCAACATCAAACACCTTATTTGATCATTTTCTTCAAAATTCTCTACCTGAAAGAATCTAAAGAGTGCAAAGGCTGGAGTGGCCTCTTTTCCTTTATATGTATCTCCAAGAATGTTCAGTGTTTGTGTCTGCCAACACGAATCAGCCACACCCAAACAGAAGGCAGTCAATAGAGACAATAGGAGGCTAAAGTTTGAAATGAAATTTCGAAATTTCTATCCAATATTCTATCATTTTTTTTTCTTACCTAGGTTCTATTATTCCGATTTCATTCGTTTTTCTCATCGTTGATTCAACAGGAAGATTTAAAAATGACAAAATGCAGACAACAATGATCATTATCGATCCGATTAAGGTTATCGTTTTTCGATCAAATTTTGAAGATGAATTTATGCGTTGCGATTGAGCAAGGAAACTCAAAAAGAAGCCACCTGAAAAGTTCGAGAAATTGGCTACAAATTAAGGCTTCAATTTCTAAAGGGAATCTTGTTTCATTTGATTACAGTTTACCGTATTCTCTCTAATAGCTGAGTCGAATATTTCACGTGATCAGTCGCCAGGGACAGACAACAAAATATTAAACTGTTATTGTTATAAATAAACCTTGTTATCATAAAAATTGAACAAAAATGCAACATTTTTCTGACACCAAAATGACACCAAAATTTGGGGGGTGGCGTATGTTTTTGCACCGGGTGAATTTCCGTTTTTTGGCTGTTACATTCTCCCTATTCATGCTATGTCGACGATTTTTGGGATTTAAGGGTTATTCTTGGTCCCGAATCTAACTACGTTTTCAGTTTTTTTTGTCACTGGCACGGGAGCCGCAGAAAATTGAAATTTAGGGGCTGGCATATGTTTTTGCACCGAGTGAATTTCCGTTTTTTGGCTGTTACATTCTCCCTATTCATGCTATGTCGACGATTTTTGGGGTTTAAGGGTTATTTTTGGTCCTGAATCTAACTACGTTTTCAGTTTTTTTGTCACTAGCACGGGAGCGGCAGAAAATTGAAATTTAAGGAGTGGCGTATGGTTTTGCACCGCACTGTATTAGAAAGAACGGTAATTCTAAATTTTAAGAATAAAATGCCTGATGGACAGCTTCTGATTCTAACTATGAACAATTATAAACATATTTCTATTTACTGAATATTTAGACCACCGAAAATCGCGTTAGTCTACGAAAATTTACAAATAATCTCAGCGACTCCCATTGCGAGCACATTGAACGCAATCACCGCCTCATTTGAGCCACTTAAACGAGTTGTTGCTGAAAACAGAAAAGAGTCGTTTTTTTTTTTATGTAAACTTATAAATGATTTTTCTTTAAAACCCACCCGAAATACATGCAGTATAAATGCCTCCCAAATAAGATCCCATAATCCCCAAAAAACCCGAGATAAACGTGAAAATTCCCATTTTTCTGCTCATCAACAATGTAAATGTAGAAACTGAATGGAAAATTTCTTAAAGAATTTCCTTTAACTCACCAAATTCCTCTTGTAAACTTGTTGGTAATTGTGCTGGTTCTTCTCCAAGCAACGGTTCAGCTAAAAAGAATTTCAATTAAAAGAAGAATTAAAGCAAAATCCACCTTCTTCCATCATTTTAATATCATTTGGCAATGTAAGTAAAACGAGAAAACCAAGAAAACAAAGAGCAAAGAAAACCCCGTAAATAAAACGATACGAAGAGACCAAATCACTGAAAAGTCGAGTATTTAAAGAAAGATTTATTGGGTTGATGAATTGAAAACTGCTGGCTATTGTCATATGTGACAGTTTGAGCACTTTCTTCAAAAGAAACCCATTTTAGTGTCAATGGAAAAGTTGTAGAGAATCAAATTGTGTGTTCTGTGTATTCTTTGTACGGCCACGTAGTCGCTCGTCGTCTGGCGCAGGGCGTTTACATAACCCCCTTCCCTCTCCCTTTGACAAACGAATCTGGCCGGCTTTGAATCCTCAAATCGGACCTTGACTTCTCCGCAAGTTAAGGCTAATTTCAATCTATTGGGTTTTGTTGAATTGAAAACTGCCGCCTATTGTCATATGTCCCAGTTCTCACACTTTCTTCAAAAGAAACCCATTTTGGTGTCAATGGACAAGTTGTAGAGAATCAAAAATCAAGCTTATATCCAAATTTTCAGAACGATTCAAAAACTGGTTTTCAAGAAATGCCAAATTGATGAATTTTCACAAAACTTGCATTTTAAGCGAAACTACTAAGTGTATCTTTTTGGACATTTGGCTATAAGCTTGATTTTTGATTCTCTACAACTTTTCTATTGACACCAAAATGGGTTTCTTTTGAAGAAAGTGCTCAAACTGAGACATCTCCAGTCCTCTATTTTTGAGTCTCACACTTGTCTCACACACAAACCAAAATCCTACTACGAAAGAGGAATCCGCAAATTGCCTTCAAAATGGGCAGAAGTCGTCAATAATAATGGAAATTATTTCGAATGAATTCATTGTTTTATTTTGAATAAATTTTAGTTCAAAGTCCGGCAGTTTTCAATTCACCAACCCAATAAATGGATGTGGTGAACAAAACCGCAGAAATGTACTTCACACGCTTAGTCACTCTAACAGAGACATTGCTCGTCACATTACTCGTTCTGAGAAGTGTATTCGAACGTGTCTCAAGATCAAAGTGACTCCTAAGAAGAAAGAAACACGGCGCCGGAGGAAAAAGTTGACTGATCGAGACGAACAAGCAATTACGACGTCTTTTACGAGCAATTACGACGGGCAGAAGTTGTCAATAATAATGGAAATTATTTGGAATGAATTGATGGTTTTATGTTGAATAAATTTTAGTTCAAAGTCCCGCAGTTTTCAATTCACCAACCCAATATAAAATCCTGTAATTGATCGATTCTTTAAAACACAAACCCCCTCAACAAAACGATGGCCAAGAATGCCGCACCAGCCACTAATGACGATTGAAACATTGTCCACATAATGACACTATTCCTTGTCATATGTTGACCACGAGAGAATTTCACCAAATATACACCATTTCCCGTCCACAACACTTAATAATTTATATAAAGCTTTTCATGCACTTTTACACCCGCTAACATGCCGCTCCGACTCCAAGAAGAGCTGACAGAGAGTAGAGAAGCCATGAATTAAGATGAAGAAAAGCGATGAGAAAGAAGGAATAACAGAGACAACCAATAACCATTGACCACTAAAGAATATTTAAAGAATATCTAATATTTATGCATTATCTTAAATTTTGAATTGATTTTAAAGCCTGAAATTTATCAGATGATCAAAATCGACTGAAAATCTTTCTAAAGTCCTTAATTTGCACCAAATATACCCCATTTCCCGTCCCAAAACACTCAATAATTCTAAAGCTTTTCATGCACTTTTATCCAAGAAGAGCTGCTTGGATTCGGTGCTTTGCCACCTTTGCTCCAAATTTTGCGATGATTGGTGGCGTTAGAAGGTTCGCGATTGTAAACGAGAAATAGATAATGCAAAAGCTGAAATGATTCGCTTAAAATGATCGCTAATAACTTTCTGCAATACCTATAATATCCCGAGTTTGGTGAAAGGCCGAAATCCCCAGTTTCGGATAAGTTTCGAAGGACAGCAATCTAAATGAGTAATAAAAGTGACTTTTCTTGTGTTATTTGTTTCCTTAACCTTTTTCTATATTTACCTCAATATATGCTTGACTGTTGAAAGCGGAAAAGATGAAGAAAAAAGCCAATCCTAGCCGGGTCACTGTCCAAACATCATCGTCCATCTAATCAAAAAGAATTTTCAATAAAAAACGAGATTTCAGAAATTTGATTCAAAGATTTCAATCATTTGTAATGTAATTTGACAAAAAAAATACTTAAATTTACTTAAATTTAACCCATATTAACACAAAAATAATACCAGCATTGAAAATCACTGAACAATGAATAAGGGGGTAGGCTAGTTTTCGCAACTCGTCATAACTTTTTTCTAAGTCGACCAATCTTTATGATTTTGGTTTCATTTTGTAGATCTCAATAAGTGCAATAAAATGAAACCAACATCATAAAGATTGGCCGACTTAGAAAAAAAGTTATGGCGAGTTGCGCAAACGGCCCAGTTCCGCAAATAACCCAGTTGCACAAATAGAATGGCGGAAATTAGCCTACCCCACGAAAAGCTTTCCATTAAGATTTCGGTAAATAGAAAAGATTTTGAATGAAATTTTGAGATAATCAACAATTGGGAAATATTATGTTCATAGAGAGATAAAAAAAATCACTAAAAAACAAGGCACACATTATAAATCGAAATCGAATTGAGAAATTCTTTAATCTTCGTTTCGCAAGAAATTCTCCTCTTTAGCTGCTGCATTGTGAACGGTGAAAAAGCAGACAGCTCCGGCTGCAGCCATTACAACCAAGAAAAGAAGTTGCCAATGAAGAAGAAGAACACTCCCATAGTAGAAAGCTGCACAAGAAGCTAGTGACTGAAAAAAGGATTTGTTCGGAATTGTAAAAATTTGGCTAGAGTTGCTAGAAGTACTTCAACTAACGTTTCAAGCATTTTCTATTGTTCTAAAACTATTTTCATTTAAATCATTCAATTCCTAATTCATTTTAAATACTATTAAGAGGCAAAAAAGTTATTTATTTAAAGATTTTGAGCTATAAATCAAAAGCTTTTCTTACATGAAAATTTAATCCACGGTACTAAACTAGAGATTAAGCTAGACGATTAAGCTAGAGAAGCTGAGATGAAGCTAGAGATTAAACTAGACTAGTTTCAGCTAAACCTTATGAAAGACAATAATCCATTTCCCAATCAATATTCAATTTCTAATTCATTCTTACAATCATAATATTCCAAAAGGAATCGAACTCAAGCAAAACAGGCACCGCTCCTTTTGTACGCGAGCCCTTTATCCACTAGACCATCAGGCCATATTTGAGACCCGTGAGAAATCCCTTATAAAGGCTATCCAGCTCTAAAATTTCGCATTTTCATCCTAAAACTTTAAATACATAACTTTTATAGAAAGTCATTTTGCAAAAACGGAAAACAGATTCGGAATCAGCGTGAAATTCTGCGTCCAATGGTTTATCGCTTATCTCATTTGACCCAAATCCTACTCTTGCTTTTCCCTTGTCAGATAATATTCCTCGTCACCTGGAAGAACTTGAAGAGCGCGAATGCGGCCGACGAATCGGTATCTTTATAAATCCCTCCCAACATCGTGTAAAGCTGAGTATGCCACGCCGAATCGGCTAACCCCAACATAAAGGCGGTGATCAATGCAGCGATGAAACTAAATCTTCGATGAATTTTCTTTCAATCAAGATTCATCAACCTTGGCTCAATGTATCCCACTTCACCGGGTCCCGTATTACCAAGAGGAGCCGTCATCGGTAAATTGAGGAAACAAAGGAAATAGGCGACGATGTGCAGAGACATTCCGAATAAAACCACGCCACTTCGACCGAATTTCGATGTGTCTTTGGCGCCAAGTCCGAACCAAAGTCCGCCTGTAAAGTGAATTGAAAAATTGGTTTTAAAATTCAATGTCGAACCACATCAGTATCGAAAAAACAGTTTACTAGCAAAATGAGTTCACTGAAAGGTTTAAATGCTTGTTTTTTTTTTAAAAACCTGTTTACTAATAAGTTTTTATCAAACAAAAATTCTATTGATTAATTATTTCTTTAAAATTCCGCTCACCAACAATCTGCCCGCCTCCCATCGCCAACACAGCATAAGCGATAATCGCCTTGTGAACGGAGCTCAACGATTTGAATGCTGAAATGCTTTAATTCATTATATTTTATAATAAGTTCAAGTTAGATTTAACGAGATAATCTAGCGTCATTTAGATTCATTATATTTAAAAAAATCATATAGATTTTTAGACGTTTTACCTGACAAACAAGCAGTAAAGACTCCCGTGTAAAAGCTCGTCTCAATCCCCGAGAATAAAAACACGACGATCAACGTCAACATGTTCTGCGTTTTAAGCAAAGCAAAAGTTCGAACTGAAGTTGGTATTCTTTGATCTTTACAAAATTTTACTAATCTTTATACTCACCAAACTCCTCGCCGAAACTCAAAACGACAGCCGGAGGGGATTGACGAGTTGCAGGGATTTCCACCTCTCTACGTTCCTCGTTCTCGATGAGATCCTCTCGATCTTCTTCTGTAATCATTCGTTTTCCTTTATACTTAATTTATAGGTGAATTATCTCTAATTAAAAGTCAACAAAATTTACCATAAATGATATCCGTCGGGCTTCCAGGCAATGTCACAAGAACAAGGATTCCGGCAGCACAAACGGCCGCAAAAACCGTGTAAACGAAATGAAATGATGAGACGAGATCACTAGAAAAACTTTGAATCAACTTTTACTCATAAGCTGAGTAAGGTCTCAATGTTGCTCATTGGCAGAGCGTTCACACGGTAAGCGAGAGGTCGTGGGTTCGAATCCCGGTGCCGACCATGTTTTGTATTCCCAGCCTCAACCCCGTAAAAGGACCAACTGCTGAATGGTTTCCTTTAGGCTCACCCAGTGTGGAGGACGAATGCGAGAAAAATGGCGCCAGCAACGAGTGATGTCTGCAACATTGTCCACATGATCGCACTATTTCTCGCCATTTTCCCTTCTCTCGAGAAACGAACCAAGTAAACACCATTGCCAGTCCAAATCACTAAACTTTTGATGTAGATTTAATTCAAAATTATTCCTTAAATACCTACCGTAAATCCTGTAATAGTACCCCATCCCCATAATGACGGTGCAGAGTGTTGCGTAGTCTAGCTTTGAACGAGTTTTTCTCGACACTGATTTGTGCTACAATGTGCGCTTAGGTATCAAAAAATAGCTGAAATTCAGGGCTATTTTTTGATACCAAAGACGCATTTTTTGAAAGTACGGGCGCTTTGAAAAAAATGAAATACTAAAAAGCTTTTGCGACTACGCGACTGTACGAGGGGGGGTGGGCTACTATTACAGTATTTACGGTAGTGCATTTAGTGTCTTTTATTAGCACTTTTTTTTTATAACTGTTCCTTATGCAAATGCAAATTAAATTCGTTTACAAGTTTTTGAATTTCTAAAAACTCACACGCGGCACCGAGTCCCAATAAAGCCGACAACGAGTAAAGTAGCCAGGCGGAAAGATGAAGAAAACCGAGAAGAAAAATCGTGTAACAACCGGCACCAAAAACCATCGACCACTTGAAAGTATTTTTGGGAAATAGACATAGAAATTGAAATTGACAATAAATTTTGTTTCTATTAATCCCTCCCAACACATCCGACCATCGATGTTTTTTTTGGAAACATGGTAATGATAAAATTGATTTTAACAAGAAGTCGTCTATTGTGCCCCAAGGTATATTCTTTTCTAAAGTGTGCACTCAAGTCACCGTAGTCCCGTATGCTTAGTCGATTTGGACACTAACACTCAAACTTCTGCAGTCTTTTCATTTCCCCACCTTTGGTCCAATTCTTGCGATAACTGGCGGAGCGATGAGATTGCACAGTGTGAAGACAAAATAGATGATCGACATGCTGAAATCGATCTTAGACATCAAAAGATTAACGTTGATTTCCGATCATTAGCCTCAATTTTTCTAGACTCAACCTGTAATATCCGGAATTCGCGGTGATTCCCGTGCTCTGATCGGCCAAACTTCGAAGCACAGCTATCTGGAAAGATTGATTTCACGTATGATTTGCATTTAAAGCATTGTCACACTTGAATCATCTCACTGCAACCCACCTCAATAAAGCCCTGACTGTTGAAAGCGGCGAAAACGAGAAGAAACCCGAAACCGAGTTGGAGTATTATCGATAGATCGCGACGCATTATCTGAAAAAGTAGGTTGGATTAAATAGACACTAATTAGATAAATCTATTGGAATTATCCACTTATTAAACAAAGCCTAATTGCCGGCCAAACATTTCTGCGATGAACGGGCTACAAACTATAAAAGGGTCAACCCCAAACTCAAAAATCCTACCTCGAGTATGATTACGAGTAGCCACATACAAAGATAAGAGTTCGTGGTATAAATTAACTTACAGGCATTATCACTCGCAATACAGAACACAGTCAATATTGTTGTTCTTTTCCCCGAGAATATACCAAATCGATTGACCGAATGAATGCGCTGCAGAGCTCTTTTCCCTTTTTCTCATTGCCTTTCTCCATGACTCCACAGAAAACACATCTCCACCGATACTACAACACCAACCCTCGCACATTTACTTTAGGACTTTATTTCGGGTTTTTTTGGAAACCATTTATCAAAACGTACAACTACGCAATAAAGACACAAAATGAGATACTTAAATTATACCTGTAAACAGTCCAGAATAAATAGAAATAAACACAACGAGATCAAAAAGACGAAGAAATCATAACAATTGAACGATCATATTAATGAAGACTAGAAAATGGCGGCAATTGTCAATTACTGAATTTTTGCTTGAGTCACGAGAATCTTTGAGATGATGTTCTGCGGGAACTTGTAAGCAGTGCTAGCTGCAAACATTACGATTGCTTGGCCCAATCTAAAGTAAAATTTTAAGATAGTCTACCCAAAATTTTCACCTTTGCATACGTTGTTGAACAGGAATTGTCGATTGAGGAAAACCGACCGCGAGACAATTCATCACCGCCAAACACACATCGGGAAGCACTGTCGTCACCTAAACATTGAGGTCTTTTGAGCAGTTTTACTTTCACAAACCTGTGGAGGAGTTAAATGTTCTTGTGAAGTAAAAGCGTGAACTTGCTCTGGATCAGTTGGAATTAGCCCAGTTTTCTTGATTATCTAAAAAAATTTCTGTAAAGTACAAAGTAAGAAACATACATGTAGAACGCTTTCATAGTCGGCTTGTTGACATCTAATCAGCAGCTGCAAGGTGTCCAGCAAAACGCATAGTGTTTGAATCCGTTCATGTGAAGCGGCCGGTGCATCTAAATCGAAAATGTATTCACGATGGCAACATTGTTTACCTGTTGCAAGCTTTTGTGCAGCACCAATCAACCTTTCACGCAGCTTTTCGTCATTTTGTGTGATTGCTTCAGCGAGCCGTTTGCACATCACAGTGATTGCTCGATCATCTTCACCACAAATGTGCAAAATCTCAATGGCTTGATCCGGGTTTCCCGATAGTTCCGTGTCCTCAGCTACGCGAGTGATGACCGCCGTGGTATCAATGTCGTAACTAAAAAACGTTTTCCTGTATATGGCAGTGTTTTTACTTGTCAATCAAGGCTGCAGTTCGTTTTGAGCTTTTAATTTCGCCAATCACTTTCCGAACTTCCCCGGTGAGGTAGAGCACTCGAGAGACAGCTGATTCGAAGATATCACGCCCTTGCGCAGTCTTTTGATCCTGAACTTCGCAGTTCGATGTGTAAAATTCACACTATTGCTACCTTGAGGATATAAAAGTAGTCGAGTGTCGTTTCAATGTCATCCATTTCAAAAGGCTTTGTGTACGCAACCAAAAGGCGAGCAAGTGAAATCGAAGCATCAACTGATTGATCTGTTGAGTTCACTAAAACAAAAACAATTTTGCTATAGAGAAGCCCACAAACAAAGCTTGATGTTATGCGCATCCATTATAGCATCGGTGAGTCGCAGCAAACTATTCTCGTGAGCCAAGATTGCCATGTGAACAGCATCAACCAAGCAATTCATCTAAAACATCAAAGTCATGATTATTGAAGCGAGATATACCTGAACAAGCAGATCAATTGCGCGTTCAAATTGTCCACTCAAACAAAGGGCTGAAAAGTAGAGTGGTGCCTCGTTCATTCCATCGGCCATAAAATGAGCTTCTCCTAAAAAGATTCGGACATAAAGCTAAAGCGCCAACAAACCATAATCCAATGAAATCGTCTTTTGAAGATCCGTGTACAAAGCTTCGGTCATCGATGGATCCAAGCGAAGCGGAATCAACTGAAATCTAATTGAGATGTCCTGCAAAAAATTGTACCTTAAACCATATCCAATTTTCCATTGTATCGGCGATCGGCGCTTCAACACCAAGTAAAGCGCAGTACATCGATCTAAATTTTTAATACCTTGGTGTTTAAGTGCCTTTTAACCCACCGTCGGAAGAGATCTCTGACTGAATTCTGCTCGTGTCTCCATTCGACCTTTAGCTTGTCTTTGAGTTCCTTCGTCAATCTAAAACCAATGCATCAAACGCAAAACAAATGATTCATACTTGGGATTGCTCTTCAAATGCACGAGAGCCTTGTAAAGAACATTGGTTCGTTGATTAGTCGCAACTTTCTGAAATCGACAAGCGATTGAGCGCATTAATGTATTAAACCATACATCTAAAGCGTCACTTGCAGCAGCCAGATCACCACTTCGGAAGCACGTGTAGATTACTTGCCACACAGGACAGTCGTCACCGAGACAACCATCTTCAACGTCAGAAGCAATATCACAACATCCCTAAATGATGCTAATATTTAATATGCATAGGTTATAAACTAACCTTGATATACGCAGCAGCCAAAGCTCGGGTTCCAGGAATCCCTCCTCGCCGGGCACGCTCCAAATTCTGGTCGACACATCTTTGCATGTGATCGACAAAACTAAATTGAACCACCAACTTCAGCATTAAATCGCCTTCCAACCTCTTGTGCAAATAGTTGGTGGCTCGCGTGACCAGCTCCATGATGATTGGTACGTCCCCCGAAGCACTCGTGCATCGCTTTCCAACCATTGCTGTAATTTGAGCCCACATATCGGCAACCACTGGATCACTGTTCGACTCGATCACTGCTTCATTCAGCAATTGAGAAAGGTCCTAAAAGAACTTTATCAAATACTCTTCAAAATCACAACCTTTCTTTTATCACTTCGCAAATAACTTCGGAAACGATCAGAAAATATGGCTGCCCGTCGATCACCAAGTCGAGGACCTGTCACAGAAGCAGGTAGTGGTCGCATAGGAGTAGAAGGTAGATTTGTTCCAAAACTCTGGACAGAATAGTTTATGAAGCTAAAGACAATCCAAATTACCGATTCAGGACGAACACTATGAAATGATGGATGGGGTCGGTTGAGAAGCACCTAAAACATTTGAAGATTTAAATATATAATTCACATACCTGATTAAAAAAAGCCCGCTCAGCTTCAAGACGCACTCGATCTGTTAAGACATTTATCGCCTCTTCGTCTAAACAAAATCATTGATAACAGAATCTTAACAGATTATTCTTACCATCGGGTACTACGACTTTCTCCACGGCAGCAGCCTGCGAGATGTTTGGAGCTCCGCCAAAGATGATCCCATGTTTCCCAAACAGATAGCTTTTCTAAAAAACAACCATTAATAGGTGCCCCTTGAATAATTACTTGTGCACGAGCTTCGCCAGGAAGTTTTTTCCTGACAAGACTTTCGCTGGCTCGGAAGATCTCGGTCAAATCAATGCCTAACTGTTTGTCAACAACGTGAGGATGAGTGGGAGCCGAGGGCTAAATGGAACAGTTATAGCCGGATGTCTGAGAATAGCCAAATTTGCTCTATTACGACAATCTATCTATTAAGATAACCATTGTTTCAAAAAATCTTTCATGATTAAATTTAACCCCAAAAAGAACCTCATGGTTTTGAGCAGCAGCATCCGCAATTCGCCCAGCTAACGTGTGCTGTGATGAGAGCTTTTCGGCCCGGTTTAGGATCTCGTCAAACATTGACTTCATATTAACTGAAATTATTTATTGAATAACAAGTCAATGAAAAACAAAAAACGATCAACGAAATCATGACAACATAAATACAAAATCTATTCGGCTGGGATTTCGATGTCGCCATTGTTGATCGAGTCGATGACGTCGTGTGGGTGTTGTCCATCAATGGTGCAGCCGACCGATTGAGCGGTTCCGAGGATCTCCTTCACCGTTCCCTCCAACTTCTTTGCCATTGAACGACTGCGCATGGTCCTCGCGATTTTGATGATGGTGTCGATGGTGAGATCGCCGTTGTGCTTGATGTTCTTGACCTTCTTTCTGTCGCGAGGTGGCTCCTTGAGCTCCTTGATGATGAGCGACGCAGCTGATGGCACCACATCGATCTTGGCATTTCTGTTTTGGATGGTGAGCTTGCAGGTGACCTTCAATCCCTTCCAGTCTTGCGTTGCCTTCGCGATGTCGTCTCCGACCTTCTTTGGCGACTAAACAAAAAATATTAACTTTGTTTACAAACAAATTAGAGTTTAAATTATGGTAGCCAAGAGTTTACTCGAGTGCTGAGAGTTACCTCAATACTTAAAGAATTGACGTCACATCCAGCCTACATCTAATATTCTCTAATCATCTTCAGTTTAATTCCTACCTACTGGTGATTTAGGATTCTAGGGTAGCTAAAAATAATCGTTAGCATTTCATGTATTAACAATGTAAAAGAAGTAAGCCCCCTAGCGAGCTAACCAACCAGTTATGCAACTTATGCTATGATAAACATCAAAGTTTAAAGACAAAAAACTCACCAATCCAAGGGGCCCAACTTTGGGTGCGAGAGCTGATGTGGCTCCCACTTCTCCGCCCACACAACGCAAGTAGACGATCTTGATCTCAGTCGGGTCGAACTTTGGTGGCATTCTTCCGTTTGATTTCGTCTACCAACCGTGATGGAGGATGACTAAAGTAAACAGGTTAGAAAGGCCACAAGTTGATGAAAACCAAACAAGACCAAAGAAAGTAAGTAAACTAAACTATTTGAAGATGTAAGCCACTAAACAATTCAAGCGCCGTAACTGAACGTTTTTAGGGAAAAATGACGAAAAATTTCAAATTTTGAAAACCTCGCACGACTATAGACTACATGGAAAGCAAGAGAATGGCCAGATAGTCGCGTTATAAAAGTCGGAAGAGAGTGAGCGGGAGACGGGGAAAAATGAAAATTTAGCCTGCGAACGTGGATTTATCTACATATTGCATGAAAATATTTAGTTAAGCAACTTAGTTTCATTAAAATAAGGAAAAATTAAGTAGTGCACTTTAGCATTTCAAAATGCATTAGAAAAGGTGGAGTTGTTGAATGACGAGTGGCTCGTTTCTTCTCCGACAGTTCTACCCAAAATAAAAACATGAGTTGGCAATAACTTCATTTTTGTTGGTCAGAAAAGAAGCTTAATGCAGCTCACAACTCCGACACTTGTCAAACAATAACCAAAAGGAATACCCGGTACTAATAAAGTTAGGGAGGGGGGGGGGCACTTTTTTTCTTTAAAGTCACTTTTTCTGGGGTAGTTTTATGCGTAGCTTTCGAAAAGCACAATGAGAACTTGGGAAAAGGTGTTTTAACCCGAGTTTCAGGGCTCCAAAGTGCGCGCTCATACAGTGTGATGAGAGGGATACACAAAAGGGAGAGGACTAAAAATGGTCTCTCAAAACATTTTTTTGAAGCCAAAAACACTTCTTCTGGCATAATTTAACCTACTGATTACGTTTCTAATCAAATTGGAGCAAAATAAAAAAAAAATTTTTCCAAATTTCGGCCATCCCGCACATGCGCTCTATAGGAGCCGAAGCTATCGACTATTGAAGCACTTTTCGAGGTCAAAACTAGAGGCCAAAACCATTTTTAGCCTAAGCCTAAGCCCATGAGCGCGCACTTTGAAGCCCCGAAACTCGGGTTAAAACACCTTTTCCCAAGTTCTCATTGTGTTTTTTTGGAATCTACGTATAAAACTACCCTAGAAAGAGTGGTTTTGAAAAGTGTCCCCCCCCAACTTTATTAGTACCGAATACCTGTAGACATTTTACAAGAGGGCTATTCTATCTGCTGCATACGGTTTCTGAGAAGTCGCATTCTGGTAAATTTCCGCCCAAGAAACAACCTTGGTTTGGTCTGGATAAACAAGAATAATTTTAAAACAGGCATGTAAAGTTTAACCCTATCTGATCACACGTCTCGGAAACAAAAATGTTTGCGTTAGCGTAGCTTTGACTCCTATTCTTCACCAAATTTTTAAAACAAACGATTTATCATGAAAACAGTATCCGGAAAAATTTTAAAAATTGAAACAATAACAAAGGTGAGTGCCTGAAAATTCTTAAAACCCTAGAGCATAAAAGTAGTTGCGTCGAATTGTAACGAAAAAGAATATTTGCCCGAGCACACCTAGGACTTTATTGTTTATCATTTAATGGTTGTTCTTCTTCATTGGATGTCCAAAGCTCGAGTTGTCAATTCCAAGCGGCTCAAAAGCAGTCATCAGTTCATCCAACGATGGTCTCTAAAATAAAAGTGTTTGCGCAGCAGAACAAAGTATGATGTACCTTGGGCACTTGATGAGCCCCGATTGATTGAGTATTCATCGACAATCGATCAAAACTTGAAATCTGAAACAAAGAAAGTTTGTTATTTATCTTTTTTTAGTTTTTACATGATCTTCATCGAACTTGTGTTGTGGCACCGGTGAGAATGGACTAAGAAGAGCTTCGGATGAGAGTGATGGAGAAGCTGGCGATCCGATATGCTAAATAAATTAAATCACCAACCAACTAGATAAAAATTCAACCTCCATATTGTTGAGATGGCGCATCTGAGCGCTCAAGTACGGATTTGAAGAAGCCTCCGACGAGAGTGACGGTGAATAAGGCGATCCAAGACCCTGAACACTGTAAGATTGATTAGAAGTACAATTAACCAGACCTGAGAATACTTGAACCTTGAAGCATGACTATCCGTAGGTTGGTTACTTGCAAAAACGTCAGAAGATAGCGAAGGCGAGAAGTTGTATCTACTACCCTAAAAGTCGAATAAAATCCAATAAACCACATTTTTCAATCCAACTAACCGTAGTGGTAGTTCCCAAGCTGCTCTTTGAACGGCCATTATTGATTGTTGATTGAATACTTGGTGATGGTGAGGAAAACAACTCTAAAACTTAAAAATTTTACATCAACATTAAAAAAAACCTGCAATTCTTGCAGGTACTGGCATTCCTGGAAGATGAAAGTTGGAGTGATTGGCCATCCCGACTAAACCTTGCATTCCATAGCCTTGCTGTATGGCATTCATCTGAAAGAATAGCTTTGTATAGCTTCCAATGATGCTACATACGATGTGTAGCTGCTGGCGTTGCAAATCGGGCACAGCATCCCCACTAGTGACAACCGCTGGTGATGACAACGAAGCTTGTGCCAAATCAGAGATCTAAAAGTCTTTGCTGAGGAAGATCACAAACAAAACCGTTGAAACAGCATATGGTGGTCTGGCAAGATCCCTTCTTGCGAGTAATCCAGGTCCATACTCAAATTGTCCTTTTGTAGGCAAGCTTTGCAGACGAGAGCGGCCGATTCCTTGTTGCGACTAAACCAGTATGCTTTAATTGCTCATTATTGATATTTACCTCATGTATGGTATCCATTTGTGTAAATGAGCGAGGTGATTGAATGTTCATGGCCCCTCCTCCGCTTCCAATGTTTTGATGCGGTATATCACTGTAGCTGTGTCGACGTTGTGATAACTAAACTTGAAAATTAAGCATACAAAATTGACAAGTTAACACCATAAGATTAGGCGGCACATGTTCGCGATAGATTCCACTTTGTTCGAATCCTTTGTTTTGATTGTTGAAAACATTGATCTGCTCCCCAGGATATCCTTGCTTGCTTTCTCTCATGTGTCGTTGTTGTTCCTAAACTCGAGCTACTCCTTACATCAAGAAACAACCCAACCTGCGCCATTAGACCTTGCTTGAGCAAGTTTGCATCTCCCCCTGCTTGTGAATCTTCTGGCCAGAAAGTGTAATCCTTTTCTTCTTTCATTTTCCCCAAAGTTGCTTTATTTGTTGGCCGATTTTGAGCGACATAAATAACACTTATTAAATATTCACATTAAAGTAATACCTTGAAATGATCTCTGTATCCGGCCAGCAAATTGATGGCAGTTCGATCAAAACATTCTTGATTGACAAGTGCAGCTTGGATCTAAAATTTGAAACGTAAACAATCCGAAAGTTCAAAATACTTTGCTAACTGCCACATCAGCAAGTCGTTCCTTTAGCTTTTCTTCCACTGCCTCGTTTCCTTGCATAACCGAGTAAACAGCTGCTAATTGCATCGCAAACTAAACCAGAATAATTAATGAACATAATAAATAAAAACAACCGCTTTTGCGTCTTTTGGATGATTGAACCCAAATCCAAAAGTCCGTTCTCCAGTGTTAAGTGAGATGAATTTTTGGCTGGCACATGCGAATTTCCAATTTGCGCTTAGAGAAGTCATTGGAAGAACCGGCTAAAACACAAACCGTTACAACATACATAAAAGCAACAAACCTGAGTTCCAGCATATGCGAGCATCTTGTACTGGTCTTCTTTTTGTTGGTTATCGTAGAAAATGAATATCGGAATCGCCTCTTGCGTGAGATCGATCCATTCCTTGTTTTCGAGTCGATAGACATGACCAATCCCTTTCACAATCGGCGAGTAACTAAATTTAAGCATTTAGAATGATGAAACTACCTACCAGAATTAACTTTGGTAAATCAACCAATCTACCATTCTACCAGGTAAATCAACCAAGCTTTAACATCACTGCTTTCAAAGCAAGCACAAATAAATCAAATCAACAAAGCAACAAAACTCACCGTGGCTGTGCTTCACCTTTCTGCTCGACTAACTCTTCCGTCTTCTTGTGGTCCTCGACAACATTGTTGTTGTTGGCCAAAGTTTGTAATTCCATTCTAAAGATGATAGATTATATCAAAGAATACAAAGATGAAGAGGGGGTGGGACAAATGCGACCTTTTTTTTTTGCTGGAAAAGGCCTTAGGCAAGGCCGTAGAGCTTCGAAAATATTTCTACATATGGGAATCGTATGCGTAGATTCTGAATTTCGACAAATCGGACCTCGCTGACACGTCAAATTTGGGCTAAAAGGCAAAAACTGCGGAAAAGCGTTCAGTTGCGTAGTTTTTGCCTTTTAGCCCAAATTTGACGTGTCAGCGAGGTCTGATTTGTCAAAATTCGGAATCTACGCATACGATTCCCTTCTATGACAACAGTTTTGAAGCTCTACGACCTTTCCTAAGGCCTTTTCCAGCAAAAAAAAAGGTGCGCAAATGTCCAGGTGCGCAAAAAAAGGTCGCATTTGTCCCACCCCCGATGAAGACACAAAATAAGCGGACTTTAAAAAAACTACGAGGAGTGAACGCGCACAAACGAAATGAGAAAATTCTCAAGAAAAATTCGTGGCAGCCCTTCTAAAGCCTTTCCCTTTAAGCCACGAATTTCCGAATTTCCTGTTTCCAAAATAAAATTTCCCAGTTCCGAGACTTGTGGAAACATACAAAAAATTGTCGATTTTTCCCTACCGTAATACCTGCAATAGTAGCGCCCCCCATACAGTCGCGTAGTCTAACTTCTTTTTAGAAAATCATTTTTTTCTCAGCCCCTAGATTTTTCCCAACTACACTTTTGGTGCCAAAAAATACTAAATTTCAAGGGCTATCATTTGACACCCAAGCGCACATTGTAGCATAAAGCAGTGCGGAGAACGGAGCGTGTAAAGTTAGACTACGCGGCAATACCCCGTCATTATGGAGGGCGGGTGGTGGCGCTACTATTACAGGTATTACGGTATGTATAACTCGGTCCATTTGTTTCCACAAGCTCTGATATGTCAAAATTTGAATTCTACGCCCTAAAATGACCCACAAAAACAGCTTTTGGAATAGGAATTGGTTAATATTAGCTTTTTTAAAACGCAAAAAAAGGTGCGCCCATGGGCCGGGTGCGCAAAAAAAAGGTCGTATTTGTCTCACTCCTGAGTTTTGTTGTTTTGTTGCGTTTTTGTTAAGTGTTCCGTCTATACACATCAAAATTCGATGTTTTATCACTGTTCGCAGCGTTTTAGAGAAAAAGTTGCTTATCGTTTCAATGATGATCTGGCTGTTGGTGCAACTGAATTGAAATTATTGCGTTTACCAGCGGAAAACGCTCACTAAAGTTGGCGTTTTCCACGCAATCTAAGCCCCGCCCCTTTTTTTCCAATGACTGGGCACAGACGGACAGGCGTCTCTTCTGCTTTATATATAGTAGATTTTGGCGATGTCGTTTCTTGGAAATTTCTTCGACTTTAGGGAACCATTGTCTGAATTTTCACTGGCCAGATTTCATATTTATGAAATTTCTGCCAAATCATTCAAACATTCAAAACTTGCTTATGAGAATTGATGAACCTATTGAGAGCTTGATATTTACTCGGATTTGTCTATAAAAATCCATATCAACGCTGAGATTAATCTGAAAATGAACACTGAAATCGATTTCATTGATGGGGAAAATTTGACTGCCCAATTTTTCAATCGAAATCTCGAAAATTGCAAGTCGTTATGTTTTTCAAGTGGCGCATTACATCTGAATTTCTCTCAAATTCCGTCAATTTCTTTCGACATTGTCGTTAATGCTACGGATTGTCAAATCGATGTTTTTAAAAAGATTGATTTAATTCTCGGCAATGGAATTCCAAACAAAAAGGTTTACTGTATTGTAAACACTTGCAGCTTTTCTACTTTTATAGAAAGGATGGTTCGGTATTCTGTTTAGCAATATTGAGAAAGTTGTTTGATATCATTCGAAAGTATTCAACAGCCTTTTTCACGCTTTCAAGTTTTACACGAAAACTTAAAGGAAAAGCGAGAGATTTTTGATTTTTATGAAATTCATTGAAATCGTCACTTGGTTTGTTAAAGATGAAATTCAAAAGTGAGCCATTTTTGTGCAAGTGAAGTTTTCGACAAAAGAGAACATAAATATTGATGTTTTCGGTTTTACATACGACCGAGTTGTTATCATTTTCCTTAAAGATTAATTTTTATGAGCTCTCAACGTTTCACTTGAAATTTTTAACCTATTTATCTGATTTTTATACCTTTTGAACTCAACTTTTGATACGAAATTTGAAATTTTACTGAATTTCTTTATTATTTATGCTTTATCACAGAATCTCTTCATTAATCACACATCTTCTCACAATTTCTTCATTTTTACTCTCGAATTCCTTCGTTGCCCATTGGTGAACAATATGATAAACAAAGTAACCAATGATTGCAAATAAAGAAGCAATTCCTAATTGCCATTGTAATGCAAAATGAGCACTATAAAGAAAAACGAGAACGCCAGCAAATGACTGAAATTGTTATTGTTGCTTTGTGATCATCTGACACCTTCTTTACCTGACACAATCGATAAATAGCTATAGCAGATGGTAATTGAGGCCCTTTATAAAGATCACCAATCATAATCAATGATTGAGTGTGCCAACAGGAACCAGCAAAACCAAGAAGGAAGCCAGTAAACAAGACGAGAATCAATCTGAATGGAGAATTAGTTCTTCAGGACTATAGTAAAGCAGTATACAGTGATTTGAATTTAAAAGACAGCCAGGTTAGCTTTACCTTGGTTCAATGATCGATTTATCCCATGTATTTGCAAGTGGTGATTCAAAAGGTAAAATGAGAAGGCATAATGTATAGGCAACAAGATGACAAATCAATCCAATACCGATTATTGATTTTCTTCCAAATTTCATCGTTTGCGTTGAAAACATTCCGAATAAAGAAGCGCCTGTAAAGAGCTTTATTTTAAAAGTCGCTTTTCTTAACTATTTGTATTTCATTTCTTTTATATCTCACCAATTATATGCCCAAAAGCTATACTGAAGATTGCATACGCGATCACAGATTCATTTGTTTCAGTGAGACGACGAGTGGCTGAATTCTTTCAAATACTTTAATTCTTTGTATTCTTTCTTATTTCGTAAGTTTTCTAAAGTATTAAACTTTTTTCCAAAAACTACCGTAACTGTTAACTATTGGGTTGTCCAGTTATGAATGCGCGTTTTTTACTATTTTGTAAATTTCTCATGATACCGAAATCAAGAAAAAGATATATATGAGTATTATTCGAAAGCTGAAGATCTCCTCTACATTTTGATATAAAAACGTTTTTGAATTTGTCCAGCTTTTGGGCAAATTGACTGCACAGAAGAAGAGGTGGCCAAAAAATGGAAAGGTGCTTTTGGATCCAGTTTTGGCTCCGCTCAAAGTGAGTTAACCGTTTGATGTTTGGCACAATAGATATATCAATACAACTTCTTTTTAAATATAACAATTTCAGAGCATCTTTACTTGTCTTTTCTTTTCTGGGCGGTTATTTTACACCATAAAACTTGAGGAATAGCTAAGCTGAAATGGGTTTTTTCGAAAACGACCTCTCCCTTTGTGCAGTCAATTTCCCTAAAAGTTGAATGAATTCAAAAACTTTTTTATTCCAAAATGTAGAGGAGATGTTCAGCTTTCGAATGATATATAACACTCATAAACATCTGTTCGATATCTTGAGAAATTTACAAAATAGTAAAAACGCGCATTCATAACTGGACGATCCAATATTAGAGATAAGAGTATGATAGTTTTCAAAAATTTGACACGTCTTAGAAAGTATAACCCAAAAAAAAGTACATTGATCACAGCATGACGAAAACTATTCTGAAGTCATCTTTAAATCAAATTAAAGAATTTGAAGGCAATTTAGCTCAATGCTAAATACGAATACGTTATGATAGCACAGTATCTTCAAACTTTTTTTTTGTGACACTTTTCTATTATACTTCCGTAAAATTTGCATGTTTAAAAAGCTTCAAAACAACTGTTTCAAGTGTGTAATTCGATTTTTGGTTGGATTTTTGGTTTATATGCTTTTGGATTCGATTTTTGGCTACCGTATTCTCTCTAATAGTAGTGCACTCTCTAATAGTATTGCGGTCCAGGAGGGGGTTGAAAAAATAGTATTGCGCACTACTATTAGAGAGAATACGGTATATGTTATTTTAAGAACGATTTTAATAATGCTAATTTTACGGGATATAATAGGATTATAACCTTTTTTTTTCTCTCTTCACCAACCCGATAAACATCCCGTGTAAACTCCATTCGCAAAAGCAGACTCTATTCCCAAATACAGAAACATCACCAAAAGAGTTCCCATTTTGCGGCTTTTCATCAATCTACCGATTTCAACTAAAGAAAAAAGATAACTTGACTTGATCTCAGAAACTTGATTACGTAAATCCTCGACCACGGTTTTTCTTCGCAATGAACTCTCTGTAACTCGTTGAAAAATGCAGAAATTCTGACAAATGTTCTTCTTTGTTTTGGTATCTAAATGAAGCTTATATCAAAAGTAAATACTTTCCAACTTTTTGGTCTCATCGAAAGTAAAAGAAAAGTGAACACGGCAAATAAAGCAAATCCGGTAAAAACACTGTACAAGAGTCGATATGAGCTTACGAGATCTCTGCAAAAATATCGCATTTTCTTTCTCACTAAACACTTACTCGTTTTGCAAGAGAAATGTCAAAAAGACAGCTCCAGGGATGAGCGATGCTTGAATCATCGCCCATAAAATGCCACTATTTCTTGTCAATTGGCCATCAGTGGAGAATTCAACGAGAAACACTCCACTCGCCGTCCAGAGTACTGTAAACTTTGGCATTGTAATATTTCATTCTGGCAAAGGTATAAAGCGTTTTATACTCAAATCAAAAGCTCTTGAATATCTGAAAAAGCTATTTTGACTCAAGATTTACAGCTAATCTTTATCAAAAAATCGAATCAAAATCGAAATCGCTCACACGCAGCTCCAATCCCGAGTAAAGCCGATAGAGTATACAAGAGAAAAGCGGAAAGATGTAGGAAACCCAGTAAAAAGAATACGTAAAAGATTGAGCCCAATGTCATTGACCACTGAAATTTCAAGTTTTTGTACAAAAATTCTTTTTTAATATCTAATCTCATCATCTTCCAAAAGTCTCAAACCTTTGCCCCAATTCTATCGATCACCGTGGGCACGGCGAACTCGGAGATTGTCATGAAGAGGTAAATAATGGCCATAATGAAAATTTTAATGTTTTTAAGCATTTTATTTTAACAATTTTTTTACCTATAATATCCGGAATTTGCCGAAACACCGGTGTCCCCATTCTCCTTCTCCGAGAAACTCCGCAAAACGGCTACCTAACGAAAATTTGATTGAGAGATCAGTTTGATTAGTTTTTTTTTAAAGAGAATAGCTGCCTCTCTTAGAAACTTGAGAGATCCTTTTCGACTTTCCAATTAAATTTCAATCGAATTTCTCAAACCTCAATAAATCCTTGTCCATTGAAAGCCGATAAAAGCACGAGGAAACCAAAGCCCAATTGAATGACACTGAAAAGATCACTTGGAAAAGGCATTCGTTTCTAAAATTCTCATCAAAATTTTCATTTTTTTGAACTAAAACAAAGTGAAGAACAAAGAGATTAGATAAGTTTTTCTGAAGAAAAAGAGAGCAGAGCTTTTCTCGGTGTGTGGTAAGTGGAAGTAAACAATGTTTTGAAATGTTTTTAAACAGTTACATTGTTTTTAAAAGCTATCGTAATCTTTTCGATTTTCTCTGATTCCTTTAAACTTTATCTCATTTGATAAGGAATTAGACAAAGAATTTAGTGTAATCAAAATTAAATAGAAAATGGGGAAATCTAAAAGTAAGATTACAATAGTCTTTCAAAACTTATTCACTTTTTAGAAAACGGATTGCTCAAAGGAAAACATTAGAAATCCATTGAAAATCCAATTATCATGATTTAAAATAGTTGAATTGACAATTTTTCATCATTTTATCACATGATCAAGTGATTTATTAAGTGAAATGACATAGGAAAAGGCTATTTTCTTTTACAACAATGTAATTCACATTTAAAAACTATGAAACGCGTTTAAAATTCGATCAAAATTACAAATCTTTGAACATTTTGAATGATTTGAATGATTTGAATGATTTGAATTATTTGAATGATTTGAGTGATTTGAATGATTTGAATGACCTGAATGATTTGAATGATTTGAATTATTTGAATGATTTAAATATGTGGTATTTGAGGTGAAATGAGCAACTGGAACCACTCATATATCAGTCAAAAAAACCCCGATCATTATTTCACGATTTAAACCCCCTCCTCCCGTTTTTAGAAAACGGATTGCTCAAAGGATTGCTAAAACATTAGAAATCCATTTAATCCAATTATCATGATTTAAAATTGTTGAATTGACAATTTTTCATCATTTTAACACATGAGTCAAGTGAAATGACATAGAAAAAGGCAATTTTCTTTTACAACAATGTAATTCACAGTTAAGAACTGTGAAACGCGTTTAAAATTCGATCAAAATTACAAATCTTTGAACATTTTGAATGATTTGAATGATTTGAATGATTTGAATTATTTGATTGATTAAAATATGTGATATTTGAGGTGAAATGAGCAACTGGAACCACCCATGAATCAATAAATATCAATCAAAAAAACCCCGATCATTATTTCACGATTTAACCCCCCTCCCCCCGTTTCCTGTTCCATTTTTTTGCAAAAAAAACAAGAAAAAAAAGGGGGTGGATGCATAGGTTTTTTCCTCGCCGGCCGTCAAGCCAACAAATGCACGAATTAAACTACGGTTGATTTCATTAGAAAAGCAATTATTTTCTGCAAAATAACATTAAAACGGGTTTACAAAATTTAATGCCTGGATTTTCTTGAGAGTATGAAGTCGGGTAGTCAAAAGGGCTACTGGATGGCGGGGTCTAGCAAAGAAACCTATCTCGTGTCAATAGAAAAGAGAAAGAAAAAAAGTTGAAAATTTCAAAAAAAGGCAAAAAAATTTTCGGAAAATTTTAGAAACGAAAAAGGCGCAATCAAGCGAAAGGAACGAAAACAAAAAAGGGGAAATGAACAAAAAAAAGAGAAAAAAAAAAAAGAGGAGAAAAAAAATTAAATCATCTTTTTTAAGTTTTCTGTGAAAAATCGAGAACTTTTCCCATTGTAATGACATGAAAATCTGTGTCTTTTTCTTTTAGATCTAAATTTTATCACATCATTTTCAAATCTGGGCATCACACAACAACTACATGACAAAAAAAAAACTATTTTTTATTTTCGAATTTGAGATTTTTGCGATAAAGGAATGATATTTGGCAATGATTTGAAGAAATTGACAAATTGACAATTAAAAACAAAGAAAAGGGCAAGATTTTTAAACAAAAGATTACAGAGAAACAAAAAAAAATCAATAAATAGTGTGAAAAATGAAAAATGAAGAATGAAAACGAAAAAAAAAAAGACTTATTCTTGATGATTTCTTTCATTTCTTTCTCGTCATCATCTCACAGAATTCTAAAAAGCAAAATTTTGTTAGTAATTTTGTTCTTTTCTGTAGTTAACAATGAAGAAAACGTTATTTTGAGCTTGAAAGTCAAACCAATCCACCGCCATGGCTTATTTGGTTAAGAATCCTGTTAGTAAAGAGGTCAATGGTTCAATCCTCGCTAGATTATTAGTTGTTTTTTTACATTTAGGGCTTATGAATTGTGCTTTTGTATTCGTGTTTATACCAAATGTTTCTTTTAAATTCATTGATTTAAAGCTTTTAAAGCCATTTAAAGCTTTTAAAGCCATTGATTTAAAGCTTTTAAAGCTTTTAAAGTTTTTAAAGCCATTGATTTAAAGCTTTTAAAGCCATTTAAAGCTTTTAAAGCTTTTAAAGCTTTTAAAGCCATTGATTTAAAGCTTTTAAAGCTTTTAAAGCCATTTAAAGCCTCTTTCACTTACTAGCTTAGTTGCCCAAAGTTTTTAAAGATCTAGAAATACTCGATCTTTGAAATGTACTCACCTTTGAAATTAATCTTTCCATCATTATTCTGATCGACATGTTTATAGATATTTTTGATGTCATGATCGGAAAGCACGTGTCCCATTCGTTGGAAAGCTGTCCTCAGTTCGGATCTGAAGAAAAAAACAACACTATAAAGCTATAGACATCGAGCTTTTAAGCAAGGTAAGACCAAAAGCCAGTTTCAAGCCTTTTCTGGACCAGCAAACACTTTAACAAGTCGAACCTAATTCAAACTTTGTTTTCTCAGTCGATTGCTTTGTAATTTTGTCTACAAGCTGAAAATGTTGATTTTTGCTGATTTTTATCGATTTCAGAGCAATCGGTCAAGAAAACGAAGGTGAAATTAGGTTCGGATTGGAATTTTTCCATGTCTATTCTATGATTAATTTGATTTTTGATGTCTACTTGATGTCAAAACTATTTGTAAAGTCATAGTCTTTAGAGTATAAGGCCAGGCCAGGCCAGGAAAGGCCAAAGTCAAGCCAAAACCCAGGTCCTAGTATCTTTGCTGGTCCACAAAAGGCTTGAAGCTGGCTTTTGGCTTGCTAGGCTTGCTTAAAAGCTCTAGAACTTGACTGGAAAATCCCGATTTTCTGTTATCATTGAAGAATTGAACATTGTACTGTTAACTAACAGTTAACAGTACAATGTTCAATAACAGTACAATTCATTGTACTGTTAACTGTTAACTTGTCTGCTAACTATCAATTTGTTAGCTCAATAATCCCTGTACAAACCTTGTGATAAATCCATCTCCATCCACATCCAATTCCTCGAAAACTGCCTTCAGCGACAGGGACAATGGATTGGCATGAGCTATCGATAGAAACTCTACAATGAATCTCTGATCTTTCATCCTCAAATCACTTTCCTTACCCTCAAATGAGATATTGCCATCTCCATCTTTATCCGCTGCACTAAACATCGCCTCTAACTCTTCTTCCGTTGGCGCTTGTCCCATTTTTTGCATCACCGCTCGGAGTTCTTCCTGGAATTCACAATTGGAATCTTTTCGTGATGTTGAGTGCTTCATTTACTCAAGTTGATCATTTCTTTCTCTTTGCCTCACCTTTTGGATGAAATCGTCTCCATTCAGATCGAATTCCCGAAAGATTCCCCTCAAATCATCATCCCGAATCTCGCCTCCATCATTCTAAACATCGATTTGCTTTTCTTTTTTCATTTTTTCATTTTTCCCCGTTTCCCCTGACATCTCCATTTAAAACGTAATTCTTTAGGATAATCCCTTCTTGTTTTCCCTTTCGCTTATCATTTCAACGCTTTGTCATCGACTTAAAGGAAAAAAAAGGAATTTTTGGTTTGGTTCAATTGAAATTTTGTAAAGAAAAAGTGGAAAATGATCACATATTTACGTCAATGATGAAGTACCTAAATGAGAAGTCAAAAAGAAACGGGGGATAGGAAAAGAAAACGAAAAATGACAAAATGACGAAATATCGTCAATTCCGCTATTTTGGATCATAATAATCGGATTTAAAAAAAAAAATTCAAGATTTCCCAGTGTTTTCCTGAGCAATGTGTTTGAGCAAAAGCAAAAGCAAATTGAGCAAAAGCAAAGCAATCAAGCAATCTGTATCAGTTCTAACAGTTTAATTTATGATAAAGAAATTTTTCTAAATTCTCTAGAATACTATAAAATCATTTCCCCATTTAAAAAGAAAAAGTTCAAATGTGAAATCGAAAAGTTGGGGCCTACTTAAGCCAAGTCCAGGTCTAGCTGATCGATCTAATAGTAAGGATTCTTTTGAATTTACTCCAAATCAGACTTAGATCTAGCCTAATTAGCCTAATTTTCTAATTTCTAGCCTAGCTATGCCTGTGTCTTTCGAACAATCTTATTGTTAAAGATTAAAGTTAAAGAAAGTTCAAGTTTTCAGTACCAAAAATCTTTGAACTAAATTCTTTTTTGACTTATCGGTAATGAAGCTATAAACTTGATCAACAATGAAATAAAGCTGTCTTCCAAATTCCAACTTTCCTCTCGAAATCACTCGTGCAAACTTTGCCTTTCTCACAAGCAGCTTATTATTTTCTAATTTTTTGTTTTCTTTGACACCTCGATTCTTCCATTCTTCCCATTCCCATATTTGTTTACACAAAATTCTTCATTCACCTCCATTTCCCCCATTTCTTTTCTTTTCTTTTCTTAACAATGCTCGAAACTGAGTCAAACAATGATCTATTCGTAGATGGAGAATGAATAAAGGAAAATAGTTTCCGTTGAATTGGTTCAAATTTCCCCAAAAAGTATTGCATTTTTGGAGAAAAACGAAACAATTCTTAACTCAAAACAGGTACAGCCAACAATAAACTATCAGAATTTGACTTTGATGCATTTAAATCATAAAATTCTTACAATTAATTGAATGCAGAACTAACTCAATGCAAAGTTGACCTAGAAAATTTCGTAACAATGCTCAAGTCAACTGCTCAAGTCAACTGCTCAAGTCAACTGCTCAAGTCAACTGCTCAAGTCAACTGCTCAAGTCAACTGCTCAAGTCAACTGCTCAAGTCAACTGCTCAAGTCAACTGCTCAACTCAACTGCTCAACTCAACTGCTCAACTCAACTGCTCAACTCAACTGCTCAACTCAACTGCTCAACTCAACTGCTCAACTCAACTGCTCAACTCAACTGCTCAACTCAACTGCTCAACTCAACTGCTCAACTCAACTGCTCAACTCAACTGCTCAACTCAACTGCTCAACTCAACTGCTCAACTCAACTGCTCAACTCAACTGCTCAACTCAACTGCTCAACTCAACTGCTTACAAGATCAACAATGACATGTAAATGTCAAGTTATTCAAAAATTTCCAAAAATGTTATAGAATTATGTAAGTATCTGTTCTCAGCTTTTGAAACCCTTTTCTATGCAACTTTCTAAAGTTTCTCAATAGTTTGCCACTTTTTTTTCTCTTTTACTCCATTTCTCTATGAGAATGTCCATGAAATAATCGGCTTATCTTGAAAAAGAACACATTTTTAGCGAGCTTTTTTTTTGATATTGGTGAGAGAATCAATCACTTTTATGGAGAGAATGACTGCTAAACAATTTGGGGGAATCGAGAGATGAATTGGTTGGGTTTGAGAAGGATTTCGAGGTTTTCCTTTTATGGAAAGTGTTAGTTAGATCAAGATTCGAGGGTTTAATTGCTGGGAAAGTCTATTGAAAAGTAAGATAATTAGATTCTAGATAACTAGATTCTAGATAACTAATCCAATGAAACAAGCCTTTTCATCATCTCTAAAGTTCTTTAGAATGTCTTTGTAAGATATAAATGTACCGAAAAGCCTCTACTGAACATTTAAAACACATTTGAAAGCTTATCTTTTGATCTTTTCAATTGTTTAATGATTTGAATTTGATAGACTTTCCTTTTTATCATTATTTTCTAAATCTTTTCTTCACTCACCTCATTCTTTTTCTTCTTACTGCAGCAGGAGCCCATTCTCGAAGTGAATGAATAAAACGATGATCGATTGATTGAGAGAAAGACTGGGAAATCACCCAAATACCTCAAAACAAGAAGAGAGAAATGAAAGTCGAGGTTGATTGAGAGATGGGAATGGAAAGGAGAAGGACTGGGTATGAGAAAAAGGAAGGAATTGGGAAGAGGAGTACGGATCGCTCGGGATAGCGATCGGGAAAGGATCGGGCGAAGGGGAAGAGTGATCGACCTGCCAGTCTCGCCCCGCCCCATCCAGACTCACCCCTCTTTTCCAATCTTTTTTTGTCTTCTTCTTCTTCTTCGTCTTTTTTCCTATCTTTTCCTGACTTTACCATTCTTTTCATTTCTTTTCATTTCTTTTCCCCTCCCTCTGAATCATCACAACAACCAACACCGATCGTTCTCACCCATGTCAACTTGAATTCTATTTGAAACCGACCAATAGCCGAATTTCTTTGTTTTTTTGGAACAGTTATGAGTTGGAATTTCAGAATTTCAATGAATTTTAAGTGAAAGATTATCTAATTGTAGGTCTTCAACACCTATAAAGAACAGAACAATTACAACAATTGATGTTATGAGTTCAAATTGATGATCATCTAAATCATCACAACAACCAACACCGATCGTTCCCACCCATGTCAACTCGAATTCTATTTGAAACCGACCAATAGCTGAATTTCATTGTTTTTTTGGAACTGTTATGAGTTAGAATTTCAGGATTTCAGATTTCAATGAATTTTAAGTGAAAGATTGTTTAATTGTAGGTCTTCAACACCTATAAAGAACAGAACAATTACAACAATTGATGTTTTGAATTCAAATTCATGATTGAAAAGAGAAAAAAAGTGGCAAACTATTGAGAAATTCAAATTGATGATTCGAGTTTGTAAAGAAAGATAATTGTACTCTCAAAAATCGAAAATGATATATTGAGATGAGTAAAGAACTTTATAGCGAGAGGAACAACTTTATAGTTAACTTTACACTCAGTACACATTATGTGAATGTTCGTTATTTGTTTCTTACAGCTCAAATCTCCAACTCCAGAAAGCCTCGACTCTCTGCCCCATTTCTCTAATCGATACAAGAAAAAGTTGACAACATTCTGTCAAGAAGTGCTCAATTTTTTTTAAACGAACCTCTTATGTAAATATTGAATTGAATTGAATATTGAAATAAGTAAATTTATAAAGAATTGTGTTTTCTGTGCTTTCTGTGATTTCTGTTGATTATATTAAAGTAAAGAAAAGTTATATTAAAAGGGAAAACGATGAGCAGAATTGTGTTTTCTGTGTTTTCTGTGCTTTCTGTGTTTTCTGTGCTTTCTGTTGATTATATTAAAGTAAAGAAAAGTTATATTAAAAGGGGAAAAAGAATGAGCAGAATGTCGAAGATAAGCAGAATTGTGTTTTCTGTATTTTCTGTGCTTTCTGTGCTTTCTGTTGATTATATTAAAGTAAAGTAAAGTTATATTAAAAGGGGGAAAAGAATGAACAGAATGTCAAAGATGAGCAGAATTGTGTTTTCTTTGTTTTCTGTATTTTCTGTGCTTTCTGTTGATAAAGTAAAGAAAAGTTATATTAAAATGCAAAAAGATGAGCAGAATGTCGGATAAATTGATGTTAACATTGTGCCCATTGTAATTGCAATGATCGAAAATACACTTCGCCGGTCGAATCGACATTCACTGTTGATGCCAAAATTCGTCGTCTTTTCGCCTGTGTTCGATATTCGATTGTGATAATGGTAATCGGGAGTATGATCGTGAAAAATGGGATTACCTAAAGAGCATTCGAAAGTTTTAATGTTTCCATTAAGTTTGTTAAGCCTGTTAAGCATTTTCAACTCACATATCCAAGCATTGACAACGTTCGATACAATTTTAGACTCAAATTCTCTTTTTGCGATCGCAATAATAACAAAAATCCCATATCAAAACCGAAAACGATAAAATGCGAAAGAGCAATTGGAAAAACCATTCCCAACACATAAAGGTTCTCTTGAATTTGATATTTAACCCTTGTTACATAAGCTGATCTAAAAAAAATGATAGTTTTAATAAAATTTTGAATGAAACTTTTTGCATAATTGCTTATTTCTTGACCAGATCATGATGTAAGCAGTCAGATTGAAAGTGTCGATGAAAAGAAGAGAACTTAAAGTTCACATTATCAATTTCAAATGAACACCATCGCAGAATCTTTTGATTCTTTTGTAATGATCTTTGAATGATCTTTCTTTGTAATGATATCTGAATTCTGAATCAAGCTCAATTTCATTTCTCTAGGTTTACGCGAAAATCTTTGCGTGGTGTAGTGAATAGTGAATTAAACCAAAGCAGTATTGACATTTCAGCAAACATTCATAGACCAATCCTTCTAGCTCTATTGTTCTACAGCAATCGATCCAGTTATATCGATATTTACCGTAAATACTGCAATAGTACCCCACCGCCCTTGTACAGTCGCGTAGTCGCAAAAGTTTTTTAGTATTTCATTTTTTGCAAAGCGCCCGTACTTTCAACAAATGCGTCTTTGGTATCAAAAAATAGCCCTGAATTTCAGCTATTTTTTGATACCTAAACGCGCATTGTAGCATAAACCAGTGTCGAGAAAAACTCGTTCAAAGCTAGACTACGCAACACTCTGCACCGTCATTATGGGGGGGGGTCCAATTACAGTATTTACGGTATGTTATAGTAGATAAAGGTTAAGCTAAACTAAGAAAAGCTTAATACCTTTAATAGTAGCCCCCCCCCCCCCGATAATGCCGGTCGGAGCATTGCGTAGTCTAACTTTAAATGCATTTTTCTCGCCACCCGTTTATGCTACAGTGTTCGTTTAAGTATTAAATGAAAGCTGAAATTCAGAGCTATTCTTTGTTACCTAAGCGCCCATTGTAGCATAAACCAGTCTCGAGAAAAACTCGTCCAAAGCTAGACTACGCAACACTCTGCACCGTCATTATGGGGGTGGGGTACTATTACAGTATTTACGGTAGGTTCAAATCCGCCCACTTTTTGTCAGTCACGCTCAAAGCCAGATCAAGCTAGAAAGATAAGAAATGATTTGTCTAAAAACTGTCTAACCTACAACCTCCTTTAGCTGTATTGAAATGAAATGCAAGTAAAGTAACACAGTTGACGAGTTGATAAAGTAAATCCAACTATTGGGTTGTCCAGTTATGAATGCGCGTTTTTACTATTTTGTAAATTTCTCCAGATATCGAACAGATGTATATGAGTGTTATATATCATTCGAAAGCTAAAGATCTCCTCTACATTTTGGAATAAAAAAGTTTTTGAATTCATGCAACTTTTTGGGAAATTGACTGCACAAAGAGCACAAAGGGTCGTTTCCGAAAAAAACTCATTTCAGCTTAGCTATTCCTCAAGTTTTATTGAGAAAACTTAAAAACTCATTTCAGCTTAGCTATTCCCAGGAAAGAAAAGTAAAGATGCTCTGAAATTGTTATATTTTAAAAAAAGCTGTATTGATATATCTATTGTGCCAAACATCAAACGGTTAACTCAATTTGAGCGGAGCCAAAAGGGATGATCCAAAGGCACCCTTCCATTTTTTTTTTTGGCCACCTCTTCTTCTGTGCCATCAATTTGCCCAAAAGGTGAACAAATTCAAAAACGTTTTTATATGAAAATGTAGAGGAGAGCTTCAGCTTTCGAATAATACTCATATATATCTTTTTCTTGATTTCGGTATCATGAGAAATTTAAAAAATAATAAAAAAACGCGCATTCATAACTGGACAACCCAATATATAAAACAGTAAATTACGATTTGAAAAGAAAAGCAATAAAAAACTCACGTGTACAAAAAATTGGCTTTAGCAAAAGTGGCATCTGAGAAACTACCACAAGCAATTTGAAGTTCAGCCGGATTATCCGTTGAAAATAACCATAAACAAGCGGTTATTGTAGTGAATAACTGAATGAAATTGCATATTTTTAGATAACGATTAAAAATTACCACAGCTAATGTCAAAAGAATTCCCAAGTGTTTCCCTTGATGCTCGTATTCGTGTAAGGAGACTGAAAACTGAGTTTCAGAGATTTCTTTACTGTATAACTCTGTCATCAGATCTCAAGTTTGCTCACTTGATGCCACGGTTCTCTCAATTGCAATCGCCGTTTGTGCGAGAACCATTCCAGTGATTGAAAAAACGATCGGTACACGAATAAATAAACAAAAAGCACAAGTACGGAAGAGATCACAACCCTCGAGGTGCCCCATCCAACGAGTCGATGTTTCAATCTAGAATTTCTCTTTAATTATTTAAATTTCAGTTGACAATTTAGCTTTTAAAAGAGTTCTTTTAAAGAGTTAAAGGCTTTAAAGAGTTTTAAAGAGTTCTTAAAGAGTTTTAAAGAGTTCTTAAAGAGTTTTAAAGAGTTCTTAAAGAGTTTTAAAGAGTTCTTAAAGAGTTTTAAAGAGTTCTTAAAGAGTTTTAAAGAGTTTTTAAAGAGTTTTTAAAGAGTTTTAAAGAGTTCTTAAAGAGTTCTTAAAGAAAACCTCTGTCTACACCATAAATATATTTGATTTTCTTTAAAATTTCCAAGCAAAACAAAAGGATCTTCGTTTTTTAGCTTAGCTCTTAAGTTAAGAATTGAATTGAATTGAATTGACTCTCATAAAATTGATTGAAGATATTCAAGACTATGAATTCTTCTAGGTTTAGGAATATTACAGGCTTTTGAGTGTGGTATTTTTGAATGATTCAACTTTAAAGCTAAAAGCTAGTTTAGTTCAACTCAAATCTCACGTATTTCAGCTTTGTTAACAATTTAAACAACATTTTTATCGAAAAATTGATAAATCTTAATCTCTTTAACCCATTCGAAACCGCAGCGTTTTTTCTTTTTTTTCGTCTACGGACCAAGCCCTTTTTTGACATTTTTGACTCCGAAGCAGTTTATTTATGGTTGGAAAAATGTAAGAGAGTCTCCTACACCATTTATTTTTTATGAAGAACGATTTGGATTTGATTTCAGTACTTTTCAAGATCCTAACGATTATTGTTCTTATTTTATCGACGACAATATTTTAGTAGGCGAATCTAATAAACATGGAAAAGGGAAAACAAACTGGCAGGATTTCGATGCTAAATCTTTCAAGCTCTTCCTGGCTTCAAATAGGAATCGTCAAATTACCGAGGATTCGTGACTACTGGAGTAGCAGGCCTGGATTAGGAGGATTTTCCCCACATGTTCCACATTATGTCAAGAGCAAAATCTATTCTTCGCAACCTGCGTTTTTGTGATAATGAACTGGATCCTGCAGGAGATCGGCTTTATAAGATTAGAGCTATTATGGAACATTTAAATGCAAAACCAGAGACTGCATTGATTCCGGGTAAATATGAAACATCTTTTTTGCCCATGTAATTTGTAGATCTGCTACAATTGGAATATACATGTAATGCTGAAAAACAGCAAAAAAAAGCAATTAATTGAATGAAAATAGCTCAATTAGCACTGCAGCGAATAATCGCTGCAGCGGTCCGTTCCTGAGTTTTTGCTGCAGCGATTATTCGCTGCAGAAGTTTCGAATGGGTTAAGGTTAATTCAGAGATTTTTATTTAGAAATCTAATTTCCTTGTTTACTCACCGTATTCGCAACAAATAGAAAAGAATGTAGTGATGAAAGAATCAACAAAAAACCGACAATTATCTAAAAAGACAATTACTGTATTTTCTCTAATAGTAGTGCACTACGCCGAGCCGAGTTGATGACTATTTTACAGTTTCCAAGCTTTTACAGAAGCTCAACACTCAAATCCCCCACAAGATCTCATCGTCAGCTACATTTTCCGACCTCACATCAATAGGTTCTGATAAGCGCTTGTCGAGATTTCAAGGAATTTAGGCGACGCTCAGGGTGCACTACTATTAGAGAAAATACGGGATTCAATTCTTTTTCTTCTAAATGAACTTACTTTCAAATTATGATGAAAGAAAATTCTTTTCCATAAAGATTTAAATATATAAAAAGTGATTAAAATTGAGAGAATCGAGTCAAGAGAATGGAAAATATTGAAGAAATAAAAGGCTCCGCTGTAGAATAAACCCTCGACTTCCATGCAGACATTTCCTCGTATTGATGTCTCATTTTGCATTCTACAAAATTCTGAAACATTTAATTAAGTAAAGCTAAAAGTTGGAGTTTAGACTTAAACTCAAGATTTAAACACAAATTTTTCAAATTTTTCAAAAAATTCAACTTTTAACTGATTCCTAGTTGAGTTTAGCATAAAATTTTCAACAATTTGATCTCTTTTCCTTGAGAAAACTCGTGTTTCCATCATTTTTTCTTGGTTTTTCAAGTCAAAAATTCATGATTAAACATGATTAAACAAATTTTTTCGCTTTAAAATAGTATTTATAAAGAAAAAACAGCTCAAAAACAGCAAAATCATTAAATTTTTCCGGAAAAATAAATAGATTTCAAGAAATATCCTTAAAAAACAAATTCTTGAATGAAAAAGAAGAATGAAATGAAGAATGAAGAATGAAGAATGAAATGAATTCAATGAAAAACAAGAATTTCTAGAGCTTCAACTAAATTTTTGGTCCGATTCTTTGGTTTTTTTGTTGCTTTTCTTTAAATTTCTTTGAAAATGATGGAATCTAGCTTTTTTTCGGTTTTTGGCTAAAGGATAAAATTAACTTCCTTTTCCAGAAGAAGAATTCCCTTCCCTTCCTCTTCCTCTTTCTCCTCCCTTCCCTTCCCTTCCTTCCCCTTCCTCTTCCCTTCCTCTTCCTCTTTCTCCTCCCTTCCCTTCCCTTCCTTCCCCTTCCTCTTCCCTTCCCTTCCTCTTCCTCTTTCTCCTCCCTTCCCTTCCTCTTCCTCTTTCTCCTCCCTTCCCTTCCCTTCCTTCCCCTTCCTCTTCCCTTCCTTTTCTCTTCCTCTTTCTCCTCCCTTCCTCTTCCCTTCCTTTTCTCTTCCTCTTTCTCCTCCCTTCCCTTCCCTTCCTTCCCCTTCCTCTTCCCTTCCCTTCCTCTTCCTCTTTCTCCTCCCTTCCCTTCCCTTCCTTCCCCTTCCTCTTCCCTTCCCTTCCTCTTCCTCTTTCTCCTCCCTTCCCTTCCCTTCCTTCCCCTTCCTCTTCCCTTCCCTTCCTCTTCCTCTTTCTCCTCCCTTCCCTTCCCTTCCTTCCCCTTCCTCTTCCCTTCCTTCCCTTCCTCTTCCTCTTTCTCCTCCCTTCCCTTCCCTTCCTTCCCCTTCCTCTTCCCTTCCCTTCCTCTTCCTCTTTCTCCTCCCTTCCCTTCCCTTCCTTCCCCTTCCTCTTCCCTTCCCTTCCTCTTCCTCTTTCTCCTCCCTTCCCTTCCTCTTCCTCTTTCTCCTCCCTTCCCTTCCCTTCCTTCCCCTTCCTCTTCCCTTCCTTTTCTCTTCCTCTTTCTCCTCCCTTCCTCTTCCCTTCCTTTTCTCTTCCTCTTTCTCCTCCCTTCCCTTCCCTTCCTTCCCCTTCCTCTTCCCTTCCTTTTCTCTTCCTCTTTCTCCTCCCTTCCTCTTCCCTTCCTTTTCTCTTCCTCTTTCTCCTCCCTTCCCTTCCCTTCCTTCCCCTTCCTCTTCCCTTCCCTTCCTCTTCCTCTTTCTCCTCCCTTCCCTTCCCTTCCTTCCCCTTCCTCTTCCCTTCCCTTCCTCTTCCTCTTTCTCCTCCCTTCCCTTCCCTTCCTTCCCCTTCCTCTTCCCTTCCCTTCCCTTCCTCTTCCTCTTTCTCCTCCCTTCCCTTCCCTTCCTTCCCCTTCCTCTTCCCTTCCCTTCCTCTTCCTCTTTCTCCTCCTTCCCTTCCCTTCCTTCCCCTTCCTCTTCCCTTCCCTTCCTCTTCCTCTTTCTCCTCCTTCCCTTCCCTTCCTTCCCCTTCCTCTTCCCTTCCCTTCCTCTTCCTCTTTCTCCTCCCTTCCCTTCCCTTCCTTCCCCTTCCTCTTCCCTTCCCCTTCCCTTCCTCTTCCTCTTTCTCCTCCCTTCCCTTCCCTTCCTTCCCCTTCCTCTTCCCTTCCCTTCCTCTTCCTCTTTCTCCTCCCTTCCCTTCCCTTCCTTCCCCTTCCTCTTCCCTTCCTTTTCTCTCCCTTTTCTCTTTTTTTTCCCTATTCAAACCTCCAAAGTTTCAATTTAAATTCAGAAAAAGAACTTGATGCCTTTAATTGAAAGAAAATAGTTTTAAGAACAAAAAAAAGTTCAATCGAAAGTTATGTATGAATGGAAAGCTTGTAGCATTTTGTAACTGTACGGGGGTGGGACAAATGCGATCTTTTTTTTTGCGCACCTGGACATTTGCGCACCTTTTTTTTGCTGGAAAAGGCCTTAGGCAAGGCCGTAGAGCTTCGAAAATATTTCCATATAAGGGAATCGTATGCGTAGATTCCGAATTTCGACAAATCAGACCTCGCTGACACATCAAATTTGGGCTAAAAGGCAAAAACTGCGGAAAGGCGTTAAGTTGCATAGTTTTTGCCTTTTAGCCTAAATTTGACGTGTCAGCGAGGTCTGATTTGTCGAAATTCGGAATCTACGCATACGATTCCCTTCTATGAAAACATATTTGAAGCTCTACGGACTTGCCTAAGGCCTTTTCCAGCAAAAAAAAGGTGCGCAAATGTCCAGGTGCGCAAAAAAAGGTCGCATTTGTCCCACCCCCTCACTGTACACAGGATAAAGTACCCTAAATAGAAAACTTTTGTCGATTTTTGATAAACATCAATAAATATAAAAGATATAAAAAGTAAATCTGGTTGAATTTTATCACTCTAAAACGAAAATTTCATCGATTTTCAGTAACGATTCGCAATTCTTGTCAGATTTCGATTTTAAAATGACTAGAATGAAAAAAAAGTGAAAATTTAGTTGTTAAACTCGGTCTTTAAACAAATTTTATTCATTTTACAATATCGAAACTCATTTTCTAGACAAAACGCTTGTTTTTAAAGAATTTCAAAAAGTTCTCACGAAGCTACGAAATTTTTTTTAAAAAAGGAACACGTCAAGGAAAGTTTTTAAAGCAAAATGACGGATCTAATAAAATTCTCCGCGTAAAATTTAGAAACTAATGAAAAAATAAATCAAAAATAATGAAATTTCGATAAAAAAGATAAAAGTTTTGAAAGAATCAAGTTCTGAAGGAAATCTCAAAGGAAATTAATCAAAATTTCAAAAAAAGATATCTACTCCCTCATTCTCATTAGTATTTTGAAGAAAAATTAGCTCTTTATTTTGCAATTAGATGCTTTCAGTGATCTTCAGAATCACAAATTTACAGAAAATTTCTTTTGTGTAGTTTTTTAAAAAAGATTCGTTTTAAAATCACAAAAGAACTTCGGTTTTGTAAAAAATTTCAAAAATGAAAAGAAAATTGAAGAATATCCTCTTTTGCTCCCCCTTTTGCTAGCCCGTTCTCTAAGATTTGTCAACAAACTACCGTAATCTTGTCTCTAGTTTGTCCTGATTCTATCAGGTGCTATAGAAAATATAAAAAGATATCAAAAAGTAAATAGATCAATTAAAACTAGAAGCGAATTTACGTTTAGAGTATTGTGTTTTCTAAAATGGAACTATAAAGGAACTACAAAGGAACTATAAAGGAACTATAAAGGAACTTTAAAGGAACTACCGTATTTACTCTATTAGTGGGGTCCTCTCTAATAGTGGGGTCCTCTCTAATAGTGGGGTCCTCTCTAATAGTGGGGTCGTCTGGAGGGGGGTTGAAAAAATAGTGGGGTCCTCTCTAATATTGGTAACGAAAGTGATACATCAATTGTTGATCTCTTGGATTAGTTCTTTTACTGTTTGTTAATGTTTTGTTACGGTTAAAGCTAAATAAAATATGAAGCCAAACTTGTTTTTTCAAGAATTTCGGAGAAAAATTGATATCTTTTCAACTTAAAACTTTGGTTTTATGTTCTTTTAAATTTCTCTAATAGTGGGGTCCTCTCTAATAGTGGGGTCGTCTGGAAGGGGATTGAAAAAATAGTGGGGGACCCCACTAATAGAATAAATACGGTAAATACCAACTATAAAGGAACTGAATAGGATCATAAAGGAACTCTAAAGGAACTACAAAGGAACTATAAAGGAACTTTAAAGGAACTAAATACCAACTATAAAGGAACTGAATAGGAACTATAAAGGAACTACAAAGGAACTATAAAGGAACTATAAAGGAACTTTAAAGGAACTAAATACCAACTATAAAGGAACTCAATAGGATCATAAAGGAACTCTAAAGGAACTATAAAGGAGCTATAAAGGAACTAAATAGGACCTAGAAAGGAACTCTAAAGGAACTCTAAAGGAGCTATAATGAATCAATTAGTTTTTAAAAAATGACGGATATGCCCCTAGTTTTTAAAAAGATTGCTTTTAAGATCACAAAAGAACTTGGGTTTTGAAAAAAAATCCAAAAATGAAAAGAAAATTGTAGAATACTCCCTCTTTTGCTAGCTCGTTTTCTAAGATTTGTCAAGAAACTACCGTAATCTTGTCTCTAGTTTGTCCTGCTTTTATCAGGTGATATAGCAAAATAAAAAAAGATATCAAAAAGTAAATCGATCAGTTAAAACTAGAAACGAGTTTACGTTTAGAGTATTGTGTTTTCTAAAATGAACCAATTAGTTTTTAAAAAATGCCCAGACATGCCTATTTCTCAACTTCTTTCAGAGATCTTAATTCGTCAACTTTTTCAATAAAGTCTGGCAATAAGAAGCACGTGTGGCTGACTGGTTAAGTGTCTTTTATCTTAATCGGAAGGTCGAGGGTTCGAACCCCACATGCGACATGGTCACCCCCTTCGGATTTCCTTTCCCTTCGGGTTGAGAGGTTTTCTGGAGGGCAGTCTGGTGGTTGTGGCCCCAGTTCTTTAAAGTGACAAGCCACTCCTTCATCGTCATCTTCCCTTCACCACCAAAAAAGCTATTTAGTTCCCCATTGAGCTTAGGGTTAGAGAGCCGTCTGTCATGACGTGGGTTAAGTTAAGATATAGCCTAGTATTGTGTGTGTCGTTGTATTGTGATTGATATATTTCGTGTATGCGATAAATTCACCACTGGTAGCCCCAGTCGGTATTTTTTTAATAAACAATAATTCAATAAAGTCTGGCGAATAGAAGCGAATCAGATAATCATAACCGCAAATAACATATTGCTACAATACTTTCACAAAAAAGAAAGAGAAATAGTTTAGTTTTATCTTTCAATTTACACCAAATTATGAATAAAAAAAAAATTCTACAAATATGATTCCTTTTATCTATAATTACTCATTGCTTTTAAGTTCCAAAGATCATTGGGGAGGTTCCGGAAACGATTAGGATCCTGCTTGATTTCCGGCTTGATCCACAGCCTGACCAGCAGAAAGGAATCGTTTATGGAGCTTTAGAACGTCCAGACTATGCTATATATATATGCTTTATTCAAGGGGTGAATAGAAGCGAATCAAATAATCATAAACGCAATCAACTTATCAATCGGTATACTTTTTAAAAATTGGTATGACTCGAATCGAATCGAATATAACATATTGCTACAATACTTTCATCTTTTTAATATCCTTTCTCTCAACGAGCAAATCAAACGGATAATAAAAGAGATAAGAAAAGGGGAATATTTCCCTTCAAACACATGAGACTTTGAAATTGTTTCAAAAGTCGAAATGATCACGAAAACAGTGAAATTCCTTGACGATCAGTTGACTCGCCTAGGATTTTCCCACCTTAATTCCGTGAAATGAAAAAGTAAAATGCTTTTTTATAAAATGAAAATGCATTTTTATTCTTGAGAATTCCCATTTATTTGCCCTCCGCCGCGAAAATATTCGATTTCCGACAAAAATATTTTCATTTTTTTTACTTTTTCTCACCAAACAAACTTTTCGTAATTACTAAAAGCCATAATTTACGACATTTTCTAAATAATTGTCTGGTAAAATGGATATTTTCGTATTTTTTTTGAGCTTTGAGATGTACAAGTTCATGAAAAATTGAGCGAATTTTGTGGTTCTACGACTTTTCAAAGGATAATTTATACTTAATGATGTGGTGATGAATTTTGTGTTTACCAAAACTCTTCTATAGGCTAGAATTGTATGGAAAAGCATAATGAACTTGAACAAATTCATGAGAAAACTCATTTTTCTCCTTGCTCCTTTCCAAGAATTTGGACCAAGATATACGAAAAACAAACTTCGGAAAATCAGCGTTAAAAGGCTTTTGTCCATGACTGTATATATGTTACGTCCGAATCTGAAGAGACGTCCATCTCCGATCTGGACGTCCGAATCTGAGGAGATTCATTCTCCTCCGAAACGAACGTCCATCTCTGAGTCGAACGTCCATCTCTGAGTCGAACGTCCATCACTGAGTCGAACGTCCATCACTGAGTCGAACGTCCATCACTGAGTCGAACGTCCATCACTGAGTCGAACGTCCATCACTGAGTCGAACGTCCATCACTGAGTCGAACGTCCATCACTGAGTCGAACGTCCATCACTGAGTCGAACGTCCATCACTGAGTCGAACGTCCATCTCTGAGTCGAACGTCCGCTTCAGAGGAGAATTGCCAAACCGTACATATTACCAAATTATTTGTGAAGAAAAAAAAGTAAATTGAGAGAATTTCCATTTTAACTTCCTTTTTCATTTGTTTTGTTCAAAACATTGGATTTTGCATTTAAACTATTTGTTCTCAAGATCGGACGTCCGATTCCGAGAAGAATGATCATTCTCCTCCGAAACGGATGTCCGACTCAGAGATGGACGTCTGACTCTGAGTCGGACGTTCGTTTCGGAGGAGAATGAATCTTCTCAGATTCGGACGTCCGGATCGGAGATGGACGTCTCCTCAGATTCGGACGTAACATATATAATATATTCAAATGATTTGATACCTTTTAATCTTCTCTTGAAAACTAGTACAAAGTTGAGAAATTTCTGAAAAACAATAACAAAAGTTCTTAAAAGTCAAGTTTACACCAAAAAAATAATCGTCATTAGTACAGCTCGTATCGTCGTGAATTTATTGACTTATGAATTTGGTTTGTTTTCTTTTTTCTTTCTTTCTTTCATCAATTCATTTAAAGAATAGTTTCTATGCTAATTAAGGAAATTAAGGAAACTTTTAAAGACTAATTAAGGAACATTTAAGGACTAGTTAAGCAAACTTTTATGGAATAATTAAGGAAACTTTTGAAGAACTAATTAAAGAAACTTTTAAGGACTAGTTAAGGAAACTGTTAGGGGAATAATTAAGGAAACTTTTCCTGTAATTTTCCCTTGCAAATCAACCAGTTTATTATCTGAAAACAAAAATAGATTTATTTACCTTTAAACAAAAGACCCGATCAATTTTGAATGATTCATTTCTTGATGATTTTTCTTTCTTTAAAAGCCTTCTCCCGGTATTCCTCCATGATGACAATACATCATGACATTCCAATTGTAGAAACATGTGAAATCCTGAAATATTTCACATTTTACAACAAATAAACATCTTTTAGCTGGAAACTTTCAAAAGTTTTAATGACTTTTCAAAGACCAAATCCGATTAGAACAGAAATTTGATTAGTTTTTATGGAATTTGGATGAAATGAATGATGAAATGAATGAAATGAATGATGAAATGAATGAAATGAATGATTTTCGACATTTCTCCCTCACTTGTTTCTCAATTCGATCAATCTTTTCCCCAGCCGGATCACAGAAACGCAAACATCGATCCCCGACGCCTAGCGTTGGATCCGATAACTTCAACGATTCACAACATTCACGATTATCCTAAAGGTTTAAAGATAAACGATTCTATAGTTCTATATACTCAAAATTTCAACAATTTTCCTCTACCTGATTCTGCGCCGCGCAATGAAGAACTTTCGTCAAATCTGTCAACTTACACCCGGCTCTTAGCACCTAGAAAATGATATAAATAATGATTAAGCTATAAGATTAAAGTTATTTTTATATTCTTTTCGAACTTTTCTCAAATTCGATCGAGCCTCCGTTTCGTCGGATTCGAATTGACACGCGTCTCGACAAACTTCTGGCACTCGTTGCTCACAACAACTTCTAAAGAGAAAAAGAATTTCTCATATATTTCTATGATTATTACTTGAAAAGAGCATCAGCTTTTTCTTTGTTTAAACATGGAGCAAATTGGTTTTCCTTATTCCCACAATCTTTACAGAAAATGAGCGGGGAAATGAGGAGAAGATAGAAAAATCGGAGAATCATTCAAGTGACAGAAGCTGAAAGTGACTAGTATCTGAAATATTCAAGAAATTGAAGTAACAATGAGTCTGAGAAAGTCCGAGAAAGCTGAATTCATTTGAAAGAAGCTTTTCCTGAAATGTTAGCTGAAAGGAGCGCACTTCTAAACACGAAAAACTAAAAAACTAGAAAATTCTATTTTTGCAATGTATAAAAGTCGATGCTTCACTTTAACAGATGGAATTGAGAGTAAAGCTATCGGATTTCTCGTTGTACCTGAATTTAGAGGTGTTGAAGTATGAAAAAGGTCATGAACAGGGATGTAAAGATGAAAGAAAGTGTTCTCTCCACCAAAATTTCTCCCCCACTCAAAATCGAGGACATCTTTGAAATCTCTCAACAATGAATCTCTTTCCCTTTTTTTTTTCTATTCACTTTTCATTGAGAATTAGGTCAAATCCTTTCCCCTGAATCTTTTCAAAATCAAACCACAGCCAATTGGTTTAATTTTGATCAAGCCAAAACCAATTGGTTTCATTTTGATCAAACCATAACCAATTGGTTTAAATTTGATCAAACCAAAACCAATTGGTTTAATTTTGATCAAACCACAACCAATCGGTTTAATTTTGATCAAGCCACAACCAATTGGTTTAATTTTGATCAAACCAAAACCAATTAGTTTCATTTTGATCAAACCAGAACCAATTGCTTTGATTTTGATCAAACAACAACCAATTAGTTTAATTTTGATCAAACCAAAACCAATTAGTTTAATTTTGATCAAACCACAACCAATCGGTTTAATTTTGATCAAGCCACAACCAATTGGTTTAATTTTAATCAAACCATAACCAATTGGTTTAAATTTGATCAAACCAAAACCAATTAAACGTCATTTATTAAATTAAATCTTTTATTTCAATTTGTACATATAATAAAAGAAAATTTTTGAGATCATTGAGTGAAAAGTTTGAAGAAAACAACGAGAAAAGCGGCAAAAAGGGAATGAGTGAAAGCTGAGCTGCATCCAGCTGCTCCATAATCATTCACTTTTACCCCGAAATAGTGCAAATGCTCGCTGTTCACCTGAAATCAATCAAATTAGCGTTTGGTAACTTTGAACAATGATAATAGCTTCTCTACAAGCACTCACCACATCGACGATGAACTTGAAATCACTGAGCGAGTCACTGCACGTACCATCCTCTCCAGATTGAGTTGAACAACGAGTAAAGCTATCGAATTTTTCGTTGTACCTGAATTTAGAGGTGTTGAAGTATGAAAAAGGTCATGAACAGGGATGTAAGCCCGGTAAAGGTCGGACCAGGTCCAACTTAGGCCCTACACTTTTGTCGGACCAGGTCAAGCTGTAACTCTATTCTACTAGGTATTTGTTGTAACCTCTACCCACCAAATCTCTTGTGTATGGTGATATGGCCCCGTTTTCGCTCCTGATGTGTCCATTGGTGGCCCGTGTGGTACGGGATCCGAGTTGTGAACAATTCTCCACGTATATGGAACCCAATCCCGGAATGCGGTCGCCGTTTGGTAATCCCATGTGCGTGGCTGGCCAAACGTGTATAAACGGATCTGGAATCGAGTAATGATTCTAGAATCATTCAAGAACTATTTACCTGATTGCTAGGGGCCAAGCCCTCAAGAGAGAGTCGAGCGGCTGTGACCGATGCCATTGCCCCACCCAATGAATGGCCGGTGATGAAGAAAGTTGTTTCCGAGTTTGTTTGACTAAATTCATAGATTCTATACTAGTCATTTATTAGTAAAGTTTGAGCATCGATTTTACTGTAATCAAATCCCAACTCACATTTGATTAGCCAAAGTTTTAGAAATATTTGATGAGGCTTGTGATTCCTCATCAAATTATCGGAAATTTCAACCCCGCTCCGCCCCTTTTACCATTAGCAACCAAACTTTCAACTCAAATATCTCCGTCTTGGATCATTCAATTTGAATTTTCTTGACATCATTCGATGCGCCAAGTCTTTCTCTATCGATTGTGATAAAAAATATTTCAATTGGACAACTCAACACCAAGAAATTTAAGCTTAAAGTTAGATTTCCAATGGGAGAGGGATATGTAATCCGTATACTGTAATCAAAACCATTTTGATGTTCTATTTACCCAAGATTTGCCTTGATAGTCGGCCAAAGTGATCGCACACCCTCGTAGAAGTAGTGATTCACCCTGCCACCTCCGTTATAAGTGCCTAAAACTTGGAATCATGAAAAGTCGAATCTTTTTTTTGCACTCACCAGCCTGGAACGCGTCATAAGTGTTGAGTGAGGAGATACTCTCAACAATCAATTGAGAGCCCCCATTTGTGCCACGAAAAGCAATCACATAATTATTCTTCACAGCCGAGTAGGCGATGTACATCTGACATTCGTTGTTCTTCTAAATCACTGACTCATTCAAATACTTGAACACTTTTACTCACACTATCGCAGACAGCAGTTTTCACGACCACTGTTTGATAATTGTAATCACTCCACGATTTGTCGAAGCATTGTTGTCGTTTTGCGTCGTCATTTGGGCCCAATTGACTGGCAACGGCTAGATCAAAGAATCGGCGAGCTGTGGCCGGATCGTAGTCGGTGTTTGTGGCAAGATCGTTGTTCTGCAAATGGACTTTGATGAGTTTTATCATGTCAAATATCATTCTTATACATTCTTTAGAGATCTGAAGATCTTCATATCTCTAAAGATCTCAAGAGCTAAATAAAGCATACAATTTAAAAGATTCAATCTAACACATTGAAAAGCGATGATTGCAATTTACTTTAAAGTACAGTACGTTAATGTACAGTATTTACAGTTTCTAACTCACCCATGGCAATAGACCAGCCAAAACTAGAAGCGGAGCGCTGAGAAATAGCAAATAAGAGGTGATTCTGAACATTCTGGAGAGATCGTTCTGACCTATTCTTCCCTTGGAAATCGACCTTTTGTAGAAGATTTTGAGGGAAAGGGGTTGATTCACCGTTATCACCTCTTTTTTTACCTGTTCTCCTTCTTTTTCTTCTTTTTCTTCTTCTTTACCATCTCAGAATTTTTTCGGATAAGCCTTTCTTTTTTCTGGGAGACACGTCATCGACCCCTTCTTTACCCCTTCTTTACTCCTTCTTTACTCCTTCTTTACCCCCGCTTTCACCCCTTTTTGGCCTCTTTAGCATGCCCCATACATGATAAAAATACAAGGATTTGTAATGGAAAAGAACTCTGCTTTCAAAATTTTTATCGAGTCATCGAATTTTGTGCAAAAATCTAGCTAGAGTCTGGGTTTTGAATTCTACCTCAATTCCAGCTAAAATTGCAAATTTTTAGCGAGAATACGAACTAAATCTAGCCTCTTTTTCACTTTTTATTGTAACCTTTATAAAAAAGACAAAAAAAAATGAGCCAAACTGAAGCTAAAAGAAAAATTTCTCAAAGAACTAAGCGATTCACAGAGCTTGTGAAACAATTTGGTTACAATTCATCTAACTTTCATCTAAAATCTAACTTTACATTAAATTCTGGATGTATAATAGAAATAAAAATGCATTTAGAAATGAAATCACTGAGATTTTGGTTTACTTTCGAGTAGTTCTTGAGTCTAAAGCTAAAACGAAAACTATCTCAATCTTCAGTAAAATGTCTATTTTAACTTAATCAATCTTTAAAGTACGTTTTCCATTTTCTGACCCAAACTTTTCTCAAACTTTGCCAGTGATCTCTTCGATCCATTTCAGAAAGAAAACTTTGTAGTCAGCTCACAAAGACTGATGATTTTTTTCGTTTTTCTTCTCTGATACCAGAATTCTCATGACAGATCAAAGAGAGGGTAAAACGGTGATAAGGGTATAAATTTCACTCTTTGCTGATTCACTTCAAGAAAAACGACTGATTTTAAGGCCAAGAGAACAAGGCATCAAAATGGGGAACTTTCAGAAATAGTTTTTTTTTTTGCGGAAGTTTTTGAGTTTTTGAGCAACGGCTAACATTGGTAAGGGAAGCTGCGATGTTTCGGTTTGAACAAAATTTATTCCTTTATTGCTTACTTTTAGCCTTTTTAAGATAACTGGATCGATCGATAAGCCGCCACGAACGAGAATCACGACAAAGGAAATTTTGCGGATGATGGAGGAAAATTGAGGAGTCGACGAAGAGAAATTGATGGAATGGAGGCAGGTGGAAGAGGAGGCCGGCCAGGAGAATGCCTGTAAATCCACCGGGTTTCAACTATTTCTTTGGTCATCACATAACAAGATCTTAGAAACTTCAAAAGTTATGTGCCAAAGCCTCTAACTCTTGAAAAGGATCATTGAATGCACTAGCTTCTGTTGGCATATCGATTTTCAAAACTTTCCAAGTCCTGGAGTAGTTTTATTAAAAAAAGTTTCGAAAAATTCAACTCTCAATGCATCAAATCGATCAAATTCTACAATTTTAACAATATAATTAAAGATAAAGAAAAAGAATAAGAAGGAGAAAAGATGACAAAAGAGGTGATAACGGTGAATCATTCCTTTCCCCTCAAAATCTTCACAAAAGGTTGATTTCTAAGGGAAGAATAGGTGACAACGATCTCTCCAGAATGTTCAGAATCACCTCTTTTTTGCTATTTCTCAGCGCTCCGCTTTTCGTTTTGGCTGGTATATTGCCATCGGTGAGTTGGAAACTGTGAATACTGTACATTATCGTACTGTACTTTAGTGTAAATTGCAATGATCACTATTCAATGTGTTAGATTGAATCTTTTAAATCGTATCTTTTAAATTGTTTACTTTATTTAGCTCTTGAAGATCTTCAGGTCTCTAAAGAATGTATAAGAATGATATTTGACATGATAAAACTCATCAAAGTCCATTTGCAGAACAATGATCTTGCCACAAAACCGACTACGATCCGGCCACAGCTCGCCGATTCTTTGATCTAGCCGTTGCCAGTCAATTGGGCCCAAATGACGACGCAAAACGACAACAATGCTTCGACAAATCGTGGAGTGATTACAATTATCAAACAGTGATCGTGAAAACTGCTACCTGCGATAGTGTGAGTGAAAGTGTTCAAGTATTTGAATGAGTCAGTGATTTAGAAGGGCAACGAATGTCAGATGTACATCGCCTACTCGGCTGTTAAGAATAATTATGTGATTGCTTTTCGTGGCACAAATGGGATCTCTGAGTTGATTATTGACGGTCTCTCCTCACTCAACACTTATGACGCGTTCCAGGCTGGTGAGTGCAAAAGAAAGACTAGACTTTTCATGATTCTAAGTTTTAGGCACTTATAACGGAGGTGGCAGGGTGAATCACTACTTCTACGAGGGTGTGCGATCACTTTGGCCGACTATCAAGGCAAATCTTGGGTAAGTAGAACATCAAAATGGTTTTGATTACAGTATACAGATTACATATCCCTCTGCCATTGGTAATCTAACTTTAAGCTCAAATTTCTTGGTGTTGAGCTGTCGAATTGAAATATTTTTTATGACAAACGATAGAAAAAGACTTGGCGCATCTAATGAACAAGAAAATTGAAATTGGATAGTCCAATACTGAGATATTTGGGTTGAAAGTTAGGTTGCTAATGGTAAAAGGGGCGGAGAGGGGTTGAAATTTCCGATAATTTGATGAGGAATCACAAGCCTCATCAAATATTACTAAAACTTTGGCTAATCAAATGTGAGTTGGGATTTGATTGTAGTAAAAACGATGCTTAAACTTTACTAATAAATGACTAGTTTAGAATCTATGAATTTAGTCAAACAAACCCGGACACAACTTTCTTCATCACCGGCCATTCATTGGGCGGGGCAATGGCCTCGGTCACAGCCGCTCGACTCTCCCTTGAGGGTTTGGCCACCAACAATCTGGTAAATAACTCTTGAATGATTCTAGAATCATTACTCGATTCCAGATCCGTTTATACACGTTTGGCCAGCCACGCACATGGGATTATGAAACGGCGACCGCATTCCCGAATTGGGTTCCATATACGTGGAGAACTGTTCACCACGCGGATCCCGTGCCACACGGGCCACCAATGGACACATCAGGAGCGAAAACGGGGCCATATCACCATACACGAGAGATTTGGTGGGTAGATTACAACAAATACCGAGTAGACTAGAGTTACAGCTTGACCTGGTCCGACAAAAGTGTAGGGCCTAGGTTGGACCTGGTCCGACCTTAATCTGGCTTACATCCCTGTTCATGACGTTTTTCATACTTCAACACCTCTAAATTCAGGTTCAACGAAAAATTCGATAGCTTGAGTTATTGTTCAATTCAATCTGGAGAGGATCCTACGTGCAGTAACCAGATCGGTGATTTCAACTTCACCGTCGATGTGGTGGGGTATCAATGAAATATTTTAGCTTTACAAGATACTTTATCTAACTTCAAGTACTAGGAAATGCCTTACAAGAATAAGCTTATATAAAAATTTCTAGAGTTTGTAATTTGTTGCACTAGTTTTAGGTGAAAAGTGAGCATTTACGTTATTTTGGTGTCGACGTGAATGATTATGGAGCGAATGGTTGCGCGGATTCACCCAGTCCTAGTTCGAGTACTGCGCCCATCACCAGCACTATCACCAGCACCGCCTCAATTATCCATTCAATCCTCACTCCTTTCATTCTTCTTCTGGTTATACTTTGCAAATAAATATTTTCTGCACAATTTGAATCTACAGATATGATGCTATTTACCCCAAGTACTTAGCTTTTATTCATTAAACACAAAGGAGAGTTCCTTCCAATAATCCATCAGAACTGCACAAATCGCTAATAGAACCGTATTAGTGTTAGACTGAAGTTAAGTCTTGGTCATTTTAACTATCCCCTTTTAATTAATACCAATTCTACCTTGCCACCGCTCCATCTATTCTCGCCTTTTGCACAAAAACGAATCAAGCAATTTGCGCGATTCTGATGGATTATTGAAGGAACTCTCCCATTGTATTTAATGAATAAAAGCTAAGTACTTGGGATAAAAACGTATAGCGACGTCTTTGGTCATTGGGATTGTGGCAATCCCAATCAAAACACTAACAAAAATTAAGACAGGTTATTTTTTTTGTGTATTTTTGCATCGAATAATTGATAAAACATCTTTATATATGGAGCTGGCTATTTTCAATGGTTTTATTGCAGTCTATGGCAATGCATCAACCATCCATTGCTGTTGTTTTCATTTCTTCAAGGCCATCTTTATTAAATAGGTTATTAAACTTTGGTTTTTTTTTAAATATTTACCTATTCCTCCAAAAGAGCATTGTTTAATCTGCATTGAGATCTTTAAAATTGGCGCTGTTTTGAACGACGCGATTTAGAATGGCACTGTTTTGGCGGCACTATTTTGACTAGGTTCCAAATCACTGACCTTTTGGTTCTCTTTCGAATAGTTCTTGAGTCTAAAGCTAAAACGAAAACTATCTCAATCTTCAGTAAAATGTCTATTTTAACTTAATCAATCTTTAAAGAACGTTTTCCATCTTCTGACCCAAATTTTTCCCAAAACTTCGCCAGTGATTTCTTCGATCCATTTCAGAAAGTCATCTAGTCATCTCACAAAGAGTGATCATTTCGTTTTTCTTCTCTGATACCAGAATTCTCATGACAGATCAAAGAGAGGATGAAACGGTGATAAGGGCGTAAATTTCACTTTTTGCTGATTCACCTTAAGAAAAACGACTGATTTTAAGGCGAAGAGGACAAGGCATAAAAAATGGGAACTTTCAGAAATATGGTTTTCTTTTGCGAAAGTTCATAACAATTGACTTAAAGCTTGAAACATATTTGTTTCCATTTCCTGCTTGTTTTTCCTATTGTTCTTTTCAATAAGTAATATTTTATTCTATTGATAGTTTTCAATAAGTTAAATCAAGGATTTTAATGGTAAGTTGAATGAACGGTGAATGGAATGGGAAAATTGTCGATGAATGAATGAAAAGAGTTGTCTGAGTCTGGAATCCATCTTTGTTACACATTCAAATGAAGCAACAAAGATTTCTTTTAAAGAACGTACTGGTAGTTTTTAAAATTACCCTCAGTTTTGTCTTTTATAAGTTTTCACGCTTTAGAAAATACATGATTTTCAGTTTACAGTGATTTTCAGTGTTTAGAAACATTTACATGCGTTTATTTTTGTCAATCTTATTAAAACAACCTGTATTTCACCCGAATCACAACAACTAATCAAATAAATTTCTAAATCTATTCACATCTCCCTATTTGAAACCTTAAATCCTATATCCTCGCAATCACATCCGAGCATTTCCCCTCAATTTTCAGCGTGGCGATCTTGTCGACTCTTGTTGGCCCGGCCCGGATCACAGAGTGGCTACCACGAGACCAGAAGAGGCCCATCAGAAGACCAGCAACGAGGTGTAGCACAAGAGTGGCAGAGACGGTCAGAGAAAGGATGGCTAGAGTGCAACCACCACCAGCACAAGCAAGTCGAAGACTTCGAACCAGGAACAAGATAGGAAACACTGGATGACAATAGCAAGGGATAGAGAAATGTGGAAGCAGGTTGTGATCGGCGCAAAATAGGAACACCTAAGTGCGAAGACAGATCAAAAAACAATGATTTTCAGTTTTTTCAGTGTTTAGAATCATTTACATGCGTTTATTTTTGTCAATCTTATTAAAACAACCTGTATTTCACCCGAATCACAACAACTAATCAAATAAATTTCTAAATCTATTCACATTTCCCTATTTGAAACCTTAAATCCTATATCCTCGCAATCACATCCGAGCATTTCCCCTCAATTTTCAGCGTCGCGATCTTGTCGACTCTTGTTGGCCCGATATTCACGACAATTAACGGAATTTTTCGATTCATAACTGCTTGATGAGCAAATCGATAACCGGACATAACTTGAAGGGATGAACCAAGAACGAGCACGCCATCACATTCATCAATCTCAAATCCCTTTTCAGTATCATACATCCAAAACACCTTTAAAACTTAAAATTCTTCACTAAAAAGGGATTACCAACTGAGTGTTTGGCCAAATGACTTGTGCCACAGCTTATTTCATGCAGAATTCAACCCCGACTCTGAATCTGTTTTCTGTTTCGACTATGGAACACTCTGTCAAAAGTTTTAAGCGTGCAAAGTTCTTGAAAATCAATTTTTATTTGAAACAGAAGAATGAAATTTGCAAATCCAAAAAGCAGTGGGGCGGATTTGAACTAGAGGGATCTTGATCTTGAACTAGAGGGATCTTGATCTTGAACTAGAGGGATCTTGATCTTGAACTAGAGGGATCTTGATCTTGAACTAGAGTGATCGTGATCTTAACCCACTACCATTCGGCCCCCACTGCTTGCCAAAGACGCTGGGAAATCTGCTTATAAGCTGTGATTTTAAAATCCTGTACAAACTTTGCACGCTTATTACTTTTGACAGAGTGTTCCATTGCAAAAATGGAAAGCAGATTCGGAATTGGAATATTCTGCATCGAATAACCCGTTTTTTGGCCACCACATCCAGTATTCTTTTGTAAATAAATTGAATTTTATTTTATTCAGCCTCAATTTGAGTTTTTATTTGCTATATAATAGGCATTTCTGACCTTTTTATGACACTGCTGCACATCACACAATGGCACATTCTCCCCAAAGAAAATCACATCGGTTTTGAGAATCCCATTGCACTGAATATCAAGAAAATAGAGAAAAATAAGTCCATTTTACAAAAACCTCTTCGCAGTTTGCCAGCTTGAACTCTTTCTCGGCATCGGCCTCAATCTGAATGTCTCCATCGGGTCGAATCTCGCCCGGACTCATCTTTGATGTCCATTTTGGATTCAATTCAGTCAATCTTTCTTGCAATTCTTCACTGCAAATTCACTTTTCATCATTTGATTGAATGTTTTCGATCACCGATCGATCACATTTTTACATTCGAAACACTTGACTCGATGCCCACACCCATGCAATTCAGTCATCCTCTCCGAACCGGCTCTAACAAAACTTTCATTCTTATTTCTATTGAAAACAAAACTTTGCATGCAATCCATCAACATTTTGTGTGATCAACCAATGAAATCTATCGGATCTTTCCCATGAGGCGATTGTTTGATGAGTGACATTTGGATGAGCATCACGGAAACGAGGCCATGCTAGAAAGTTTCGAGCCCAGAATCTAAAGAAAAATTCGAATATAGTCTGATTAGTTTTAAAGGATTTCTGGTAAAAATTAACTTAAAAAAATCGAAAGCTATATGTCTTTAGAATGATTTTTTAACGGTTTATAAAGGGTTTTTTGATTTGATCAGTTTAACAGGTTGTAAAGGGTTATCGATTTGATCAGTTTAACGGGTTGTAAAGGGTTATCGATTTGATCAGTTTAACGGGTTGTAAAGGGTTATCGATTTGATCAGTTTAACGGGTTGTAAAGGGTTATCGATTTGATCAGTTTAACGGGTTGTAAAGGGTTATCGATTTGATCAGTTTAACGGGTTGTAAAGGGTTTTTTGATTTGATCAGTTTAACGGTTTATAAACGGTTTTCGATTTGATCAGTTTAACAGGTTGTAATGGCTTTTTGATTTGATCAGTTTAACGGGTTGTAAAGGGTTATCGATTTGATCAGTTTAACTGGTTGTAAAGGGTTTTCGATTTGATCAGTTTAACGGGTTGTGAAGGGTTTTTTGATTTGATCAGTTTAACCAGTTTATAAACGGTTTTTGATTTGATCAGTTTAACGGTTTATAAAGCTTTTTCACTTTGATCAGTTTAAACACGTTTAAGATAAGCTAAAATCTATATTAAATCAAAATTCAACCAGTTTCGATATCAGCTTTGACAATGAAACTTAAAAATAGTAATCACCTTTGTCTAGCATGATGTGATTTGAGAAATTCTTGTAAATACATTGGCCGATGATTTGATCTTGCGTAAGCGCCGACTTTTGGTGAGCGGTAATCGGGAATACCTGAAAAAGGCAAGAATTTCTTGAGAAAATCTTATTTTTACCAGATTCTGTGGAAATCCCGGCACCAGTCAACACCACTAATTTATCGATTTGACTCAATGTTTTCAATAATAAATCAATCGATCCCTCATTGATTGCTTTATGAGCTGGGATGAACATTTTCAAGATATCATTCAACTGAAATCCTTTACAAGTTATAGTCTATTCTTTGGCAAATAGCCAAGTAAATGATTATTGTAGAAAGGTCACTTTTTAAAGGGTTTAATCCAGATTAGACTGTCTGAGTGGTACAATTGAATGAAAAAGAATGAAAAAGAATGAAAAAGAGCGAAAAAGAATGAAAAAGAATGAAAAGAGATGCATTGATACGACTGCGAAATACGCAAGGTCACTTTCCAATTCAATATTTCAATGCCTTGTACACCGAAAGAATTCTTTCGTTCTTCAATCCAATTCCTTTCCTTATCAATTCTCTTATTTGTCACAAGTTGTCTAATTTTTAAACGAAATCCTCTTGAAATCTTGAATCCACCGGCTTTCAATGGATCATCATACGTCGTTGATTCTTTAATCTCTTCATCAGCTCTTCTCCCGTTTTTCTATTTAGGCGGAAATGTGGAACCAAAGAGTTTACTTGGTCAGTTCAAAGATTTAATTCAATAGATAGGATTTAAATATTTGTATTGTATTGTTAGAATTGTAGAATTTAATCGATTGGATGCATTGAGAGTTGAATTTTTCGAAACTTTTTTAATAAAACTACTCCAGGACTTGGAAAGTTTTAAAATCGATATTCCAACAGAAGCTAGTGCATTCAATGATCCTTTTCAAGAGTCAGAGGCTTTGATACTGAACTTTTGAAGTTTCTAAGATCTTGTTATGTGATGACGAAAGAAATAGCTGAAATGGATTACAGGCATTCTGCTGGCCGGCCTCCTCTTCCACCTCCCACCATTCCATCAATTTCTCTTCGTCGACTCCTCAATTTCCTCCGTGATCCGCAAAATTTCCTTTGTCGTGATTCTCGTTCGTGGCGGCTTATCGATCGATCCAATTATCTTAAAAAGGTTAAAAGTAAGCAATAAAGGAATAAATTCTCTTCAAAACCGAAACATCGCAGCTTCCCTTACCAATGTTAGCCGTTGCTCCAATCATCATCGAAGTGACAGCACTCACTTTTTCCTCGTTTTATCTTTTAGAATTCGATTTGCTAAGCGGTTTGGCGTTAGGTAAATTTTATAAGCTTTCAATTTTGATCTATAATTTAGGTTTTTTAATAGCAGCTGTTTCTCCGGCAGTTGTCGTGCCATGTATGTTGGAGGTGGAGAAAAAGGGTTTCTTTTTAAATTTTTAAAAGTCTTACCGTAATCCAAGCCTTTAAAACTCACTAAATCATACCGTAAGCAAAATTTGAATTGCAGGTTATGGTAGAAAAAGCGGGATTACAACCCTGTGCATAGCGGGAGCGACATTGAGTGATGTGCTTTGCATAACAGCATTCAGGTGGGCTATCTAGCTCCGCTCTTGACTTTCCATCGTGGCGCAGTCAGGAGGGCCCTTGTCTGGAGCCCGCACGGTCCGGGTTCGACTCCCCGTAGTGACACTCGACTTTAAGCTTTTTATTTTTGAGTTTTCTAAAAAAGTTTTAGCGTTATTGGTGAAAAGACGGCTGAGAAAGCAGTGACTGCTCTTTTATATAGTAGATAGTACAGTATATAGTAGTATAGTAGACAGTTTTATATAGTAGACAAAGTCCGGCAGTTTTCAATTCACCAACCGAATAGTACAGTATCCAATCAATATTTCCCTTTCCAGTGTTGTTCTCGGTGTCATTTTTGGATCCGAGCGCTCAACTCTCTCAATTCTTTTACATGTTCCCATTGAGATTGCACTCGGAATCTTGATCGGTTTTATTGGAGGTATCTTTCTAGGAAAATCGATTTTAACTTACATACTTTAAGCTAGAAAATGAAGTTGTTCTTACTTTCATTGAAAAAGTTCAATTCTTTCAATTCAACTATCAAAATTTGTTAGTGAAAGTACTTTTTCAAGAGTCAGAGGCTTTGACACATAACTTTTGAATTTCCTACTATAAGATGTTGTTAAGTGATGACCAAAGAAATATCTTGAAACCCGGTGGATTCACAGGCAACTTTTTGTGGATTCACAGGGCCAGGCATTCTCCTGGCCCTGTGAAGACCGGCCAGGCATTCTCCTGGCCCTATGAAGGCCGGCCAGGCATTCTCCTGGCCCTGTGAAGACCGGCCAGGCATTCTCCTGGTCCTGTGAATTCATAGGCCGGCCAGGCATTCTCCTAGCCGGCCTCCTCTTCCATCTGCCTATTACTTTTCATTGAAAAAGTTCAATTTGACTATCAAATTTGTATCAAAGTACTTTTTGTTCCTCTGAAATCCCGTTTCCAGGCTATTTGATCAATTTCTGTTCACCGAAAGCGAAAACTCCAGAAGAAATGATCATAATGCCCTGCTGTCTCATCCTACTTTTATCATTGAGTGTCCTTTTGGGGAGTGCTCATTTCAACTCAGAAGTCCTTGGCCCTGTCGCCATTTTAGCGCTCGGATTCTTTACAGCTATTTTCGTCAAAAAGCACAATGAAGAGGTGAATTGCGAGAAGTTTTTTTTTGATAGAAAATCTATAAAGCTTACAATTTGTACATTCAAAAACCTTGAGCTCTTCACTCGAATGAAATCCCAATTAGACTACCTCTGGAAATTCATCTTTATGCCACTTCTTTTCGGTTTAATCGGTTTTCGAATGGATATTGTTCAAGTAAAAATAAAATCTAACTAGATACAAAATTAAATTTAGCTATTTTTTGGGGAATCTTCAAACATATCTCGTGTTGCTTTATGTCTTTTGATTCTAATCGTTGGATTACTTTTCCGTTTATTTGCCACTTATTTCTCGATTCTTGGTCGTTTCAATAGAAAAGAGAAAATATTTTTAGCTTTCGCGTGGATACCAAAGGCTACTATACAGGTTTGTAAAAAAGAAATCGTTATCATTATCATTTTAACGGATCAAAAACATTTTATGGCTTTTGATTCTAATCGTTGGCTTGCTTCTGATCCGTTCAAATGATCGTTTTGATTCGTTAAAATGATCAGATTTGTCTGTCTGTCAAAACAGACAAAGCCGATCATTTTAACGGATTAAAACGATCATTTTAACGGATCAAAACATTTTAACGATCATTTTCAGGCAGCCCTTGCTACAGCTTTTCTCGATAAAGCAGTTGTTGAGAAGAGAAACGAATTGTTTGAGATTGGAAATGCGATTCTATTAATGGCTGTGCTAAGTATTTTCCTGTCAGCTCCATTAGGTCAATTCTTCATTCGAGTATTTTCCTCTAAATTATTGCAAAAAGATGATGAAGATCTCGTTGAAACGGAGAGATTTCAATTGATTCAAGGGAGATAAGTGCAAATAAAAGTTTAATATTATTTATTAGTCATTTTAAAACAAATATCAAAAACAAAAACCATTTCTCAAGTTCATTTATTGTTTTGATATTGTTTCAAGATCGGGAAATAGAGTTTCTGAGCGAAATCGCTTTTTGTGAATTGTGGATTTCGATTGACAGCATCGACGATAGCCACAGAAAGGAGAGGAGAAATGCGATGAGGAACTGAAATTGAACTTTTGCTTATCGTAAATACTGTAATAGTACCCCACCCCCATAATGACTTTGCGTAGTGTTGCGTAGTCGAGCTTTGAACGAGTTTTTCTCGACACTGGTTTATGCTACAATGCGCGCTTAGGTATCAAAAAATAGCCCTGAATTTCAGTCGCGTAGTCGCGTAATGAAATACTAAAAGTTTTTTAGTATTTCATTTTCAAAGCACCCGTACTTTCAAAAAAATGCGTCTTGATTTCTTTTTAGCATGTGCTCTTAAATGAATCTCGAATACTCAAACTCAACTTGAAATGAACTAAAAAACAAGCATTGTAATACTCTGTTATAAAATAAGTATCCTTTTTTATAAACTTACCGTAAATACTGTAATAGTACCCCACCCTCCCTCGTACAGTCTCGTAGTCGCAAAAGTTTTTTAGTATTTCATTTTTTTTCAAAGCACCCGTACTTTCAAAAAATACGTCTTTGGTATCAAAAAATAGCCCTGAATTTCAGCTATTTTTTGATACCTAAGCGCGCATTGTAGCATAAACCAGTGTCAAGAAAAACTCGTTCAAAGCTAGACTACGCAACGCTCCGCCCCGTCATTATGGGGCTAGGGTACTATTACAGTATTTACGGTAAGAATTCGGATACAAACTCTTTTCGAATGCATTCAATTTCTCTCTGCAATGAATTAAAAGCGCCAGAATTTCTTTCTTTCTTTAGAAACGCTTTCTATTGCACAGAAATTGCAATTTTAACAACTAATTCCTAAGCTTTAAAGTCTCGCCTTGAACTCACCAACGATTTTGCATATTTTCTTTTTCTCGTGTAATTCAATGAGCGTCTTTGCCACAAAATACAATTGATCAATCGAGAAATCCTCCAAATTGTTAAACCATTCGCCAATTTTCGGCTCGATTCGCCGTTTTTTCGTTTCACCTTTATATGGACTCAAAACGACACGACCCTGGCAAAAAAAAAAAAAATTTGTTTAAATTTCTCTAAACTTTTTCAAACCTTGATTCGAATCACTTTCCTCAGCTTGAATTCATCTAAATAATTGCCAGTTGATGCCTTTTCTTTTACCGATTGAATCGTTTGTTCTGTAAACTGTTTGACTTAAGTAAAATTTTGAATTTATTTACCAACGCTGTCAAAGATCGATTTCTCTTCAAGAGGATTATCAACATCGGGTTCAATGAAATCGGTTTGACGAAAAGTTTTGTCTGAAAGGAGTTAGACTTGAAGATTTCAGCTATTTTTACCCAAATTGATTGAAGCTCGCTCGTTTTGTGGTGGATTTGAGTCAAAAGCGATTGGTGAATTAAAAGAATCGCGAAAATTGGCCGAATTTTCAAATAAATCATCAAAAAGGACTTCATTTTCCGGGATTTTCTTGATCGGGGATGGAAGTTGCATTGTTAAAAATATTCAGTTTGGGCGAATAACGCGGAACAATCAAGTCCATCAATTTCCTGGCTGAAATTATCCAATTTGTCGGCAGATGTGCTTTCCCCAATTATTACAATGCAATTATTATCAATTTATTGCCCAACTTTTAGAAATTTAAAATTTGACAAATAACGAAGAGAAGAAAAAACGGGGAGAAGGCTATCGGATAGATCACAAAACGTCAAAAAATATAACCTGAAACAATGGGGAACACATAAATGAAGAATCAAATGTTAAAATAACGCTAACCTAGAACAATTAATCACATCTTGAAGATTTTCTCGTTTAAATGCCGCTCCCAGTGATCGAGTAGACCAAAATTAGGAATGTTGCGAACGGTTTGATAGAGATAGTTAACTCCTTCCTAAAAATAAAGATTAAAATGATCATAATCGAAGGAAACCCATTACTAAGAAATTGAATATTTGTGTAATTTTTTCACATTTAGTTTATCTCTTTCTTACTTTCAAACACTCACCCGAATCCTTGGTAAAATTTCGAATAGCATTCGCAGCCTTGTCGAACAGTCCTCCCGTGTTCCTCCACATTCATCCACATAATACGACATGTATTCTTTGATCGCTGTATTCAAAGCCTAAATTAAAATCATAGAATAAGCAAGTCACTTTTAACTTGATAGTAAACAAAAAACTCACATCTCGAGCGATTTGCTGTGATTCAGGAAACATTAAACGTTCCGCCTGGTTGTAGAAAGCATAAAGTCTAAATCAAGATACTAATGAAAAAAATAGATTTATTACATTATAATGTAAGTTTAATTTGGTGATAGAAAAATCCTTTCTGGTTTTTCATTATTTAATCAAGATAAAAACCAAAACCAACCTAACAGTGAGCATTTCAATCTCGGAGACTTTCATATTAAACCACGGAACGACACAATGTTGAATGATGTTTCCCACCCATTCCCCGGCCATACTAAATAAAGAGTATTATATAAATTATTGGTTTTTAAAACTTCTAGCGATAAAGAGCAATAAAAAATAAACCTTTGTATCACATCGGCGCCAAATTTTTGTGCATCAGAACCCATGTAGAAAGATCCTAAAATGACGCGTTTAGCACAAAAACATCCTAAACATTAAGCTTCAGACTTAAGTTTGCTTACTAGGTGCCAAAAAAGTGTTGTTGACAAGCACAAGTCGATCGGTGACTCCCAATTGAACTGTGTGAAAGACGTCATCCAAAAGAATATATTCGAAGATGTGCGATCGTAGCAGACGTAACTAAATAAAAAAAAATAGCTGTAAGCTTTAAAACTATACTTTATCAGCTCTATCCAAAAGCTTGAATTCGGTCTGTTTGTTCGCCCATTCAAAACAAAGAACGATTTGTGCTCGGAAGATCGACGACAAATCATCAGGGCTTGCAATCCCGCGCAATGTGTTTTGCTAAAGAAAAAGTTTTTTAGCTGAATTCAGATTACCATATAAATCAGGTAAAGTTCAAATTAAAACTTTGTACAACACTAACTTCGGGCGATAAAACTTGTTCAAGTGTTGTGCACATAATTGCTTGTCTTCTTTTCCTTTGCTCGGCAAAATCGAAAACGCTTCGAACCAGACGAGAAGCATTTGGCGGTGGAGATGGCGGAACTTCAGGCAAGATCATATCCTGAATGCCAATAAAATTAATCCAAATAACTCGTCATAATTAAGTACAAAAATTCGTACCACTGTTGAGTTGATCTCGTTAGTTGCAGCAGACTAAAACAACATTCTTACTAAAAGCAAACGGATAACTCACAAATGACGGTTCGGAAATCTCGTTTTTCACCCCTGCCATCAGCCCGTTTCCTTCTCGTTTTGGTTGGACGGCTGAATTCTTAGTTTTCTTAGTTTTCTTAGCGTTCTCTAAAAATTAAAACCTTCAAACTTTTTGAAAAATGATACCTCTTGAATCCATTCCTACTTGACGACACTTTTGTAGACGACACGCTCGACAAGCACATCGGGCACCTAGGGATAAAAATAAACATTAAAAAATAACTCTTTAACCAACCTTTGTCTACAGGGCAATTCCCTCCTCGTCGACAAACAAAATTCATGCTGTGAGTGATGGCACGGCGGAAAAAAGCGTTACAACCTGAATTTACGTGGTTAGAAAGGTTTTGAGACAAAATTAACCTCTGCACGACCGAACACCGTAGTGAAATCCATCGGCTTGATCGCCACACACGGCGCATGTCTCTAAAAAATGAAAGTTGAATAACGGCGAAAGCTTTTTATACCTTCACTCAACCCAATCGCCAAATTGCCACTTAACAACGATGGGTCGTACATTCCTGAAACTGAAATTGATAAAATTGAAAGAATCATTTCTAAAAGCTTTATTTTCTATGCTGAAGACTTGTATCTGTCTCCGATAAACGGTCTATTTATTTTAGCAGTTATAATTTACAATTACACGCTTGAAGTAATTGATTTTAAAATAAAAACCAACCTATAGACGCCTGTGTCTGTAGAAAGCTGTTCAGCGAATCGCTGAGTGACGATGAGGGGAACTCGTTCATCCTGTAAAAGAAATATATCGAAAAATAAAAGATTTAAAATGAAAAAGATCTCAAGAAGTCATTTCTGTCTCTTTCAAAAAGAAGGAAGAAGGGAAAAGAGACCAATTTGAGGGTTTCTCTTCGCGAAAAGCGTCACCTAGCAACTTTGAGTCATTAACTCGGAGAAAAGGAAGTGAGCAGAAATAATGAAACAATCAAAAACTGTAAAAAGTGAGATTACTTCATTAAGTACGAGGAACACGCTTGAGAAGTTATAAAGCTTGATAGACAACGAAAATCTTACTACAAGCACATCAACTCGCCATTGAACCGAAAATATCAACCGATCCGATTTATCCGATTTGATTATCGAAGCGAAAAATACGCAAACTTTCTTCCACAAAGCAAACTAAAATCTTCGAAGATCTTTATTTGTGCAATGAATCGAAAAATTAAAAAAATATATATACAAATCAAATCATAAGTACACTAAGAACATTCTAAACTTAAAGCACTAAACAAATGAGCTCTCAAAAAACCAAAGTGAACCGGAGGAAATAAAGTTAGGCACCAAGCGAGCAAAAATTGGGTCTAAATACCGGTGTTAACAAAATTTGGGAATATCACAAATCAGTTGAAAGAAATATGTTGTGCTAAATATGAAGGCAAATCGATAAGGCTAAATATTTTAAAGTTCATCAGAAGATTGTAAGATCTCAGATCTTTAAAATTACAAAATACGTACTAGGTGCTTTGATTTAACATAACTTACAAGTAATTGAATATTTTTGCGTTTTTTTGAATTCACGCTACGAGATCGTCTTGAACGCTGATGATGCGACGTCGTTGTCTAAAGTAAAAACCTTTTAAAATTTTCCAGAAAAACTTTAAAGTTGATAAATGTGTGTTTACTCTTAATGCATGTATGGATAGCTCCAAACCGTGTCTAATTCTTTCGTATAATCATCCAACTTTCTAAAGAAAACGATATTTTATTGATTTAAAAAGAAAACATCATTACCTAGCTTGATCGATTCGTGTACATTTTGGGCATGATTGTTCAGCTTTTCGCCTTTTCACATCGCATTTCATATGTGTCAGAGAACCACATTGTTCACAGCGGGCCACACGTTCCATCTGAAATATAATACGTCAACTTTAAATAGAAAAATTAAAGCAAAAGGAATCCAATGTTTTATGTTTAATCAAGTAATGCTGTCCAGTCGCATTTTAAAAATTGAATTGAAAACCTGGACCAATCACGAGGTTAAAATGTATATATTCGAAAAAGGGCTTGCCTGAAAGGGGAAGAGAAGATCGGAGTCGTTGTTGCAAAGAGAGCAGACAAATGCCTGCGCCCGACATTTCTGAACAAATATTCATTTGAAAAAGAGAAAAGAAAGGCCAACTTGAGACCATAGATGCTGACAGACTCACTACTGAATAGCTTAATCTATGGTCATATTTGAAAATTACTATAAAGAACAGGCCAGTTTTCAAAAAGCTTTGTTGTGATTTGTGATTTGTAGCTTGAAACCGCCCAAATCAAAATAGGCATCGAAAGGGAGAAGCTTATAATCGAAAAGCGTGAATAATGAGCCAAAAATGGGAGGGGGGTTTACCCCGCAAAAAGTGGTATTGATCCGAATATTTAAATTCGGAAATCAAACTACCGAGCGAAAGATTAATAACTTCACGCACCTCACACTTTTCAATGTGACATTTCCCGTATTGAACAATTGGCTCCAAAAGGTTGACGAGCTCCCCATTGTAGACTTTCTCCAAATCGGAGAGCGAAAAGAGATCCGATTCTTCGCATAACAAGTGTCGATCAAGAGATGAGAACATGGATCGAAGACTGAAATTCAATTGAATACTTGAACTTAAACTACTTAAAATGCTTCAAATAAAGCTTACTTTCCAATCCTTGTCACCGTTTCTTCAGCATCCATACATGTTTGAATGTAATTCCACATATGAGAGATCTTTTCTCGAAGAGTGATCACTGTTCGTAGTATCTAAACTTAAAAAGTGTTGATCTTTTTCAAAACTTCACGAACCCTAATTCGCTCGATCAACTTTGGAGCAAGATGTCTGATGTGAATGACCGGTTGATTATGTGTCTGTGAAATGAAAGCGAAAGCTTTGTCCGAGACTGGCATTTCTCTAAAATACAACCTTAATCAAAGGCAAGAAAGTGTAGTAATTATAAAATTGCTTTTACTAAAATGTGGGAAGCATTTGACCCCCATTTGGGAGTCAAAGGTCACCAAAAGGAGAAACACGTGGCCGTCTTTATAACCTCGCACATTCATCGTCCCAAGTAAAAGTTGCTTTATGCATTTTTGTGCTTGGCAGAATTTACTGTATAATGGCATTTGTTAAAAACTTTGTCTTATCGTCCCTCAACTCAAACTCACTTGAAGCTCCAAAGATGTAGAACTCTCGCAGGAATCTTCATTTTTGCACCTTGATGGCAGCACTGACAAAAAAGAAGACCATAATAATCACAATATCTAAAAAATATTTTTTTGTTAAATAGTGAACTCCTAATCACCTAACTCGTTTTGTGTATTCACCAGTGATTTTCTTCCCACAATCCGCACATCTCCATCCTTGCTCATCGAGGAGATCTTTGATACTGAAATCTTGTTATTCTGATTCCCATGAAAACAAAACTTGTGTGTGGGATGTAGATTGAAAATCCAGATATCGCATAATTTGTTGAGGGTTGGTGGATCAAAATTTGTAGTCGTTGAATCATCAGAAAGTAACTAGAAACCAGACTGAAATCAACTCGATGATAACGATTAGGAGGGTTTACTTTTTCGGGCATTGCCAATACATCGTTCATCCATTTCTTCACATGTGCATCACTGACCTAGAATAAAAGTTTAATATCTCATTCAATTGTTCAAAGGTACCTCATTTCTTGAAATGAAACATTCGATGGCTTGTGTGACAAGATCGGATGTGGTCATTCCAACGTCTCTTTTCAAAACAACGTCATCTACACCACAAGTACTTGATCGAACACTTGTCACACTGAAGAAATAAGTTTGATCTTAAATTAGTCTTATTCATTCAATTAGGCATACCTTTTGCTTGAGTTGGGATTTCGATTAATGTAGAAGGTTCCATTATCGACGACAGTAGCTCGAACCTCATCTTCCTCGCGTTCTTCCGTCAAAGTAAGATCACTTGTTCCACTCAAGTTGTTAGGTGAAGTAATTAAACCACAGCGATAATCGGCGTCAATCTAAACTTAAACTTATTCGCACAGCTAGCTTTCTTTACCTCAGCCAGTAGTTCGGCAGTTTCTGGATCGGACGCCACTTGACATCTCCATCGAGCTTCTTCTAACATTGCATCCACCAATCCAGCCATGTAAATCATTTGGTTCGACTAAATGATAAAGATTGATGAATTTTCAGCAAGTAAGCAGATCATAGTTTTCGATTACAAATTACGTCTCTGTCTGTTCCAAACCTTTTCTGTTTCTGGCGAGATCTGATTGTCGTCATCTCCAGTTGTCCATGAAAATATTCTTCTTTGGGTTTCCTTCCAAAATGGGAGATCCGAGTTTTGTGGAAAACAGTTAAACTCTGGCTTCTAAAAAATAGAACTAAAACCAAAATTTTTAATAAAGAGCCTACTATTGCATTCGGATCTTCATAAAATGGAAGAAAAGTCGACGTTCTTCGGCGACTTCTGGTGATGATCGACGAACCATCACTTTGCGTTTCCGTATTCTAAAGAAGCGAGAGAAGCGGATTTTAAAAATGAGTTTAACAAATTTATAATATCCTTTTTAATTTAAAAATAACTAACAATCGAAGCTGTATCGTTGATATCCAACTTATGACTTAGCGAATCGGCAAATGTGTCAGCTTCGTCAGTGTGCTCGTGGAGACTGATGAAAGGGATTGTATCCACCTAAAAATCAAGTAAAACATGAAAGTTCCGTTTAAAACTTACATCAATTTTACTGTATTGATGTCCGTTTTCAGGCGGCTCTCGAATATTCCGCGTGAGGAAGCGTTCCATTAAACCCTTCCTGAAAAGAAAAGGACAATTTTAATATTTGAACGTCTAAAACACAGTTTTCAAGATAAAGCACCGACTAGCCGACCCTTCAGTCTTTTAACAGAAAAGTGCGGGGAATATCGATTGATTTCTAGCGGTGCGGATGAGACTGACACCATGTGACAAAAAAAATGAAAAAATGGGAAGAACGATGTCGCAATAATTTCAGACTAGAATGTGGTTTTGGAAGTGAAATAAGTCCGTAAAATTACGTTTTTAGAATTGAAAAGCTTACATCTTCATTGGGGTAAGGCCTTGCGATGGAAAATTTGAGAGAAAAACAAAGCAATGACTAGAAACTTGAAATTTGGTACATTTCTACCGTACTATCAACTTTTGCAAACCTATAAGATGCTTATTTTTTTCATCTATATAAGGGAAGAAAATATTTGAAAGGTTTGATTTTTCTGCACAGACTGTCAGCGTTCGATAGCACTAAAATTGTTAGTACAACATGAAAAATGACCCAAACATGATGATTCAACTGTTGTTAGTTGATGAGACGGTTGAATTGGGATGAGACGTGGGTTATTCAACGGCACTGCAGCTGATTTGGCACACATCCAATCGATGAGCGCACAGGATTCGCGGGGGTATGTCTTTGCCGTGTGTACTCGAGAGAAGAGAGAGGCAATGGCACTCAATGCTAACCACAACCATCCCATTTTCCTCAATAAACAACTTTCAATCTATGTTTTCACCCCAATGGTCTCGTTTTTGCTCCTTTAATTTGTCCATTGTTTACATTGCTCTTATCAACTGTCAATGATTTTTTTGAAAACAAATAAAACAACGGAAATTTACGAACTTTTTCACTCGATTGTAGCATTATTGATCGTTTCTTTTTTGTGCAAACTTTCAACAAAATTTTGCCACCAAGATAAAGTAAAAAGTGACTCATCGTGAATGATTCAAATTAATTTTTTTGTTTGATCTTTCATTTTCAACTTTTCTATTTTAGATCGAATGAACCACTCGTTGAGCGACTCAGCAATGGATCCCGACGTAGATATGTCGAAGAGAATACGACGATTGATTCCCGAACAGATACAGGATAAAGTAGGTTGAGGTTTTTACTTAAAATAGCAGTAAGTTGGTGAGTACTAAAGCGGCTAAATCGTTTTATATTTCAAAACATAAGGTTGTTTACAAGCAGAATGCAGTGTTTAAATAAAATAAAGGTTTCCCTCATTACTCAATCAATGAACATAACAAAAATATTGTTTTCGATAGAAGAGAAAGGTATTTTTTTAGGTGTCGATGTTTCTCTTCCTCGTCATATTGCCACTTCTCTTCACTGCGGTTTTCTTCCTCGTTCTTACCACATGGTATCCAGCTTTTGGAGAAGGTACGTTTAATTTTTTGGAAACAAAGCTATACTGCTACATTGATTTAATATCTATCTTTAGCTTGGATGATACGAGTGATTCCAATCATCGCTTTACTCTTCAACATGTATCTCAACTACATTCAAGTAATTCGAGTTGGACCAAATGGAAACGACTCACTTTTGCCAAAAACTTACAGGGTTAGTTGTGAAGCTTTTTTTGAATACTTTTTATTTTAGGCTGGGTTTGTGTTCTGCCCACATTGTCGAATGAATGCTCCACCGAGAACACACCATTGCCCAGGTATACTTAGATATAATTCGCGCTTTTACTGAAACAAATTTATTTCTAATAATTTTCTTATTTCTACATTTAGTTTGCAACGTATGTTCCCTTCGTCGGGATCATCACTGCTCATTTGCTGCGACATGTATTGGTCACTTCAATCAGCGATATTTCTGTGCGGCAATTCTCGATTTGTTCATGGCGGCTCTACCAGCATTTTAGTTAGCTTTTTAAATCTATGTAAAAAGTTTACAAGCCATATCTTAGTTGCACTCATTGTAAAGAGCACAACCTTTTTTTGTTTAGTTGGACTTGGTCGTGGATGTGGCTCGAATTGGGAACGCCAAGTGTTGGACGTATGTGGCAATTGATGATGCCTCATGTTGCTCTTGTTTTAAGGCGAGCTTTTACAAAAATTAGAAAATAAACACTCTTTTTAGATTTTTGTCGCTCCGTGAATTCTGCTACGTGGGTCTTTGTGCGGTGATGTTAACAACTACCGGCTTCAATCTTTACCTCATCCTTGCCCAAGCTTTCTGCTTCTGGAGAGGGCAAACACGAGTCGAATATCTTTTGGTAAGAGGTTTTAAATTTTAACATTATTTTTAGAGATGTTTAAAAGAGCTTACAAGCAACATTTTAGGACATTCACGCATATCAACTCGGCCTTTTGGGAAACCTTCGACAAGGATTGGGTACTCGATGGTATCTCATTTGGTTGAGTCCATTCATCTCTTCTCCACTTGAAAGCAATGGGCAATCGTACAAAACGAGAGAAATGGAGAAATTCTCCCATTCGGCCAAAAGTTTGTAAGCATAATTTTGTTTGAATATTTTCATTTTTAAGTGCCACTTTTGTTAAAACGAGTTTATTCATGATCTTTCCCGAATCTCTTTTTTTGCTCTCAAATTTTAGGCTTTACTTTATCATTTTCAGTCTTTTTAAACTAGTCCATCAATCCCGTCTCTATTTTCAGGAAGCCATTCTGTTTTTGAATCGATGTGTTTCGTTTGTTTTTGAATAAACCTCAACGAAAGACAAATATTATATACAAAATTTAGATCCATCAATCAAATTGTTGTAAAATTCCATGTTTCAGCATTGATTTCATACTCCATCTTTCCATTTCAAGGCCCTCATCGCCATAAAATTTCCAAGTTTGATAAATCCATCCTTTTGTCAGCTCGTAAGTGGATAATTGAACCTAAGCCTGTTAAATCTTATTCACTTTTAGACGAACTTTTGCATATTCTTTGAGCTCTTCATCGGTCATATTCAGATATGATTCTAGTGTCCATTCACCAATCAACAAACCATTTCCATTCCAGAATTTTATATCAGTAACGTGTTTTCTGTTGACGAAATCGATTAGCTGAAAGCATTTAGCTCAATAATTCAAGTGAATGTTCAGTACTTCTTCCGGTGTTCGACCGTAGAAATCCCATACTTGATATTTGTGCCATTCGTGTCGAACTTCTCTAGTTCCATTCAGAAAAGTCTCCCAATCGCTTCTACCATAGCCTAACACAGCTATCCCAGCTATAGATTAAACAAACGTGTTAATAGATTTAACTCTTACTGAAGTTTGGGGTAGCGATTTTTCTTGTGGTATTTCAGTTTAAATGCTATTTGAAGGGTATTTTTAAAACCCATTTAACCGACCTTGTTGATCAAGTAATGGCGAGGTAGTGATGAGACAATTCGATTTCACTTTTTCTCGAATAATTCGAACAGCAGCTCGATAATATTCCTTCAATAAATTCTCATCCACAAATCTTGGCTCATTTAACAGCCCGATACCTGCAATTTGTCAATTAAAGAGTAAACTTTGTGAACAACCAAGAAACGAGATATCGCCTTTGTAACGAGGTGGAGGAGGAGAAATAAACTCCGCGGGAAAACTGTGGACGTTTTACCGGAAAGATCAGAGACGCCGCCTGAACTTTTCCCGGAGTCTAACATACGGACTCAGACAAAACCTTTCCCCTCGAGACTCTTCATCGTCAAATATTCCCCATTCATTGCCACTTTTGCCTCAACATTTTTCCATAATGGAGACTTTTTTGTGCACCAATAATTGGCAGTCAACCATCCACAAAGATTGACTCCTTTTATGAAAGAAATTCCGTTGATAATTGACTCTTTCAACTCAAATAGATGACTTTTCTTGTAGTCGAGAGTTCGATAGAGTTCTTTCTCTAACATTCGCCTAAATTTTAAATTTCAATTATCCCAGCTAAAGAAAAAACTCTTCTTTTTCGAATCTCTTGATATCATTGTGACAGACGTCTAATTTTTGTCTTGTTCTATCGAAGAAATCGAGTTGTTTACGTCGGATTCTAAAATGTGGAAAGATCCCATTCAAATTGCACTTATTAAACCGATTTTATCTCGATAACTCGACTTAAACCTTATCAATTAAATTTTAAAAATTAGAATATCATTAAAACGGACTTTATCTCTTCGTTCATCACTTTCCCATTCGTGCAATTCTTCAGCTTTCTCAACCATTCTCCATTCAATCTCAATGAATTTTCCGGCAATTTCTCGCCTTGTTTTCTAGAGGTTTACAGTTATTTTGAATTTTATAAAACCAACTAAAAGTAGAAGATCAAGAAAGCAATATAAACGGTGGCTCCAATCGAAAAAGCTATTGAAATCAGGGATAAAATAGATAAACGAGGAGATCTTTTGCTCTAGAAAGTTGATCCTCTCCGTGGCGAGATCTCTGAAAATTCGATTTTTTCAAATTTGATAACATTTTAGATAAAGAGTGACGGTTAAAAGTTTAAATTTCCATTTAAATCTAATATTATTCTAATATTATTAATATCTAATAATTCAAAAGTCTTACTCACGTTGAAGGAAATGACGTTGTCGAGGTCTTAAAACCCGGGAAATCGCTAACTCTGATGGACATTCGAAAATCGATTTGCAAAGATCAATAACAAGAAATTATTTACGGTATAATGAAGGAAATATTTTCCAAAAAATCATGTACTTTTCTGTTTTTGAACACTTTCCATTATTTTTTTTTTCTTCTTTTTGTTGCTCTTCCCGGATCAATTTCGACGAAAAGTTCCTCTTCTCCAATCACTTTTTTAACGTGTGATAAATTGACCGCACTTTTTCTGATTAGTTCATAGAATTTACAGGTTTACTCTAGCAAAGTTTATTGAAAGCTCAAGAAATTTAGAAATTCATGAATTCATTGTGCACCGAGAAGTTGGAGACGCACAATTTTTCGACTGGACCCTGACTGGATGACTGGACGACTGGACTGGACGACTAGACGACTGGACTGGACGACTGGACGACTAGACGACTGAACTGGATGACTGGACGACTGGACTGGACGACTAGACGACTGGACTGGACGACTGGACGACTAGACGACTGAACTGGATGACTGGACGACTGGACTGGACGACTGGATGACTGGACTGGATGACTGGACTGGATGACTGGACTGGATGACTGGACGACTGGACTGGACGACTGGACTGGATCGCACTCACAAAAAAAAATTCGGATAATCCGAATTTTTCACCCCACAAAAAAAATTGATTACCACGTTTTTGTTTGTTTGTTTGTGTATTTATTTAAACCTTTTTCTTAAAATCACAAAAATTTTGATGTCTAAACCGAGATTTGACCGGTTTTTCCTAATAAAGCTTAATTCAACAAAAATTTGTAATGCAAATTTGGGGATGCTTAACCGAGTTGAGTTTTTGTGCATGTATACCGTATTTCTTCCAATAGAAGACCGGGTAAAGAGTATCATCGCGTACTCCTGCGTAGCAGCCCTTTTTAAAATTTCTTTTCTGCATTCAATCAAGTGCTATAGAGCTGTAAAATGGCTCAAAAATCTGTCAGCTCATGTGGCATTTTTGAGTCATTTTCCAGCCTTATAGCCCCAATAGTCCCCCACCCGACTACGCGACTTTACGAAGGTACAGTCTCGTAGTCGCAAAAGTTTTTTTAGTATTTCATTTTTTTGCAAAGCGCCCGTACTTTCAAAAAATGCGTCTTTGGTATCAAAAAATAACCCTGAATTTCAGCTATTTTTTGATACCGAAGCGAGCATTGTAGCATAAACCAGTGTCGAGAAAAAGAAACTCGCAACACTCCGCACCGTCATTATGGGGGTGCGGTACTATTACAGTATTTACGGTATGTATTGAAAGAATTTTAGAATGCCTCCTGTAGCTTAATAACCGATATTCTTTTTGCTATTCAGGCAATAAGCAAAGAGATTGTCGTCCCCATCACAATGTTTATCATCTATTTCAGTTGATTGGTGCATAAGTTTTTACAATTTTTTTTTCTAAACATCTAAAAATAATGCCGCCACTAACAAAAATTCTATTTAAACTATTAAAGAGATTAATTATTTCTCTGTAAAATGGGTTTTTAAGAAATTTTTGAAAGGATTTGTTTTTGTGAATTTGTCAAAAGTGTAAAAACTGCTCCAATGAACACGAGAAGAAATTAGAATGATGCATTGAAATAATTTCATAGAAATTCGATTTTTCTGATAGATTTAGTGGAAATGAATGAAAGAAAACGAAATTGAATGTATGCAAATGTAAAAGCCATGTAAATAAGTTCTAATGAGTCATTCGTATCGAATTCTCGACTTTTTCTTTTTTACATCTTCTCCTCCCCTTTCTTAACGCTTCAACACCAAATCAACTTATGCAATTTCTTCTCTTGATCGAAAACTTCACGATAGTTGTATGTGTACGTCAACTTTCTTCAACTTGACTCCAGAAATTCCATTTCTGTTCATTGACCTACAAAGTAATACATAGTGAAATCTTTGGTCTTATTACGCTTTCAATCGGGTCAATTACTCGATGTTGTCAGGGGTTCGAATGACCGTTATCCTCTGAATTTTTTTTGTGATTCAATGTCTAGAATTCTTGTGTTTTGGCAGAAAATTCGGCGATCTGGTTTTCGCGATCTCATTCGGTCTACTGCGTTTGTGTGATCAAATCGAATTTTCCAGGCATTTATGCAACTCTGCAATCCGTGTATTGTTATCAACAGTGAACGTTTCTACTGGGAAATATCACGAATGTCGGGATCGACATCCGTGATCAAATGGGAAAAGCCATCGACGAGTTGTCGCAAATTGTAAGCTGCCTTGGAAAGAAATGTGATTTTATCAGAGGTCGAGCTGAATGGATGCAGTAGAAATGGTTACCAAAAAAATGCCGCATATGTTTTAGTTGGAACTAGCTCAGATCAAAAAGTTCCGCGGGGCTGGGACTCGAACCCCGGACCTTTCGCTTCCCGGCCAATTATGCTAACCATTACACCACACCGCTACTGATCCCCCCTACTCCAGAGGGAGTTAAGTTCCCTCCTCTCTGAACGAGACGGTTCCACACGCCTCGATTTATTAACACGACTTAACTCCCTCTGGAGTAAGGGAGATCAGGCAAGTTGTGGTGTAATGGCTAGCACCTTTGGTCGATAAGCGAAAGGTCGCGAGTTCAAGTCTTTTGACCTTATGGTTAGAGTTAGATCTTCGAAAATTTTGGTACTCAGGTTCCTTGATTTCTCCTAAAGTTGGTTTTTTTAAGTTCCAATCATTCAATAAAGATTTTATTAACAAAATGGAAATCACAAAGTCTAAATTCGGCTTTATTTACAATGAAAGAGCAGACAAAAACGTGAAAATTGAATTTCTATGGCAATTTCAAGTTCTCAAGCCAGTTTTCATAAGTTCTAAAAGGAAATTTCCAATATAATTTGGTCATTCAGCAATTTTTTGCTTTCATTAACAAAATTTAATAAATTTTTAGTACTTTAGTCCATTTAAAAACGTTTTTCCTTGCTTTTGAAACAAATTTTTAAATCCAAATTGCCATTGAACATTTGCAAATGCAAATTTTAGCTGATCTTTTGTAGTTCTCAAGTAATTGCCCCAAAAAAACACAATCTATCAAAAAGGATTATTCATTTCTCTATTCTTTAACATTTTCATGGCTGGTACAAGCTCTAAAATCTCACAAATCATCTCAGTGTCTCATATTTTGTGTGGGAAGTTTGTTCGTTCTTCCGGATGCCTCTTTCTCTTCACCTTTCTTTTCTGCATAAAACTTTCAATCAGGCTTTACTGGAAAATTTCTCAAAAACTGTTAGCTATGGTACTTTTGGTCATTTTCCCATCTTTCTTCACTTTCTTCACTTTCTTCACTTTCCCCATCTTTCTTCACTTTCCCCATCTTCCTCCCTCTTTCTCTTCCCTTTCCCCATCTTTCCCCATCTTTCCCCTCCCCTTCGTACCAGTTTGTTTTTTCTCTTTACTTTTTTTATCTTTTTTTTTCTTTACCCCTCAAATTTCCCCCTTTCTTCTATGAGCTTTTTGTCTTTTCTTTTATAATAATCACTTCCTGAAGCTTTCAAGGAAATCCTCTTTGCTACTTTCTAGCTGCAGCCTTACTCAATCGTTTTGTAAATCAAATGTTTGCCTAGCCATGGAAATTCTTTTAAAATTCCAGTGTTGATTTCCTTTGAGCTTCGAATTGTAGACATCATTATAGGGAAACGTAGGGAAACGTCGGCGGAAACGTCGCACACCCAAATACAAAACTTTTTGTGTTACCAGCTTTTTAAAATCATCGAACGAAGTTTTAAGTCCAACGTTGGTTGTGGTCGATCGATTGAGCTGAAAATTTGGTAGCAGATAGAGAAAGTAAAACATTGTGAAAACACTTTGCAAAGTCAATGTTACCAAAAAGACTCATTTTCTTGTGTTAAATGAGGTCTTTTGTGGCTATCATGAGTTCACAAGTTTGTACGTCACCAGAAGCTAATCTGATCGAGTAGGGGGTACCAAAATCATTCTTGGAATCTCCCCTAAGATCTTCCATCCAAAAACTCTTGCAAATATTTTGTTTGAGTGGGATAAAATCGGATCAGAAGGTGAGCAAGTAGGTTCATCTCATTCGTCGCCCACATTCTTCACAAGAAATCCTTCTGAATTCACTCCAAAAGCAGCAACAGCAGCACCAAAACAATAAAGCGTTTCATTCACTGTCTTGCCAGGTTTGTTTTGATAAAATTGTATATTTTGCACATTTTAATACCGTAATCTATTTTCACTTTTTTCATTTTCACTTCCATTTTCGTAATCCAAAAACTGCAGCAAAAAATTGAGATTCTAAAGGTGTTCCTAGTGCAAGATACAAGACCTATTCAAGAAATTTTAAATAATTTAAATAGATGAGTTTTTAGGGCTTATTTCCGGTAGATCTCGCAGGCCACCGAAAAAGTGATTACAAACATTTTGACAATGCTTCTTGAGCTTTATCCTTTATTGAATGCTGCGACAACTCGTTTTTTGATCTTCTCTGTTAGATTGGAACGTACTGGCATTTATATTAGAATTAGAAACAAATAGAAATTATGTCCAAACTTTTAGATCCCTAAAAAAGCGAAACTCATGGAAAAAGATCCAGAAAATAAAAAACTACAAAAGCTCAAGTAAAATCGAATGAAATTCAAGAAACTAGATAAAAAATGACAGAAAATATGCGTCTAATAAACACCCAATACTTTCATTGAACTTTGATTTAAAGCGCTCTTGATGCGTTTTACTTTCTCAACTGGGGATCGGATGGAATTTGAGGGGAAAGTACTGGGAAAACGGGGTTAAGATTAACTTTATGAAAAAGCAGCTAGTAGATACAGTAGGGTCCAAAAGTTTCTCAACTGGGGGTGTGTCCAAACTTTTGGACCCTACTGTATCTACTAGCTGCTTTTTCGTAAAGTTAATCTTAACCCCGTTTTCCCAGTACTTTCCCCTCAAATTCCATCCGATCCCACCTCGAGATCTCCATCAGGATTATCACTTTTCCCCCTCTTTTCAATTTTTTTTCATTTCAAAAAAAACGAAAACACTTCTAT